GTATCAGTAACGTCACTTCCCAAGGCCTGCTGAGTAACTTACGTAGCGACCTGGATGACCATGGCTGCGCCTGAGATGGCCAGCAAAGGACCCCAGAAGTCTTTCATCGAATGCTCGGCGTTCACGTGGCAGACATCACCGAATCTGAAAGAGACTCCGGTGATTGTGATCGTGATGGTGAAAAAAGTGGCGGCAACAGACCAGCCTAGGCCTTGTGCCCAGTAAAAGAATTTCTTTCCTGGCGTGACATCCCAGCAGATCTGGAGATGCATAGAAAGCGCGCGTATGAAGATCCAAACTGCCATCGACATGCCTCCAGAGATAAGGAACGCACCAGAGAAAGCGCATGTTAGACTTGAGTACATGTCGTTGGGGGTAATCTCATCGTAGCACTGCTCCGGCTGAGCACCGAAGGGTATCACAAAACCAAGCTAGAACCGATCAGCAGGACGAAAGCGAAGTAGACAGAAGTTGGACTTACTGCCATGAGAATCGCAGCAATAATGAGACAGTAGCTGAGGTAGTGTCGACGAGTCTTGTCGGCTGGCAGTACCAGGTATGTGATCAGCAGGATGACCAGACAGATAAGTCCAGCTACATTGAGCGCTTCAGCTACGCGATACGCTGTGTTGAAGCCTGAGCACGATCAGCAAAGTGATTGTCTAAGTACGATCTATGGAACATACTCTCTGGGTAAAGGAAGTCTGTGAGAGGACATGGCAAGCAGCAAACAGATTGCCCGTATGGTGCACAGAATCTCCCATCAACAACTGCGAGTGTCAGCAACTATACGAAGAACAAGACCAGAGCACCTACACCCATCGAATCCAAACTGCTTAACATTGTAGAAAGGCGCCGGGCAACCCGCTCGAAGAAGATCGGTTCTTGTAACGTTGTTGGCCATTTTGAGACTTCCCACTCTTCTCACAAGACGAACCAAAGCGTCTTGAAAGTATGCAGCATGAGAGTCCTTCCAGCGGTGATCCCTACTGTAGCTGGAGGTGCGATCCGACGAGCTTATAGACGGTACGTGGGGTCGACCGGCGTGACTGGCGCTACAATTCGGCTCAGTGTCGACGTGTGATGCTATAGGTTATGCTCTTGTAAGGCAATGCCGCGTAGATGAAACCGCTGACAGCAATGGCAGTGTTAGACGGAACGATTGTCGCGGATGCGAAAACGAAACGATGTGGAGAGAAGTGATTGTCGTTAGTTCGAACGCAGAGAGTCTAAAGAGTGAATAAGGTTCTATGGTTGGATTAGAGGCGCATAAGGCCAAAGCAAATGCAAAACGAACGACGGGACGTTATGGTAGAAGTAAGAAAAGCCGCCACGGCATGAGAGCGAAGCCGCAGTGATGCAGGAAGACGGCCTGGTCTTGAATGTGGCTCCTGGTTGGGCGGCCTGGGGGGTAAGTCCAGTGGGTGCGGCGATCCATGAGCGAACAGACCACCGTCACCCCTGCAGGTACACTTCTTCCCTAGTTTAGCGCGGCCTCACCCCCAGAAGCTTAGTGGCCAAGGCATGCAAAGACGGCTAGGATTCGCAACACAGGCGGGTCTGCAGACAGGGATACCGGTTGGGTCCAGGAACAGGGCTCGCATGCGAAAGGGCACTGGCTCGAAGGAGCCGAATGCAGCACGGTCAGCTATCACCTCTTTTGCAGCTCGTGCATCGTGATTCGCGACAATACGAGAAGGGCTTCCCACACTGAAGCGCGACGGCACCCAGAACGCAATACGCAGGCGTCTAGCAGAGATCAATACGGCGTAGTCGCTAGCGGAAGTTGAAATCATAGGTCCGCCCTTCCAACATGATCCTTTCGTGGAGGATTCTAGTTCATCGGTTCTCGATGATGTTGCGATGGAGTCGAGACTCGACAGGCCGCCTACTGGATTGGCAGTTCAGCCACCATGGATCTGCGAAATTGCTGCTGACTGGATGTACAATATCAGGCAAGTGTCCAGACAACATATGTCTTTGCCAATTTTGCCGTCTCGTACAGAGTTGCCTGGCACTTTGAACTGGAGCCATCGGCAACGTCCGAGAACCGTTGGGGCTGATCAATAGATCGTCGCAACTGGTTGCGGGTCATCGTTCGCTCCTACGTCGCTCATCGTTGCCTTCCAACGACAAAGCTCGACTGGCTCTTGAGCCACGCGCGACCATGCTTGTGAAATCTTGGGAACAGTCATCAGTTGGCGTTGTGGGACTGTGAATTTCAGCTTGCTCGACTATAACTGTGCCTATAGAGAAAAGTTGGCAGGTCGCGGGAAGTACGAACTGTCCCATAATTCTCCGGTCTGACTGAGCGTTGAGAGCCTCGATCGAGAGCTGATCCTATCACGCTCCGGTGTGCCCTGGGTGGCGTAGTCAGCGCTGCAACGTCCGGCGTTTTCGAGCTCTCTTTGCCGCGTTAGCGCCGCTTGGTGGAGTTCCCCAACAAACGCGTGCCGACGCGTAAAACTCCTCATTGTTTTGATCTCATTAGTACGTCGTCTCCACTAGTAGAGCTTGCTATCGTCGTGGGGCCTTCTCGCGAACCCGAGGGTTGTAAGGTCGTGCTGTATAATGACGAGAGGATCTAGGCCAGGCACGTGTCGTACCCCGCTGTCTGTTATCAACATAATGGCACGCGAGCTGGTCCACCCAACTTCTTCTCAACTTTCTATCTCAAAAGTACACGTTTTTACGTAGTGACAACCGCCATGCCCCGCCACCGTTCGTGATGACTTTGAATTTTTCTTACTGGCCCGTGGACATACGCTACGCCTCAGAGGTCGTGTGGTCCGTCTGAGGTAGCGAGCGGAGAACATGCATTAGTCCTGCACTGTGCCTGCAGAAGCCTCTTCGCTTTCTTAGCAATCCATTGGGCTGTAGACGCACACAGCCATGATTGGCGGACAATTCGACAGACCCGCTTCCTAGATGACGTTGGCATATGCTATGAGGGAACGGTTAATGGCAAGAGGAACCCGGAGTCTGTCGCGTATGACCGCTAGTTCGCGGGGGAATGGAGAGCGTTGAAACCGTTCGGTAGTGTTCCAGGGTAGGATTCTCTCCATATGAGCCCAATTTTATCAACCCGCGTACGTATGCTGCAATACTAAACGTTAGCCTCATGCCTTACAAGGAGACCGTCGTCGACCGATGTCACCAACTGCTCGGTACAGTCCAGACTACTCTCTCTGGTCTAACCCAGGTACCTGGCTTTCCGTGTCTGATCTACCATAAGCGTTCGTCCCATGGTACTGCAGTTACGCTAAGAGACACTACGAGCACTTCACGACCTCAATGACCCACACGAGTAGGTGCTGTCTACCCAAATAGAACACGGAGGAGGCCTCTCTGGCTGCTCGGGACACAGGAAGAGCGCACGCCATTGCAACTAGGAGGATGCCCCGGATTACACTATGAACGTCACTAAATCCTTCGAAATGTTTGACAGCAGTCGGCCCGCAAAGGATTCTGCTCGTGTCTAGACACCATACGCCACCTCAACTAGACGATAAAAAGTGTTGGTACGTGAACGGTGTGTTAGTATGCTCCGCCCTTTCACGCTCATCAAAGTCTTCGTGAGCAAGATACGGGGGTTCGCATCTCCCGGGACCTTTTGCCTCCCTGCTCTGGTATTACTGCCTTTCCTATCTCCCAAAAGTCATGACGATTTTTCCGTACAGAAAATTCGACAGGCAGTTATTGCAGATCAGGAGACATTTTCCCGTTTACTGCCATCCCAATAACATGGTCAGCTCGCCATCTGAACGCCATACTGCGAAGCGATGTGCAAACCCATGTTTGCCATCGTACCTAGCCCTACGAGCAGGGCCCCCATTGTACGCAATCATCTATAAGAAGCGTCATATTGGCATACTAGCTACATTCACACAAGTAGCATATACTTCATCCCGTCACCCCCCACATCACGTCCCGTCCCAAGAGTCTCGAATTTGGACCCAAGAAGCGAGTTTCAATGCAACGTTCCCATCACATGACAGGAATGGCATTCGTCAACGGCCGCAGCTGTCGTTTCAGGATCGATGTCCGAACGGGGATGTTGGAACTTCTAGCCACGAACCGCATTGCGTTCGCTTATGCCTACAATGTAATTCTATAGCACAACTAGATGGCTCTGCGATGATGTTACGGATGTAGCGATCGAAGATCCAGCTATTGCTGATGAGGTTAGTTCTAGCAGCACCGAGAAGGTTTACCCGACTGCATCGTACGTGGAGTATCGAGGCGTCAGATCGCTCGTACCACTCAGGTACGCTACCGAGGGCTTGGGGAAGCGCATGTACGGGACGTTCACTGGGATTCATGCCAATCATCGTACACGCAATGCTATCTGGAAAGGTCGGTGAGGGATTTCGGCCTCCCGTGTTGCCGAAAAAGCAACTCTCTTAACTCGCTGGAACGGTCTCGACGTGTCAGAACGGCACGCCTCGTTGACATATGGCATAAATGCCGACACTGGGTAATGCTATTGGTTGATTGGGTATCATTAAGAGGGCGAAAAGCAAATGCCACTGGGGTGTGACTTGAATGTCATCGTGCGCTTCGTTCATAGGAGTAGCAGCAAGTGGTGTTTTTGAGTATTTCAGTCGCAGCTATACCAGCCATTTAGACGGTGTCACTATCACAGGCACTTAAATAAGTAAACTGCCTTCAAAATTTATTTGGAGCAGCATACATCATTGTTCATACATATTATCGTTTGGGAAAGACAAGTTACGGATGCTTCCAACCTGACTGTTCCCAGACCATGAGTGCGAACAGACTGACGGCACCGATAAGGTTTGTTAAGCTGCTTCAGATTTAGTCGGATCGCTATGTTCGTCGATTTGATGTATACTTACGTACGGCTCCAAAGGAAGATCAGTTTCCGATCCTATATGCAGTCCAACACGTCTTGGTACAGTAGTTCAGAACATATTGTGAGAGCTGTTGTGTATAAGAAGAGATGAAACCAAGGCGTTTTGAGGAGGCACTGAGCATACCAAATCGTTGGTGGTAAGGGTACAGTTGTGGGCATCTGCCAACAACGCCGAAGAAGTTCCCAAACCCGTGGTGATACAAAGCCAAAACATTCGTTCGTTACGGACAGAGAGCTTTTGAGCATCGCTTGATCAAATCAGAACGTCGAGCCAAATATCAACTCGAGAACTGAGCGATGACCAAAGGCCAAGAGAGACTGTCGACAACTTAATGGCTTGCAAAGGTCTACTCAGCGGCCCTGTCCAGTTCCACCCATAATGCGGTCCTTTGTAGACCTCTGTCTAGACTCTTTAGACTTTCCGTCAGCAGCGGTTTGGTTTGCGGCCACCTCAGATTCGAGCTTCTGTTGAGCCTCGTGGAGTCTGCGTTGTCGACCAGCTTCCCACTGCTCGATGTCGGCCTGAGTCAGAGTAATCGTAGTTGGGGCGCGTCGGAGCATATCGATGACGTTTGATCGACTTGTGGAAAAAGATGTAAGTAAAAGATGCGAATGCGATGAGAATGTTCCAGAATATGTCAGAGTCCAGACGATCGGGTTTGATGGTAGGACTGGCTGAAGTGGCTGGACGCGCCTGTTGTTGTGTCGTGTGATGCAGCGTCCGATGAGAATGCGGTTGATACGAAAGGTGAGTTCTTAGTATGTCGTGGAAACGCAGCTTTACTGGAGAGACGAAACGAGTGTCGACGGATGAGGCGGTTTGCAAACACTATAGATCATTCGGGATGGATAAGTTGAGGATGTCGCTAGACGCGAGTAACAGATGCGCGCTCGCGACCAAAACACTGATTTTCAAAACAACCACCAGCTTGTCAAAGATGAGATGAGTGAAATTCGACAAAGAGACTGATATGGTCAAGGCCCAAAGAGAGTGCCGTGCGGGAAGCGGAGCACGTGGTGCGGAGGACCACACTGCAAGATCCCTGTCTGCCAAGACTTCGCGATCACGAAACTTTGGAGTTTAGAGTGACAGCATCAGCGACGGCCATCCACACAGCATGGCTCAGCGACACATGTGCCCTTCAATGGGTGCCTTGAGGCGCTCATTAATAGGGGATGTAGCAGCCCTGCCCAAATGCTCAACGAGGGCACTCCACAGCACAGCGAAGAGACTGGAAGAGCAACCCAGCGATGCATCTCCAGCCCACCGTACGCCTTCAAGACGCTCAATGGTTCTACCAAGTCAATGCTGATCAAGACTCAGCGCCAAACACACGCAAAGCCCGGCAGGCGACTGCTCTCAAGCAGATCACCTCGCTTCAGAACCGCCGCATCCAGCCCGGCGCACTCGCTCGAGGCTCTTTTCCAAGCGGTCAGATGGCACGACGAGCCCCCCGCTCGCCCTCCACTCCGCTCACCAAGGATGGCTTCATCCCCGAAGACAACGCCCCAGCCGATGCGCAGCCAGACGCAAACCCCCGCTTCGCCCGCAACACAGCACGCCCAACGACGACCCGCGGCTCGACCCCTCCCCAGGGCCAGATGGTCCGCGCCCCCTCCACACTGCGTGTAACCCGTCAAACAGTTGACGGCCCTGCTCGTGGCCCCGCTCGTGGACCCAACGTGCGTGGCCCCAATCTACGCGGTCGAGAAGGCGGACGAACAGGACCAGGTGGAAAGCGCGCTGGTGGTGCGCGAGGCAACAACCGTGGTGACGGAGGACCTCAGAAGCGGAAGAAGGGCGCTGGTGGCGAAGAATCGATGCCCACTTCCCTTGCGGACGTGAAGATTGAGGAAACCGTCTCAACGAGCATGCAGCAACAGCTCTTGCGTCTGCAAAGGAAGGAGTGGGACCGCGTGCCTTACGAGCCCAAGTATGCCAAGGGCAGTTTTGCCGCCAATGAGTTGATACACGCTGGAAGGGAGCTGTTCAAGGGCGAGGCCCCACCAGTCAAGTTTTGGGGACCTCTTGAGCACAGAATCGGCGTTGTGGGCATGTTTGGAGCGGAGGCGACTTTGAAGGTTCGCAGGGTGCCCGATGGCGATGCAGAGCCATTTGGACAGGAGGTACTCGAGCAAGAAGGGCCAGTCGAGGCCAAAGGTGCGGAGAAGAAGCAGGCTGTAGCACAATAGAGTGCCATGTGGACTATGTATATTGGAACTGTACATTTACGGATATCAAAGACTCATGATTGTTCGGGATGTGGTTGTTTATTTCTAGCTTGAGGCGTCTATGTACGTGACGTACGCCGTTGCGAGATTACCATGTCTGGCGCGACGCGCATCGCAGATCGTGCCTCTAGAGTTTCCATCAACGAAGTAGCTCAATGCGGCTACAAAGCATCACGACTTATTTGGAAGCCCACACGACCTTGTACTTGAACTGTGTGGGGAAGCTCCTATCTGTGATGAGCAGCTCTTCACCCTCTTCGACCAAGTCGATCATCTTCTTCTCTAGGTTAGGACGTGTTTGCTCTTCGAGGCCTGCGAGCTGCATGTAGAGCGACTTCTCACCCGTACGGATAGAGGGCTTCTTGAGTTGCCTGTGACGGTCAGTATATCATAAACGGTTTCGCGAGAGTGAAGGACATGGATCGGGGAATACATACGCTTCAGGCCGCTCCGCCAACCCATCGATAAACTCCTGCAGCGTGATACCAGGAAGAATCTGGAGAGGACGAGCAATGTTACCAGCACCACAGACGGGACAGTCGTCCTTCTTTTGGTGCTCAAAGGTATATGTGTATACGGAGTCGTCGCCAGTGTACATCATGTAGTTGTCTGTGCCCGGGAAACCCATGAACGGGGCAGTGTTCGTTGCCACCTTGAATGCTTCGTTGCAGCAACTCGCCGCCACGATGGCATTCGTACTCGCAATAGCCGGGATGATGTTTTTAACGACACCTTGTGTCATGCTATAGGTAACTCCTTCAATGTTGAACTCTTTAGCTCGGGCGGATGCCTTGTTGAACAACCAGGTAATGTGCTCTGGGTCGTCGGTATCGAGAGTAATGTCTTTACGCTCTTCTTCCCAGGCGATGATGTGCGCCCATTCGATACAATGTTGTGGTTGACGTGGGATAGTAGCTAGTGTGCACAGAGGCACTGCAGCGCGAGGAGCATGCATGTCGAGCTGGCACTCGATACAGGAAGTCATGGTTGGGAAGATGACACGGGCTTGGCCTTTGAAGCCTTCTGTTCCTCCGTCGATCAACGGCTTCATTGAGTCCGGATCATTCTCATCCACCATACCAACAAGTGTTGCATTGATCCATCGCCTTGCCTCGATGGAATCTAGACCACATACTATGAGTCCGAATTGCATGTAGTAGCTCTCGTCCTTGTCCTGGATTTTGCCACAGTAAGGAGTGATCTTAACGCCCTTTACACGCTTTTCGACGAAAGCAGCAGCAGTCTCAGCCTTGTACTTCCCCACGTCTGAGGCGCGGAAGAGAAATTGTCGATTCAAGTTGCTGACGTCAATGGTATCCATATCGATAACGTGTATGTCTTTGAATCCTGATAGGGCAAGATTCTTGAGGATCTCACAACCCAGACCGCCGGCTCCGCTGGATTTCAGTGAGTAAATATATCAGAGAAAGGTTTGCTATCTCTCATGGTCGAGCATTGACAAGAACATACATGACACTGCATGTCGTTAGCTGTAGTGTCTTGTACCTCAGAGGGAGTAAGTTTCGTACAGAACTTTAAGATTACTTAGGTACTCGATGACCTGTTCGCCAGCCATGAAGGCTTCCTCGTCTGTGAATGGTCCTTTGCGAGTCAGGAAATTGTCCAGGTACTTCCTATCGCATGATATCAGTCAAGAGCTCCGACATTTTCCATGCTTTCGGCTTACCATCGTGCCCGCGGACTGCTTGTTGTGGCGGCACTCATGTTATCGACGCTGACAGCCATCCTGTGTACATGTGTTGAAGATGAGTGTTGGGAGAGTCAAGTGGAGCAAACCGTGGTTGTAGGCATCAGAGTGTAGATGGCCTGCCAAGCCGCTAGGCTGCGGGCCTGCGCATGGGAAAGGAAACACCGATTGGGTAAGGTTCACCAAGCGTCTACCTCTCGCATTGTTCACGAATACAGCAAAACACAACGTTCTGCACGATTGAGTCAAACCGATCAGGGTATATGTTTCAGGCGGTCATATTTAAGCGTCATGACCGATTTCTTGACGGCCGTATCCACCAAGAAGGTTAAGAGCCCCGAACCTCTCATCCAGGATGTAAGGAGTCTGGACATACAAGAAGATGCACTTTTTGTCAATTCTACAGAATCGGCCCTCGGAGCACTAAAGAACCAACCTAATCGCAAGACAGTTAGCAAAGTCCTGAGCTACCTCACCACAGAAGGATTTAGCCTTCTACTACCGGAACCATTGAATGCAAGCATCGCGCATCAACTCATCAACGATACCATCCCAAATTACTGGAGGACCATTAAAGGCTCGATTGAAGTTTTGAAGCTAGAAGACATTCTCCGAAATCCAACAGGACTTGGACATCTCAATACAAGGCTTCGTTCGCTTATTGCAGACAGTCGCCAAAAGAAGGCACCCGGTGACGCGCGGAATACAGCTGAGCACATCGCGGATACCCTCGAGATATTGAGTTCAGTACTGAGCGGGGATGAAACATCTCACCGCGTGTTGCAAGATGTCTTAGCATATGGTAAGAACTCAACGCAAAGAAAACTCATCTGGAAGGAGTACCTCGCGCAAGTCGCGTCCGGCCGTCTACTATCGATCGCAGCGGAGGCTGAAGACATACTCAAAAAGAGTGATGGGGTTTATCAAGACGCTGTCTGGGTCGCAGACGGTAAAGAGTACGCGGCATGGTTAGGGCGCAACATCGCCATTTTACTCGAGCGCAGCTCAAGTAGCGAGGAGGGTCTCACTGCAGTTATAGAGCTTTGCTCAAAAGCACTGAGCTTGGGTTACACTGGTATGTCAGCGCATCAAGTTCCTTTAGTTTGTGCTAACAGCTCAGATCGGATCGTAAGCTCCCTCTTTCGAGCATTGATTGATAGTAGCTCGCTTGAGCGCCTCCCGAATCTTCTGCCTCGGATGAAAACTTTTGAGCAGCGGAAATATCTCAACGCAATAGTCGTGTTGGTGACCAAAGAATACTTCTCTGTAGAGAACGTCCTTAGAGATGACGCCTCTATTGCAGTGTCTTCCACCGTTTCCTCTGCTGCTGCTCTATTTTATACACTTATCAAGGACAATGACGTTCTAAAAGAGCATCTCGTTTCGTTACTTTCGCGATCAACAATACCTGCGCTCGACGAGTCACTCTTGTCCCGACGGAGTGCATTGGCAGCTCTTGCAAAGGATGACGGTCAGTATAGATTATGCACTCATTGGTACTTGCGACTAACAGCTCATAGAGAAGTTACATACTCTTCTCGAGAATCTCATAAAAACCTTTGGCGATTCTGTATACATAAGGCATACGCCTGTACTGCAGCAAGAAGGTACGTGATGTTTGTACACCACATGATCATCTTTCTGCGATAGCCCCACTCAAAAACTGGGTTGATCAGACCTTCTGGTCCGCATTGCACTTCATGAACATAGCCAGCTGACAAATCTCAGCTCTTGCTCAGACCTTGGCACTATGCAGTGGCTACGTGAAGCGTTCGCAGCCTATGTTTCTCATGATGATGGCAAAGTCAACATATCATGTCAACGGCATGTCAAACCGCATAGGAGCAGCATCTACGCGAGCTCGCTTCTTGGGTATTGCAGTTGGTGTTGCCATTTCCAAAATGGTTGACAAGCCGGAACTTCAACTCAAGTTTGAATTAGAGGGTGCCGAAGCAGAAGAAGCGAGTTGGTATCAACGTCTTACCGAGGTCGACGATAGAGTTGGAGACATTACGGATTTTAAGACAAAACGCGATGACATTGCACCAGCAAAGAAAGTCCAGTCAAAGCCCAAGTCAACCCCTAGAGCGCCCAAAGCTCCCGCAATCACCGAGATGCAAGGCCCACGGGTCGTTGAAGTCATGTCAGACTCTGAAGATGAAGATGCAGATCTGATGGTGTACGAGAAGCCAGACTCTGATCCGGAAGACGACACAGACGACCCAACGGCTATCAACCGCAACAAACCTACCGCACCCGTCTACATCAGGGATTTGATCGCGGGGCTGCGAGACCAGGAGAACTACGATCGCCATGAACTTGCTTTAGCCACCGCAGCATCTCTGATTCGCCGTAAGGCGAACTTCGGAACTGAAGTAACGGATCACCTTGAAGAATTAGCCACTTTGCTTACCGGGTTGCAAGACAATTCGGAGCTAGAAGGCTTCGCACAGCAACGGCAGCAGGCACTGATCGCCGTGCTACTTGCGAAGCCAGCACAAATGGCGCAGTGGTTCGCTCGGTCTTTCTTCTCGGGTGATTACAGTCTACAGCAACGCATCGCTATGCTTACAACTCTGGGCCTCGGGGCGCGTGAGCTAGCAGGTATGAAGGACACCTCGACCAACGATCTGGTACCAGCAAAGCCAGACTTCCCCAGCAAACAGCTTCCGCCGCACCTCCACAAGATTTACGCTGAGGACAACAACGCACCTACAGTAGCGAAGATCTCAAGCAGCATGGCGCGTGAGATGCTGTCACCCATCGCTAGCCAGGCAGCCGACCAGCTCAGCGGCCCTAACATCTTGAAAGTCCGGACCTTCTCTTCGCGCATGGAGGTCGAGAAGAAGCGACACAAGCCCATACCGAACGCACTTGCGCAGATCGTCGCAGACAACTTCTTCTTCCCGCTCAGTGGCCGTTGGTGGCTCCAAATCCGCGCGAATAATGACTCGATATATGCGTCTACTCACCTCCTCCCTCCTTTCTTACAGACCTTGTCATTGCTGTTGAACGCATCTGGCCCGAACACGCTCGCTTTACCGCAGATGACGCGTGAATACTGGGACCTGCTACTGTCGGTGCGCGGACTCGCGAGCAAGGACAAGAACATCCTGAACGCGGTCTTGTTCGGCTTCTTGATGTTGCTTGAAACGAACGAGAACAAGGAGCGGGTGGCTACGGAGCAAGGTAAAGAACTTATGGAGACACAGGCTTGGGTGAGGTCGGTATTCGAAGATTTAGGTACGGGAAGCGAGGAGGATGAGAGGGTACGCGTGTTGGCTGCCGGCGTCGTGGTCCGGTGTCAGGAGGTGATTGAGAAGTACCAGAGGAGGATGGCAGGAGCGCTGATGGACTATTAGCGTGGGTGTAGAGTATATTCGCGCAAGCTTGCGGGAGTCAGATGTTGGGTTCAACCAGTTGGCAGAAAGAGCGGTAATGTTGTTGCCTAGACTCCTACGCTCAACAGTAGAAAAGTCGATCCACCCAGATAATGTTACTTGCGGCAGCGACAATAATGACTCGTTATCGCGATGCCAAAGGCCAGGAAATAGCGAAGACGACATCTCGCGATCGATTTGCCGTAACCTAGTAACCTCGAAAACTTCACGTGTACCAAGCGAGTAGCTATAAAGGCATCCGTACAACAGCGAAGGTGATAGGATCGTCGCGACGCGTAAACCTCCAACGCGTGCGCGAACACCAACAAGTCCCTCAATCACCCAGCGCAAGTCTTCTTCCTCAAGACACCACGTAAAGCGGTGTCATCAATGAAAAAGCGACACAGATGTGTGACCAGCAAAAATTGCCCCGCCGAGATTCCCGAAGGAAGCTCGTGAGAATCCAGTACCGCGCTGTGCAATGCAGACCAGACGCTCAGATGAACCCAATCTTTGAGCTGGGTCATCGCAAGAAGGTAAGTATGCAGAATTACTTTCGAGCGAAGGGCGGTATTTATATCGATAGATACTTGGCACGCTAAAAGACACGTGAGGAGGAGCTAGGCAGTGAGGGTATCTGGGCGAACTGTGCGCTGGTGGGCTTGAAGGTGGTTGGGGAGGTTGGTGCGGGCCCACCTGAAACTATGATTCGTGTAACGGCATTGCCAAAAGCCCACCCTAAAGACACTCACCCAGTTCTGCGTTAGGCTGATAAGGTGGATGACAACGTACACTTTTACTGTGTTTACTATTGTCCAAACTGTCCCGAATAGGTGCTTTGCATCTGGTAAGCCTCCCTTCATTCTACTGCTAGATCACACGACCAGTCCAGCATGAGTTGGGGCTGCAAACAATTTCATGAATGTTACCACCAACCACACAGTAAAGCCTAGCTTCAGGACTGTCGTTCTCGTCCAGCCAGCCCAGAGCTGCGATAGCACCTCCTGCATCATCCCCACGCAGCCATGCATCTGTCGAGGGATTACCCGAGCTTCCTGGTACCCAGGCAATGAGTTCTGTCTCATTCAAGGATGTTATCTCAGTCGCGCGTTTGTCGTCCTGGATAATGTAGTTCTGCGTCACTCCATTCTCACCCAGGTAGTCGGAGGCACCAATCGCCGCATACAGGTTAACGTTGGAGCTGTTCTTTACATCGAGAGAAAGCGCTGCACGAACGTGGTTAACAAAACCGGCCGTTGAGCCTATTGTGCGACTTACGATTGGCCCATGGCTCGTTCCTGGAATCCCAGTAAACCTCCCTCAAGTTGCCCTGCGGACCGCGATGCCATACTCTGATAATGAAAGGACGTTCGACAGCATCGATCGTGGCAGCAATCGCAGTGCCAGGTAGTATCTGAAGAAACGGATCGGCCACTGTCCACTTGCCTCTAGAGTAGCTCCCCCCACTCATCTGTCCATACATGTCCTGGTGGAACGTCCTAATCTGGTTACCAGGGTCGAGGAAATGCACTGCTGCTAGACCCGAATCGCTCGAGATGCCCGAATCGATTATGATATTGCCTGCTCTCCACGTACAGTTTGTGCCACCACCCGAACATAGTCCGCCGATTTCGATCATCTGGGTGTCTTGGTTGTAGTAGTAGATTCGGATCTTGATTTGGAGTTAGTGAGCTGAGCGACTACTATCATCGATAATGGAGAAGCCGATTTCCCCAATTTGCACCTAGCGCTTGAAGCGTATCCTAACGGTATACACTCGCAACGTTCTGCGAGTAATATGACAGAAAGACAAGCGCATACCTCTAGGATACGCTTCGAGTATCAGGCATACTTTAGGGAAAGACGAACAACGAATACCTTCATACAGATCCAATGCTTACCTGGTCTCGGCCGTCATCGACCCAGGATATAGACGCAAGCGGCGAGCCCCTCTTTGCCGGAATAGATAGATTAATGTCGAGGCTTACCCACCCTTCATCGCCAAATATCCTGGCCTTCAATGTCCCGGACTCCAAGTAAAAGATGTGTATATGTCCTGGATTCCCTGTTCGGCTTGCGGCGATGCTAGAGATCTTGAATGACGAGCGCAACGATGAACCAGGCGTCGATGCGGGGCCTGTGGCTACAGTAGAAGTTGCACTAGCCGACAATGTGCCATAAGAAGACGACAGAGATGAACATATTGAGGACTCTGAAGTGCTGGGCGTGGATTTCGCAGAATCGCCGTTCTCTGTGCGTCCTACCAGGCCGCCAACCAGTCCACCGACGAGCCCTCCGATGACCACCAGAACCACCAGCGCAGCTGTCCAGAGCGGAAAACCGCAGAGCTTTCGTTTCCAAATGACCTGCTTTGCACCATCTTCCTCTTCTTGAGCAGCACCACCAGGAGCCCCTTTGAGCTGTTGATGATGTCCGTGGGAAGGCTGTAGGTATCTTTGTGCGGTATCCGGCTGTGCAACCTCAATGCCTTCTGCGTATTGGTTATAGACTTCAGGATACGAGGAAATCGGGGCTGGCGATGCCGTAGGTGAGTTTGGCGACCCGGGTAGCTCCTGACGCTCGATTGGCTGCGCCTGCTGATATTAACTGGGGTTGCACTGAATAGACACTCGAAGCTGGTCAGCACTTACCATAGGTTTCCCACGAAGCGTAACAGGCTGTTCAGAATGCGACTCCTCTTGAGCGATTTTTTTAGTGGAATCAAAATTCTGGCAAGTGATTTCTACTACCAGAGCTAGTAGGCCCTTCCTCATCTTATGAAGCTGTTTTTTCAGCCTTGTCGTCACCAATGCCAACGGCCCCTGGGTCGAGGCCGGAGTGAGTACTGCAACAAAAGCATTCCTTACACCAATAGGAAACAAGAGGCATCGGGTAGAGTAAGGTCTGGTTTTGGCGTGGCTTGGTGAAGCCTATCTCAAACGACAGTCCTATCAGCTTCTAGCGAAACGGCTAGTATGACCGTATACTGTGCTTGGCAAGACGAGGGTACAGATCCGTCGCAGCCACGCGTTTGCTGTTCCTCTCTAGCTGCTTCTTAACTTACCGATCGCTCACAGCAAGCTACCAAGATCGAGAGGTGGCTTACGGCCTCAGCAGCCTTCTGGACACCGCATCACACACTATAACAAGTAAGAGATTACACAAGGGTAGAGGAACAATCCGCCTGTAATTTAGCCTACTACGACGTATGGTAAAGGAATTGGAGTAACAGAACAGCTATGTAGGCTTCTAGGTTGCCTACTCACACACTCGATGTTCTCATCGCGCGTTGCGTAGTGAGAAAGGAGAAGATCCCTGGATCATATTGAGTAGAGATCCTTTTGTTTTCCCACTCCCTGTAGGGCGTTCATGCGGTATGGATGGCTGAGGTTTGTTTGGTGGAATAACCAGATGTCTTGTGGTATCTGGTTCATGCCGTCATCCTTCCCGATTGGTAGCCGCCATCCAGGCACGTGCGCACGCATTTTGATCATACCTACCTAGATACGCTCAAACTCTGCACATCGATGTCAAATCTAACTTTTTTCAACCCATTCAAGATCATGTGCTTATACGTGGAAACAATATCCGAGAAGCGTCTATGTCAGTATTGGGTTAATATCGTCCACAATGAATGCGCACATGATGCCGAACGCAATGGAGCTCATCACCGAGCGATCTGAAGCTGTAAACTTGCAAGGTATCATTCATAGTTTGAGAGTGCTTACAACCGTCTAAAAGGAAGAAACCCGTGGTCTGCAAATGCCCGTGTACACTCGAATGGAAGGCTGTAAGCCATTTTGACTGGCTAGCAACGGAACTCGTAACAGAAAAGGTGGAAACTGAGGTGGTATCTTCTTCTTAACAACTCATCTCTGCGTGCGACCTATACGGATTTCTTGTAATCGCTTTTCAATCTTTCCAGCCCTGTTCAATCCTTCATACAGGGCCCAAGCAGCAAGCGTCTTAGCATCTCTTGCACCTTCTTTCCAAAGCACTTCGTAATCGCGTACGCGCAAAGTGATCAGTTCGTCCTTGGCGCGTTCGCCAGTCAACTTGCCCTTCAAGGCCTCGATCTCCTTCCGGTCCAGGTCTTTCTCCCACAACAGCAACGGGATATATTCGTCAAGATTTGCAGGGCTCATGTACAACGCTTTTTGCAGATGCTCTTTGGTTTCAGCCTGCTCGAGAGCCATCGCCGTCAGGTCGATCAGCTCCTCTCCCCTGACCCTTAGACTCGTCTCTTCTTCAATTTCCTGCATCGCTTTCCCAATAACATCGCCAGACTTATCGTCCAGCATGCCCGCGGGAATCTCAAGGAAAGCAGTGCTACATGCGCCGATTCGCGGCTGCTCTGTGAGGATGACATATCGCTCGTTCCTAGCGTCCTTGGGTCGTAGTATCATAAGGACGGCTACACTACCGCCGCGCAAGAAGATGACTCGGTTTAGGGATTTGTCGTTCTTTTTCATCAATGCTTCGATCGTCATGAAGCCTATCTTGCCGTCATCAAACACGGTGACGTTATGTATCATCACGCCTGTTAGGCGCCATGGATCCTTCTCAAACGTGTGTCCAGGAGTTGTTTGCACTTCAAGATTCTTTTTGAGCGCATCCAACCAATTCTTGAACGCCGGAAATCCCAGCAGCGTCTTTTCGTTGAGGTCGTGGCCATCGGCAACTGTGACAGGTATGGAGTCCCAGGCGGCTGACAGATTGAAAGTGGGTGGCATCCTTGCCGTGTGTTTGAGATATTGTAGAACGTAGAAACTATGTGATGAGTGATGGATAATGGACAGTGGCCTCCTGCTATCTTTCAAGGATGTGAAAGCCTTATGGGTGAGGTCTAGGCAGCGAAAAGGCTGAATGTGCTGATGAGTGTCTAGTTGAAGCCTGGTGGGGGCGCAGCAACAAGCCCATAGAAATCAAGATGTCGCGTGGCACCGGGCCTCAGGCAAGAGCACACCGGTGCAGGGTTTGCCAGCGTTGCGCCCCAACTTCGACAATACGACCTACATTTATCCCGCTCTGAAAACCAACTAACGATCTGGGATGCAGCGATTAGCCTATCCGATGGACAGATTTGGCGCTTCTCATCTGCAGCGCTGCAGCTCCTACCTCAGCTGAGACAATCGCGGTTAGGATGCAGCGAGGCACAGGCGCCTCGCATCCTGCGTGCTGTACACTCATCGCACTTGGTGACTGCACTCTTGTATGACTTTTCTCGCTCGAATATATCCCTTGACACTCTCTCTATTCTCTTCCAAAGTCTAACCATGTGTCTACTCAGGCGCAGTACTTTGTCTGGATCGTGATAGTATTCATTCGCGCTAAGCACAGCCTGCCCCCACCAACAAGGCCAACAACCACCTCAGCCTTGTCTTGCCGAAATGCTTTGCAAAATATGCGTGGGTATGCTAAGGGGTGGAAGAGGAGAATTGTGGGCAGGAACTCACGACCTAACATTTGATCATCACAAAACTACAACATCGCTTCGAAGATCTAGAGAGGCAGATTGCTCGATATGCATATCGTTAGCAAACGTCCTTCGGCACGATATGGACCTGCTGGAGGATCAGCCCATCTCAATTAAAGCCAGCTTGAGGAGACTACCTGACGACAAGCCGGATGAGAAAAAGTACTGCCTTGACTTCGACCTAAACAGATTGTATAATCGCATATATTTGCTGAAAGAGACCAGTAAGTTGAATCATGGTAGAAATTACAAGGTGCGCTCTAAGAATCCACGCAGACCCAAAGAACCGTCGGTTGCGAACGCCAAGATCGTTGGACACATCTTCCGAGGAAGTGTTTGAGGTAGCTCAAAGCTGGATGAAAGACTGCAAATGTGGAGACTTCTGGAAAGAGCCTGGCGAGAGGTTTTACCCTAAGCGTCTGCTGGACCTTGAACAGCTTCGCGGCGCCAACGGGATCACAGACATAGACAGCTTGACGATCCTGTCAGAACATGGCGACGTAGAACGAAAGAAGGTGTACCTGATTGAGACAGACGAGGTGTTTGTCCAACGTTCAATCGGCGCTACCGAATTGTCGATGAAAGTCTGGGACAGCAAGAAGAAGAATAAGTCAGTGCGTAAAGAACAGAAAAATCATCGTTATGTTACACTGAGCCATTGCTGGGGGAAGCCAAAGAGTGTCCAAGGACAGCTCAGATTGGACGAAACCACTAAAGAACGTTTCAAACGAGAAGGTATCGAGCTACGAGAGCTACCGAAAACTTTTCGAGACGCTATTCTGTTCGCCTGTCGCCTAGACAAAGTTGGGTTCATCTGGATCGATTCGATGTGCATCATACAACCGACTGAGAGCTACAGCAACCGCTCGAAAGAGTCTGTCAAAGATTGGCTAGAGCAGAGCCGAACAATGGACCAGATATATCGGGGGTCCTTCCTCAATATCTCCGCCACTGCTGCAGTTGACGGAGATCAGGGTTTGTTCTTCAGTCGGCGACCAGAGTATCTTTGGGAAGACGAGATCAACGTCAACTACTCTGGAACAAATCTGTTTGGATCGGAGAAGATCGGAAGTACAGAAAGAGATCAGCTGACGAGGTGCACTGTTATAGACGTGTCATTTTGGGATGAACTAGTTGAAAATGCAGCCGTCAACCGCAGAGGCTGGGTTCTTCAGGAACGTCTCATGGCGCCGCGTGTACTGCATTTCTGTCGCGACCAGATCGCCTGGGAGTGTGCAGAGTTTGAAGATGCCGAAGGCCATCCTGAGATGAATCTAACTCTGAGGGCCAAGCTAGGGTCTATTGTAGATGAAGGGCGCCTCAAGGACCTAACTCCAGAAGCTGGTCGCACACTACGAAACAACCGCCTAAATGGCTTTCCGGATCCCGACAAAGACATGACAGACCTTTACATATACGAACTATGGAAGCATATTGTTGAGGTCTATTCCAGAACACAACTCACAGTGTCGAGCGACAAACTCATAGCACTTTCAGGAATCGCGCGACGTTTCTGCGAAGGGAATTCCAAACTGTTCACGCTACCAAATAAGTACATTGCGGGATTGTGGAGCCAGAACCTAGAGAGCCAGCTTCTTTGGCAAGTGAATGAGCTTTTTCGTGACGGCGTGTTCGAGAACCCAGCACGACGCGATGCAACTCGAGCGCCTTCGTTCTCCTGGGCATCCATTGATACTCCTCACGGTGTTACCTATCCAGATGTCACCGACTACAAGCCTGAAGAAACAAGTGAAAGGCGAACCAGGGCTCATAATCAGCCCAAAGAACTCATGCTCGAAGTGCTAAAGCATCGCATCAAGCTGTCGGACGAAGACAACAAGTTTGGCATGGTAGTGCAAGGACGACTATTGCTCAAGCCTCGCTATCTCAGGAGGATTGAGCTGCGTAGGCTCCACCCACCCCTCAGGGTTCCCTACAGCTGGCGCCTCAAGCCAGATGCGTCCACGTCTGAAGTGGTGCAGACCACTTCCAAAGCTGCGCGCCCACTCGAAAACGCCAATCTCTATCTCGACGCTCCCGAATCCGATGTCGATATTTTCTTCGACGACGCGGAACTATACTGCATGCCTGTTGCGTATGGGGAGCGAACAGTACGGGAATCCTCCCGTTATCTGTACTGCTTGTTGCTCAAATTAGAGAAACATGTAGAATTCGACCCCGAAGCCAACGCTTCAAACAAGCGCAGGGTTGGCTTGTCGCCCCCCACACAATACCCCATGTTCAGGCGGATTGGCATAACGAAGCTGTCGAATCATTTGGATAAAGACGCACAAAACGCTTTGATGTCGGAAGACAACAAACTGGAGATTTGCTTGGACTGACGGAGCGTGCGGCGGCGCACTGGTCTGATATTCTTGATTAACCAACTCTCTTCGGTGACTGTCCTCAGCAACATGATTGTAGTAGAAGTTCTGTATGAATGAGCCAGGGAAGTACAGATAGCTGCATATTTTTGAGTGCGGCACCGTTACCATGTTCAATTGACCCCACTTTCAGATGTGCCCCTCAACCCCACCATCAGCAGAGCCCGGCTGTCTCGTCTCATAACAGCTTGGGATGATTAATAACTACAGATCATATAGCAAACTACTAGAAAATTTTCCATCGATTACCTAATCGGGCGCTTGGTCTAGGTAAGCTGCCACTGGATCCAACTTCTACAACAACAAAACTAACAATGCTCTCAGGGGTATGATTTGTAAGACAACACCACTGCTCACCATTCTCGAACATCATCCTAACATTCAACTTCAGTCGCTTCGCATACATCTGCGTAATCTGTGAAAGGTCGTGGGTTCAATTCCCACAGCGTCCACATTCTTTTTGCACTTTTCTGTGTGCCTGGATAGATCGAGCTCGCTTGTGCGCAGCGAACGAGTTGTATGGTTCCTTCCATCTTTTCCGCTGTTCCCGTGGTTGCTCCTGCTTGTTCTCGCTACGTGTAACAACGTTGAGTGGGGTGTAAGTGCTGCTTTTTGCGAGAAATGGCCGTGCAGCGAACGTGAGGGGTGTATTCTCTGACTTCCTAAGAGCAAAACAAAACATTAGCTGTGAACACTGTCGTTGTCTCAGGGAGAAACGGGTCTTTCTTTTTGTACTAATTGCGTTGATGAAGTAGTAAATACTGCTCGTTTGTTTGCTTCAGAGAGCGAGCTGAGCACGAACTATCACCATGATCAATGGCAAAGAATATGCAGATCATCCAAATGTATTGCTGCTAATGTTCAAAAGATATATACAAAGAAACCCGGGGTATATGTGCGCCGTATCCAACCATCCAAACAAGCAAGTCAGCAACCAGTGTGACTAGCCAAGCCATTGCCATCGTTCGTGAAGCACCGCTCAGTGCCTTGCGTGGTGCCTCGTGAGCCTCTGCCTGTGCTCCCTGATATGTCTTGCCATGCGTGCACTTCTGGCAGCGGCAGCAGGCGCTGGCGTCTCGGCAGGAGTATCGGCAGTGACGGTAGCATATACTGTCTCATAAACTGTGCGTACGGCTTGAACAGTGTCTGTGACAGTGGGAGCAGCGGGGTCTGCTGAGATGGCTGCGTCCGCCGGAGGGGCCTTGACAGCGTCGGTGGGCGCTGGAGCAGGCACTGCAGGCACGGCGGGTGCTTGAGATACAGCAGGTACATTGGAAGGTTGAGCGATGCTTTGTGCTGTACTGGGAGCGGCTGCTGCGCCACTAGAGTTTTGGATTGGAGTGTTAGTGCCCTCAGGAAGCGACGCGGCAGGTGTTGTCGAGGGCGACGTCTCGTTGGAAGGTTCATTGCCGCTACCAGCTCCAGCTTTGGGCCACTGGAAGCCGGACATGGGACCATTGTTTGTCGGGGCTGGAGCTGGTGCGTTGACCTGTGTGGTCGGCGCGACGATTGGGCTTGGAGATTCGGCGGGGATGCTAGGAGAAGCATCGTCGGCAGGAGGCGACGCAACTGGGGCACTGGGCGACGCGGAGGGAGCTACCGAAAGTGTCTCGCTTGTCGGGATTGGCGCGAAGATACCGGACACCGAAGGGGTGATGAGCGAAGTCGGGACTGCAGGGTATCCGGATTCTACAGGAAGGCCAGAAGACACAATTGGCGTCTCCGATGGAACTGGCACAGAAGCGTACACAGCGCTGCTCTGCTCGGACACTGAAGAAGATTGAGGGGCATAGGCAGCACTGCTCTGCTCGGGCACTGAGGAGGGCTGAGGGGTAGCGCCGTAGCCACCGTTGTCTTGGTACACCTTCAGCGAGTTGATGGTCCAGTATGCCTCGGTAAAAGCCTCTGGGTTATCCCGTACCCATTCCTCGCATGTCGATGCCTTCTTGCTGCAAGAACTGTTCTTGGCGTTCCAAACACTGCTGCTGCCCGCCCATTGTCCACAGAAGGTAGTGTCGAAAACGATCTGCTGCTGCTTGAACGTGTTCTCAATATCGCAAGCACCGGCGAACTTGGCAGCTGGCTTGCCCCAGCCACTGGGGTCTGGGCTGTCACCGAGAACGTCTTCCGGGATGGAGTCGCGTGGGAAGAAGTAAATGCTAATAGCTTCAGCGGTCCATTGGGTGGCGTATACACCTCCACCATTAGCGTTCAAGCCTGCACCGTAGCTCTTGGTTGATGGGTCTTCGATGGAGCATCCCGCATTCTTTGACTGGTCTTCGGCAGCAACATCGCAGTTTCCTGTGGTTACCGAACCCGCAAACTGGGTGGTGTCATCGCCAATCTGGCAGCCTGGGCCTGTGTGGAGGGTCATGCCGTTGTTCGTCTGGTCGTTCACGCCTTCGATAATGTCAATCTCGCCGTTCTTTGGCCAGTTAGGACCGGTGGTCCAGAAGCTGCGGTACGTTAGTGATGTAACTCTACATCAAGTCAAGTCTACTTACGCTGGCCATGTACCACAGCCAAAGGGCATGTGGGCGACATCCACCACAATCAGCCCGCTATCGTATGTCTTCTTGCTCTCAATACGAATACTGGGCCTTCCCTCTGGTGTCTGGTTCTGTGTGTCTACGCCCCACGAGATGGCCGAAGTAGACGAGTTGATGAGGTTTGTCTGTCTTGCCGTAGCTTCATTGACATACTGTACGAAACCTTCTGTCGGGTCGGGTCCGGTAAAGAAGTCAAAGGCCCCGTAAAAGTCCGTCATGTAGTCATCCTCTAGAACATAGCCAGCTATGCTTAGTTGGAAAAAGGCCGTAGCCGAAGTGAGTGTGGAGAAACGCATCGTCAAGACGCTGAAAACCGAAGAAGATAGTAATGAATGACTGCGTACTAGACGCGTGGACAAAAAAGACACAAGAACTGAAAAGGCGATAGTACGAGATGGCGATATAACCAAGCAGCAGATGGTCGAAAAGGGACGACCTACCTATATATGCAGGCCTAAGATAGAGCCGCGCCAACGTCCCGAACATGGCAACAATCAATTCGCCCCTAGGGCCTCGTCTACTGACTAGACGAGTGCGGGTGAGTGTACATCTCCCGTTAGGCACATCGGGCTTCGTTTCAACATGATGGGAATTATAGACGGGCCGAGTCGATCTCCGGTTAGCAACATTGAGGGGACCTGCAGGAACCAGTCAGGCCCGTATGATGGGGGATCGATAGCGCTGGCAAGGCTGCCCGGATTTTTAACCAAACATGGGCTGTTTCATGAGAAATAGGACGGATGGCCCGTTGGTAAACGGACTGAGGCGCTTGAAACAGACAGAAGCGCATATCCTGGTTGATATGTGGCGGAGGCTACGGGTATTATCGACGGCCTGAGGCATTTGTCGCGGCTGCCGACATGTGATTCGCTGTCAAGGCGTTGAAACGCGTGGTGCTGGAGGGTGGGATGAAGGAGAGCGGTTGCTGGCCAATGCCGCGCGCTGGTTCTAGCGCTTCCGAAGCGAGCGCAGTGTTCCACCAGTCTGAAACCAACTACTCGGCCAATGAGTCGTTCGAGACGATCGACACAATTCTGGAGATATATATGCTTGTTCCAGGAGGGGTGCAGAGATCTGGCCCGCGGTGTACGTGTAACTATCTTCATTCATATCTGGTATTACGCGTCGTTATTAATGTAATGGGACAACTACTGCAGCGACTCGACTACAATGGCAGAAGCACCACCGCCACCGTTGCAGATTCCGGCACAGCCAATCTTGCCCTTCTTCTCCTTTAGTACACCGAGCAGTGTAGTTGTGATCCTGGCACCGGAAGCACCAAGCGCGTGGCCGATGGCGACGGCACCACCGTGCAGGTTGACCTTGTCTTCTTCAATACCAAGGATCTTCATGTTGGCGAGGGCAACGACACTGAAGGCCTCGTTGATCTCGAAAGCGTCGACAGCGGAGAGCTCCACCTTTGCGTGCTTCAGAGCCTTGGGCATGGCGAGCGCAGGGGCGGTGGTGAACTTGGAGGGGTTCTGCTCAGCGTCACCCCAGCCGAGGATCTTAGCAATGGGCTTGAGGCCGTGCTTCTTGACAGCCTCCTCAGAGGCCAGGACGAGAGCAGCAGCGCCATCGTTGAGCGGTGAGGCGTTGGCAGCGGTGACGGTTCCGTTTCCGGGCTTGAATGAAGGCCTCAATGTGCGCGTCTTTGCCTCGTTGAACTGCAAGTGATGAGTAAGAAAGTGCGGATTAGTGAACATGACAAAGACTGCGACTTACGTTCTTGGGCTCGTCGTCACGGTCTACAACGACCGGAGGCTTGCCACGTCCTACGGGAACCTCGATGGGGGCGATCTCCTCCTTGAATAGGCCAGCCTCGTGCGCGGCAATGGCCTTCTTGTAGGAGCGGATGCAGTAGTCATCCTGTTGCTCACGGGAGAAGCCGTGGTCATCGGCGCACTCCTCGCCCTGCAGACCCATGTGCTCCTTCTTGTATGCGTCGGTCAGACCATCCTTCAGCACACCGTCGACCAGCGATTGGTCTCCAAACTTGGCGCCTGTCCTCATGTTGGGGAGGTAGTGGGGAGTGTTGGACATGCTCTCGGTTCCGCCTGCGACGACAATGTCGGCATTGCCGGTTATGATGGTCTGCGCGCCGACAATGAGGGCCTTGATGGACGAGGCGCACACCTTGTTGATGGTGGTTGCGACTGTCGACTCGGGGAGGCCAGCGCCAAGGGCACACTGACGGGCGGGATTCTGGCCGAGGCTGCGGCTATGTCAGTACAGTGCTTGTGAGGCCGTCGGTGTATTTTGCAGTCGGTGTATTTCGTACTTTGCTGAGAGGACATTGCCAACGAAGACTTCCTCGACGTCGGTGGGCTTGATGCCAGCGCGCTCAACAGCAGCTGCAGGGGCTTGTTAGACGGACAGACGGCTCGATTGGCAGCAAGTATACATACCCTTGATGGCGTGAGAGCCCAGCTGGACTGCACTCAGGCTCGAGAGGGAGCTGTTGTCGCGTGAGTTGGCGTTGCCCCTCTTCTCGAGCACTAGAAAACATACCCCAAAAACGCGCCCGTGGGCGTACGGGCAGCCGAGACAATGTAAACGGGGGGAAGGGACGACATGGTGGGTATCTCTTGGGTGCAGGAGGGCGATTGAAGGTGCAGAGAGGGTATACAGGCTTGCGTTTAAATAAATGCCCCGACTACAGCAAGGACATCTTTTTGAAGTTTAGCCTTGCGCGACAACGGCGGCCAGGGTAAGAACTCGTCCCTGCGTCGCCTCGGAGGCCCATTGGCTGATGGCCGCCTCCGCCCTCACCGCCCAACGCTAGCCCGCGGAACCACCCTCTGAACTTTTGCGATAGCTTCGAGCTCGACGCGCATCATCACCGCGCAGATACCCACCCATACCGCCACCATGGATGACCTTTACGACGAGTAAGCACCGACAATCGCCTCCAAAATGCTACGCGACTGACTTGTCCCAGGTTTGGAAATTTCATCGGCGAGGCCGAGTCCGACGACGATGTCCAGAGCACCGGCGAGGCAGCCGACGCCTATGTCCTCGACGACGACGACGACGAGGCTGATACCAACGACCAGCAGCTGATGGAGGTGGACGAAGGCCCATCCAACGCCGTAATCCTCCACGAAGACAAGCAGTACTACCCTTCCGCGTCCGACGTATACGGCCCAGATGTCGAGGTGTTGGTGCATGAAGAAGACACGCAGTCGCTGGCGCAGCCTATTATCGCGCCGGTGGTGCAGAAGAAGTTTACCATTCAAGAGACAGACCTGCCCCCAGTCTATCACTCAAGAGAACTCCTGACCGACTTGATGAACTTTCCCAACCAGATACGAAACATCGCCATCGCTGGACACCTGCACCATGGAAAGACCGCGTTCATGGACATGCTGGTCATGGAGACACACGACATCCAAGACCGTCTGGACTACAAGAGGGGGAAGAAGCGGGAAGAACAACTACGATACACCGACGTACACGTGCTCGAACGCGAACGGGGCCTCTCCATCAAGACCGCACCCATGAGCCTAGTCCTCCAGAACACAAAGTCCAAGTCGCATCTCTTCAACATCCTCGACACCCCCGGACACGTAAACTTCGCCGATGAAGTTGCCGCCTCGCTGCGCCTCGTTGATGGAGTAGTCTTGGTCGTGGACGTAGTCGAGGGCGTGCAGGTCAACACGGAGCAAATCATAAAGCACGCCGTGCTGGAGGACCTGCCCCTCACACTGGTAGTCAACAAGATGGACCGCTTGATTCTCGAATTGAAGCTACCGCCCAGCGATGCATACTTCAAGATCAAGCACGTTATTGAGGAAGTCAACACAGTCATCGAGAACACCATTCCAGGCCGCGGCGAGAGCAGACGGGTAAGCCCTGAGAAAGGCAACGTCGCTTTCGCTTGCTCCAGCATGCGCTGGTGCTTTACCATCCAGTCCTTCGCAAAGATGTACTCTGACTTCTACCCTGGACCATCCAAGCTGCCAGGATTCGGCGTTCCAATGAAGGGTCTCGATATCGACAAATTCGCCATGCGCCTTTGGGGCGACATCTTCTACAACCCAGGAAGCCGCAAGTTCAGTCGCAAGCGTCAGGAGGAGGGCTCACAGCGGTCCTTTGTGCATTGGATCCTGGAGCCCGTCTACAAGATCTACTCGTACACACTAAGTCAAAGCCCGGACGACCTCAAGGAGACGCTCGACACATTGGGCATCCGATTGAAGCCATCTGAATACAAGACAGACGCGAAGGAGTTGATGCGCCTGGTATGCCAGCAGTACTTTGGTCCATCTCTGGGATTCGTAGACATGATCACCCAGCATGTCCCGTCGCCTGAAGAAGGAGCGCAGCGACTACTACAAAGACATTACACTGGTCCTTTGGACACAAAGACCGCCGAGGCCATGCAGAAGTGCGACCAGAACGGACCCCTAGTCATACATGTTACGAAGCTCTTCAACGCGACAGATGCGAAGTCATTCACCGCACTAGGCCGCGTAATGAGTGGTACCGCAACTTCCCCGCAGTCGGTGCGTGTTCTTGGAGAAGGCTACACAATCGAAGATGAGGAAGACATGGTCGTCGCTACAGTGACGGACACATGGATCGCGCAATCGAGATATAACATCCCCGTCAGCGGCGTTCCGGCAGGTAACTGGGTGTTGCTTGGTGGTGTTGACAACTCGATAGTCAAGACGGCGACTATTGTAGCCACCAAACTCCCCGACGAGGAAGACGCCTACATTTTCCGACCCATCCGCCACTTTTTCGAATCCGTTTTCAAGGTCGCCGTCGAACCCATAAATCCTTCTGAACTACCAAAGATGCTCGACGGTCTGCGCAAGATCAACAAGTCATACCCGCTCATCACAACCAAGGTCGAAGAGTCGGGAGAACACGTCGTTCTCGGTACTGGCGAGCTCTACATGGACTGTGTCCTGCATGACCTACGCCGGTTATATGCTGACATGGAGATCAAGGTGTCAGATCCTGTCACAAGATTCTGCGAGACGGTTGTCGAGATGTCCGCTATCAAGTGCTACGCGCTCACACCAAACAAGAAGAACAAGCTCACTATGATTGCCGAACCGCTAGACCCAGGTATTGCGGAGGACATCGAAGCTGGAAAGGTCAACATCAAGGACCCCGTCAGGGTTGTCGGAAAGTTCTTCGAAGAGAACTACGGATACGACTTGCTCGCTTCGCGCAACATCTGGGCTTTCGGGCCTGACGATATGGGTGCCAACATCCTACAAAACGACACACTTCCCACAGAGGTCGACGGAAAGACTCTGCGTACAGTCCGGGACACGCTTCGACAGGGTTTCAGCTGGGCGACCCGTGAAGGCCCGCTCTGTGAGGAGCCCATTCGCAACACAAAGTTCCGCATCACGGATGTCGAGCTTGCACCAGAAGCCATCTTCCGTGGAGGTGGTCAGATCATCCCCACGAGTCGGCGAGCGTGTTACTCAAGTTTCCTGATGGCGAGCCCCAGGCTGATGGAGCCGGTATACTCTTGCAGCATGACTGGTCCTGCAGACACCAAGAGTAGTTTGTACACAGTCCTTGCGCGGAGGAGAGGACACGTCTTGCAGGATGGACCCATTGCGGGTACTCCTCTCTACAATGTTCGCGGTCTTATCCCGGTCATTGATTCTTTCGGTTTCGAGACCGATCTTAGGGTACGTACACACCTTCTATTCTCACTGCCAGATTTCATAGCATATGCTAACTTATGTAGATTCACACACAAGGACAAGTCTCTCTCTCCCTCGTCTTCGACCGCTGGTCCATCGTCCCTGGCGACCCTCTTGATAAAGACATTACGACCCGACCGCTTGAACCCGCAACCGCACAACAGCTGGCACGCGATTTCGTACTCAAGACACGAAGGAGGAAGGGTCTTGCGGAGGATGTCACAATTAGCAAGTTCCTGGAGCCGGAGCTATTCCGTTCTCTCAAGGAGAGTGGAGTGCTTGATGGGTAGATGATGGATTGTATAGCATACTTTGGAGTCAAAAAGGAAACGGCGCAAATTGGAAGCTGTGAAGGCATATAGGGAGAGCATATTGGAGATATGCTCATGAAAGCGGCTGGTGAGTCGAAATGAAATATACCCGTCGCATGTCACTTTGAAAGCAGTCGCTATGCATGTATAAATATCTCTATTCACTCGCATTTCTTTCTTCAGCTACGGTGATCTTCATAGTTTCAATATCGGATCATCCAATATCAGTAAGAGACGTACAAGAAATGTAGCAGAATACTTGCATGCATGCATATAGGATTTTGAAATCTTAGGCTCACTGGCGAGGTACTCGTAAAGCGATTGTGGAGACTACAATCAGAGCCACCGAGGACGCGAGTTAGTGAGAAGATGGGGGTCGACAAGTACTACTTACGAGTGAAGAAAGATGATGGTCGCTTGGTGCTGTAGAGTGTAGAGCAGAAATATCCACCGTAAGGGTATGAAAGCGTGCCAGGGTGCAGCAGAATGAATCATAAGCAATACAATGGCCTCGGAATAATATTTGGGTATCAGAATACGCAGCAATATGTGGCCGAAGCCAACGAAAAATGCAACGCGTCATGCAAAGCGCAGAAAGAAACAGCGCTTGTGACAAACCTGGCGGGGCTCTAAATCTCCACTTCTCATCACTTGTACTGATACTCGTTTTCATCATCACTGTCGTCCTGTCTTTCGAGCTCGTCCTCAATTTCCTCGTTGAGAAGGAGACCCATATCGTACGTCTTCTCCCTGATCTTATCCGCCTCTTCTCTGTTCACTGAACAATCATCCATAATCAGTAGGATTGCCGCCTCCGGAACCATCACAGCTTGTACAAAGGCTGCGATGCCGGATGCTTGCACAACGCGATCCTTGCAGTTCTTCATCTCGACCTTTAGAGTATCCATGACGCTCTCTGTGATGACGCGACGACCATGAGAACCATAGTAGCCCGGGTAAGCGGCTTTCTCGTCGAGAGCGTATGATTCCAGCTCTTCTTGCACGTCTTCTGCAAGATCTGTTCGCCTCGAGGGTACAGCGGCGGCTTTTCCAGTCAGAGCCAACGGCTCGTAACGACCTCTGTGTACACTAAACTCGTCGTTGTTGAGTATCTGCGATAGAGTCGTCTTGTGCCTGCGTATTCGCCTGGGAAGTGCTTTCCAGTCAATGTCCGGATATCCCATCTCAGTGTATTCCTTCTGTGCTGACTTCTTCTTATGCGCATGGCAGAATGCAGATTTGTTCTTGACTGTTCTCTCTTTGCCTTTCCAGAAGTCCCAATAGTCCTCTTGCTCTACGGACTTCGAACATAGCAGGCATCGCGAGCCCTCCTCTTCCACTGGCTGGAGTTTGCTCATGTAACTGTTGATGTCGTCGAGGGCTTCTTGTGGTGCACTGGAATGTGGTTGCGAAGACGGCGGTTCCTGATTTTCCTTCCAACTGCTAAGCTGGTTCATGAGGCGGGCGGTTCTGGCGGCCTTTTCTGCTTTAAGCGACTTAGGGCTCTTTGGTTTGGTCCCTAGTTCTCTGTCCAGTTCGTCGTCGTCGAATGCAGTAGATGTAGCATTGGTGCTCTTGGCTTTTGTACCGTTTGCTTTCTTTTCAACTTCACGTAGTCCTAAATCATTCATCTTTTGTTGTCTGTCACTATCTTTGGGGAGCGCAAAGAGCTCGTCGTCGTCTAAACCAGATACACTTCCGTCACTCTCAGCACCGGCTTGCGACATGCCATTCCGGGATTTGTTCTTTGATCCGTACGTCTGCGTAGTGGTCTTTGACGCTGCCTTGCCAAACTTCTTTGGAGGTGGTGCATGTATGTTCTTGCTCTTCGAGCCATAGCCTTTGCCATTCGTGTTCTTCTTTTGAGAGACGTGTTCCATACCCCATTTGATTGGACTGTCGCTGGATGATCCCGCGGAAGACGCGGGAGTGTGTTCCTTGCTATCGTCGAGGCCTGCAGTCGACTTATGGGCTTGACCATTCTGGTACGCCCCTCTCGCGGGCGGACGTATTGTTTCAAGCGTTTTCTTGCCAGGCTTTTTTTGAGGTCCCCTTAGAGTATCTAGGGTGCTCTTCGGCGTAGGTTTACCAGGCTTCGAGGGCTGGACCGGTCGTGGTGAGGGAGCGTGTATTTCATCGTCGGAAGACAAGGGTTCAGCGTTGACATCAACCTCCCGTTGCCTCTTTATTGGAGCGGCATTTTCGTTCGCTCGTCTCTTGGGTAACGGTTCTTCGTGATCGTCTGCGCTCGCATGGCGCTTTCCGCCGATATTGGTTAACAGTTTAGGCGTCTGCCTACTCAGAATTGGCATTGCCGCGCATTGATGACGTACTCCAAACAAAGGACAAGTCGTAAGACGTTGTCGAAGTACAAGACAAAGTTGCCGCACGTGAAAGCAGTATCTCTTGCCGGGGTGGACTCGACCTCGAGATCATGCAACGCGCCGGACGACGCGAACACCGCGTTCGCGCTAATCTTATCGATACCGCCCGAGCTCCGCCAAAAAAAGTTCCATGTGCAATCTAACACTGTCGCAAACTCTCTCAAACACCACGAAAACCCCAACGCACCCTCACGATGGCTCTCGACGAAGCGCTGCAACAGCCCTTGAACTTCACCGGTCATCGGCACATGATCTCTCGCCTTCTCTTGGCGACACTCACCGGCCGACCCGTTCGCATATCGCAAATTCGCTCTTCGTCAACCACACCAGGCTTAACACGCCATGAGACAAACTTCATCCGACTGCTCGATTCGGTGACGAACGGCTCGCAGATCCAGTTCAGCATGACGGGTACGACATTAGTCTACAGACCCGGTCTCATTACCGGAAGCGCCGAAGGACTGGGAGCTAGCGGAGGCGTAATCCGGCATGAGATACCAGCAGAGTGTAGAAAGAGGGGTGTGAGCTGGTGGCTGGTTCCCCTATGCGTTCTTGCGCCCTTCAGCAAGGGGAACATGAACGTCGTCTTCTACGGCGAGGGCTGTGTTACAGCGTCTACAGTCGCCGGCGACATCTCTGCAGACACAGTTCGCACGGCTATTCTCCCGCTGTACAAAAACTTTGCTATCGAGCGGAATATCGAGCTACGTATCCTCAAGCGCTCTTCTGCGCCTGCGGGAGGAAAGGGAGCAGGCGGTGAAGTGCAACTGGTGTTTAACCACCAGGTTCGTCTACCAAAGACACTACATCTGCTGAATCCTGGAAGGGTCAAGAAGATAAGAGGCGTGGCGTACTGTGTCGAGGTCCCTAAAAGTAACAACGAGCGCATGACCTTTACTGCAAGAGGCATCCTTAACAAATTTGTGCCGGATACGTACATCTTCTCTGACGCAAGCGCCGCACCTTTAATACCAACAACCGCCAAAGGCCACTCCAGCGGAAAAGTAAAGGGCGCAGTGGGATTCGGAATCAGTCTAGTCGCAGAGACCAGCACGGGATGCATATACTCAGCCGACGTATGCTCACCACCTGATGGTGGTGTTCCGGCAGACGAAATCGGCAAGCAATGCGCATACCAGCTTCTCGAGAAGATATCACAAGGAGGCTGTGTGGAGAACGTAGCAGCACCCACAGTTCTCATGCTGATGGCTATGGGTAGCGAGGATGTAGGAAGAGTAGCGCTGGGCAAGGACATTCTAGGCAGCGAGGAAATCATACAACTTGCGCGGGATTCCAAGGTCTTTGGAGGCAGTGCATGGGGCTTCAGGGAGGCGGGTGGCGAGAAGGAAGAAATCGTTGTCAGCGTTGTAGGAAGAGGAGTTGGCAATGTAGGAAGGAAGGTTGCTTAGATTCTACAAGTTTGGGAAAAGTTATGCGCGCGAATATGATACCCCCAATTTCTCATAATCTATCTTGGTCTGATGGCAACCAGCTTCCTTGCGCATATACTTTGGTGGGCTTCACTGAAGCAAAGGTCAGGAAACGCGTTTCTTAAGCAAAAAATAGACGCCGCCCAATGATCTAATTCGCATATACCAATGTACACAAAAAGCCAGACGCTAGAGACGAAGAAGCTCCTACTGTCTCTTGCCCGCTGAGCTCGCTCCACTGCCACTACCATCGTCTTCGCTCCCATCATCCTGCGCATACTTCTCGTTATACCTATCCTGATCCCGATATGGGCCCTCATCGCCCTCATCATCACTCAGTAGATCCTCATCAGACTCGCCAGCAAATGCATCATACAACTCTCCACCCCTCTTAGCGCGCTTCTTCCTGCCGGCAGCACCAGAGAGCAAGCCCGCGTCATCCCTATCCTCGTTGTCGTCCAGAACCTCGAATTCGTAAGCATCGCGCGAATCCTTCATGCGTTTGCGTCTAGCGATGAAAAAGTAGGTACAAAGACCAGCAACGAAAACGATGATCAAGGCAAGAGCACCGTAAATCCAGATTTGCGTGCGCTTCGACACACCAAAGGAGGGAAAGGGGTTGGGAAGGAAGTTTTCAGATGGAGCAGCAGACGCCGTGGCACTTGCGCTTGCAGTTGCCGAAGCCGTCGTCTGTACACCACTGTTAGCCGACGTTTGAGAGGGTTTCTGGTTCACGGGACGATCGGGGTGGTCATCGGGGATAGATGTCATAGTAGGTGTGGTACCAGGGGGCATGGTAACACTGGTAGTATGCGCCGGGTGATCATCAATCTTGTCGTGATCGTCGTCCTCATGTTCGTCGGGGATCGGACGAAGTTTAGCTTTGGAGGCGTCGATGCATTCACCCCAGAGACGGAGCTTCCAGTCGGTAAAGGTACCAGTCTTAGCATTACCGGATTTGACATCTTTGACAATGACGGTCCAGTTGCCGATGGCGTCTTCACCCCAGTGAGCAACGGACATGAACGTCCAGTCGATATATCCATAAGGCGCCTCGTCGCCTTGGCGTGCGGTGGAGAGATGTGAGACCATGCCGCTTGGAGATCGGAGCTCGACAGCGAGGTCGCCGCGGCGCGTGTGCTCCACGTTCATGGTGAGAGTGATGTGCTCAACACGAGCAAAATTGGCATTCTTGAGCATCTCTTCCTTGACTTCGAAGACACTGGCGAGGCCTTGGTTGCCTTCGGGGATCGCCTTCTTCACATGCATCCAAGGGGAGTAGAACCAAGCCTGGGGCTTGACGAGCTCCCATTCTTTCGCCTTCTCGACGATCGCATAGGCATCGAGCTTTCCGTATCCAAATTGATGGCTGTACATGCGGTCGAGCGAGGTCTTGGTCCAGTCGCTGGGCGTATCAAAAGGAACAGCTGTCATGACAGCAAGCCATTGCATGTCGCGCCATGTCAATTCAGGTCGGGCCTGAAGCGCGAGAGCGAATACTCCTACACCGATAGGTCCGGCAGCCGACGTGCCTCCGTGCTGGTTGGTGCACTTGTTCGCGCCAACATCTGTTGTGTGAATGGCATCGCCGCCGCCACTGCTGTATGTCACAACCAGCTGTGCGGAACAGGCCTCAGAATAGTACGGGTGTCCGTTGTTTTGGTCGATAGCGCCGACGGTGATGCTGTAGATACTGTTTGTATAGCCGTCAAAGTTGCAGTTGTCGTCGCTTGCAGCGCCATTGCCTGCCGCAAAAACATAGATGGATCCCTTTCCGCCACGACCTTGCTGGACAGCAGTGACCATGGCCTTTTCGATGAGAATGCCTGGAGCCTGCATGGTCTTACCATCATCGGGAGGACCCCAAGAGCATGAGTAGATGTCATTCTTTTGCATCTCATAGTTTATCGCGAGCGCCTCGTCGAGATCTGTGATATCTCCCGAGAGGATGCGCACACCTGAGATCTTGGCATCATAGGCAAGTCCGACACCACAGGCATCGTTCCTTCCTGCGGCAATTTCTCCGGCGCATCGTGTACCGTGTCGGTCGTCAGAAAGCTTCGGGGTGGGTAGGTCTTCGTGGTCGTTGTAATCGTGAGAGCCTTCAGCAAAGAAATTGTCCTTGAGGTCGTTGCTGGTGTAGTCAAGACCATCGTCAACAACGCATGCCGTGACGCCTTCGCCTGTGATGCCCTGCATCCACACACCAGTAACGTTTATGTCATTACCAGGCGTCTTCACGTTGAAGATGTGCCATTGCTCTTCGAAGATGGGGTCCTTGATTTGCAGCTTGGTCGCGACTTCCCGCTGGGCTTGAATAGCAGGTGTTACCGGCGGGGCGGCTCTCTCTGGCCGATCTGGTATCACGCTGCGCTTCCAATGGCGCGGCTTGATCTTCTGCTTCTGAGTAAAGTGGACGCTGTCGAGAGGATGATACTCGAGGCCAACTTCTCGTTTCCGCCGCCTCCTCTTCAGTTCTTGTTGTGCGTCGTCGACGATATCGTTTTCGTGTTTGGGGGCCTTGAAGACATGGTGATCTTCAAGCGTCCCGAATGGGCCCTCGTACGTCAGGCCCAGGTGCGCAGCGATGTCTGATGGCGATGCGGATGGGGAAAGATGAATAGCATAATAGTCATGGCTCGAGTAGTTGCGGGGTGGCAGATGCTTTCCCGCTGCAGCAAGTGTCGCCGCTGCGAGCAGGCTCCAGAGCTGAATGCGCATGGCGAAGACGCCTAAAGGATATTACGTGCAGCCGGCTGCGGTCATGTATCGTGAACAGTCGTAGGAGGTGCCCTGGAAATAGGCGACCGTCTTCCCGCGTGGTGGGGGAAGTGTAGGTGGATGGTGAGGATACTGTGGTTCGGCGAGTTGACAGGGCCGGTGTATTCAGCTTATTGAGGAAGGAGACTGATTACGACGACGGGGTATTAGTGGACGAGTCGGTATGCGCGCGGCGGGTGATGTGCGCTGGGGAGGGAACAATGCAACAGCAGTGAAGAAAGAGGAAGATGAAGAAGTCGCCTGCAGCCACTTTGGTCCAGTCTGCGAGATGTGTGAAACGTTGATGTTTGACTTCCCGCGAGCCGACCGTGGCTTCTTCCCTTGCCAACCATGGACCCCCGAGGGCGCCTTCCCCTTGTGGCCCTAGTGGCCGCACCTGCCCTGGCGTGGGTGTGCGAGCCGTGTGGAGGATGCCTGTCCAGTCCAAGATCTTGCAGTCAACCACCCAGCCACCTTTACCGCGCCCGCCACCACCTTTCTGACATGCGCTGGCCATGGATAACTGCTTCTTCCCTGCATCCGTACCGCTCTTCCTATTCCCTTGCATATAGTTTCCTCTTAATTTCCCGCGACATATCACCGTCATTGCGCCCCGTTGTACCTTGAGATCTTCATCTTCGCCCGTTGCACATCCCAGCACACCTCCGCCGCATCTCCGCACTCGCATTCGGCACTCTTAGGTAGCTACCACCACAAAGGACTGCAATTGAGGGCCCTGTCTCAAGTTCGTGTGATAGTGCAACATAGCTACATAGATGCGCCTGACCTAGTTTCGTCCCATCTCTCACAGGACGGTGATACGCCCCGCCTGCTTCACCACTACCACCACCGCCGATCCCATGATCTCGTCGCATCATGGAGAACAGTAGGAACAGCGGCTCCTACGCATCGCGAGCCGTTAACCCTGCTCTGGTCAAAGTCCCAGACGCCAATCCGCAAAAGCGCAATTCCTATCGCCGCCCAGCCGATGCGCAGCCCGCAGGCGCATCCCCACCAGAGCCCGAAATGTCGAATACCGTACCCAGCAACACTGCGCGGCCTGTCGCAACTGTGCCCTTGAACGGCAACGTTACCATTGGAAGCGGGCATAGGCGGCGGAACAGCAGACATATACCGCCCCCAACGACAGGCGCCATGAGCGAATCTGTGCCGGCTGCGCCAGAAGTCCCTCGTGCACCACCCTCTTCATACAGGGATCCATATGCCAAAGGCGTTAGAGTGCCTGCGCGCTCCAGCTCCGGTCGATCGAGAGACCCAGCTATCCAATTGAACCCGAGCAGACAGCAAGCAACTATACAGACGGCTGCTAACAGGCTGTACGAACTGCGGTCACCTCCATACGCCCCAGTCGAACCCTTGGCAGGAACCGTCGAACGACGCGGCTCTTCGCGCAGACCCTCTGTGCCCGATCGATCGCCTCTTCAGAAGCTGGAGGGAAAGCTAGATGACATCAGCAAAGAAGAAAGAAGAGCAAGGATTCTTGAAGCGGAACTGGCTGCTCAAGAAAAGGCTGAGGCTGAGATGCGGGAAAGACGAGCGCGAGAAGCCGCAAAAAAACAGCATGAAGCCGCGCAGAAGTTACAAGAAGCAACACAGAAACAACGAGTTGTATCTGTACCCATACCGGAAAAGTCCAGCGTTCCAGCCTCGAAAAACAATGGGAGGCGACAGGTCTCCATGCCGATACAGGACAAACCCATGTCCCCGCCCATGTCCCCGCCCATGAGCGACTTGGAATCAGACGACGGTTATGCCTATGACCTCAGCGAGCCATGGCATCCTGAAGATGCGCAAGGTGGAGCAGTTCAATCCGCTCAACCAATAACCATGCAGAAGGCGCAGGCCATCCCCACAGGCTATCAGCAAGTACCGCACACCGACGTTGCCGTTCCGCGAAGCAGCAGTCTGAAGGGCAAAGAACCGGCAGGTTCACGGGGAGCTGGTAGCTTTAGCGATCGAAGTACGCTTCCTTCGCAGAATGTACCCAGGAAGGCTGTGGCCAATCCCTCCGGACTTGGTCTGTCAGGCGTCCGGGATACTTCAACACCGTCTGATGTATCTCGTTCGGATAAGAGAAGTCAGGGACGAAGAGATAGCCGAGGAATCATGGCCGCACAGATGGAAATGCAGCAGGATTCTATCGACTACAAGGGAACACCACGAGAGAATGACAATCAGCAACTCCCGCGTAAGATTCCTCCTGTTCCTCGGACCGTTCAGATCCCACCTGTTCCTCAAACCAACCGCAAGAGTGTCATGTTCTCCGAGTCCGAGTCGGATCTAGAACAGCATGATCCTGAAGCAAAACAAAACCGCCGATTCAGCCGTCACAATGAGCCAGAGAGGACATATACCCCCGCTCCTATGCTTGAGGAATGGAGAAGTGCACCAATCGGTCTTTTGACTGCGGATGACCTGGATTTAGATGCTCCAGTCAAAGCCAACAGTGGCAATAAAGCGTGGTGGGAAGAGAGCAAAGCTTCTCGACGAAGACGTTCCAGTGGATACGCGGAGCCAACATACGATGGTTATGCTGACGACACTCCCATACCAACTGCCTTCAACCCACCACTGTACTTGAAGTGTGGACCGCTCTTACGCTACACCGGTCTCCGGAGAGATCATAGCGTACCAGGGAGGGAACGTGAAATCTGGCGAGGCAGCATCATGATCGTGACTGTCGATGCCTCTTCTTCGTATTCTAAACCACCGACATTAAGATTGTTCAAGCAGCCAATGGACATACTTCCTCCTCCACCAGAAGAGATCAGTCAGGACCAGTTGGACCCATCCTATGTCGATCCCATCGAAGGCCAGATTAAAGTGTCACGTACTGGGAAGACGCTGTACGTCAAGCCGGTAGATGAACTCGCAGAGAATGAGGACTTATCGCGAGTCGAAGACGACACTGGCTTGTTTTCTCAAACCCGGAGCACAAGCAATGGATCGAGTGCTAAGTCTACTCGCATTCACAAGAAGGACGGTGAGAAGCTGGGCAAAGTTCGCGATTTTCCTGGTGTTCGCCTGTACGCTGAGCGAGGTGTGACCTTCTGGCGCTTCAATATCGAAGTCGAACTTGGCAGTAGCCAAACACGCATCGCATACAAGATCAATCAAGGCCCCGCCATCGGCTTCTGGGTCCCAGCTAAAGGAGAATCCATGAACATCATGTTTCACAGCTGCAACGGATTCTCGGCCACCGTTGATTCAAATGAATTCTCCGGTCCAGATCCGCTATGGCGCGATGTACTGAACACACATCAGACCCGCCCGTTCCATGTAATGATCGGCGGAGGTGACCAGATCTACAACGATGCTGCAATGAGGGAGACGACCTTATTCAGGCAGTGGACCGAAAACAGAAATCCTATGCACAAGCATCACCAGCCATTCTCCGAGGAGATGCAAAACGAGCTCGAGCAGTTCTACCTCGACCGATATGCGATGTGGTTCTCGCAGGGTTTATTCGGTATGGCTAATTCACAGATCCCGATGGTGAATATTTGGGACGACCACGACATTATCGACGGCTTCGGATCATATCCCCACCACTTCATGCAAACGCCAGTGTTCACGGGTGTTGGTGCTATCGCTTTCAAGTACTACATGCTCTTCCAACATCAATCGGTACCCGCAGAAACTGACAAGACCGAACCGTCATGGCTACTTGGAAAGAGCCCAGGCCCATACATCAAAGAGCGCTCTCGAAGCGTCTTCATGCAGCTTGGCCGGCAGGTAGCATTCCTCGGTCTCGACTGCCGTACAGAGCGACAACGGGACGAGATCCTCACCGAGGATTCCTACGACATTATCTTTGACCGTCTAGAAGACGAGATTATCAAGGGTGAGACCAAGCACTTGATCGTGCTTCTTGGCGTACCTATCGCCTACCCTCGCCTGAACTTCCTCGAGAACATACTCACGAGCAGGCTTATGGATCCTCTCAAGGCCCTTGGTCGTGCGGGGATGTTGGGCAACTTTGTCAACAAGTTCGATGGAGGTGTAGAGATCTTGGACGACCTAGACGACCATTGGACAGCCAAGCACCACAAAGAAGAGCGCAACTGGTTCATCAAAGAGCTACAACACATTGCTTCGACCAAATCTGTACGCGTTACCATACTTGGTGGTGACGTCCATCTAGCAGCCGTTGGTCAATTCTACAGCAACAAGAAGTTGAATGTTCCCAAGGACAAGGATCACAGATACATGCCGAACGTGGTATCTTCAGCCATAGTCAACACACCGCCTCCAGACGTGATGGCAGATATCATCAACAAGCGCAACAAGATACATCACCTCGATTCGGAAACAGATGAAGACATGATACCCCTGTTCACTCATGGCGTCGACGGCAAGAAGAGAAACAACACTCATCTGCTGCCCCACCGAAATTGGTGCAGCATTCGAGAGTATAAGCCAGGCTCTTCACCACCAGGGACACCATCACCACCCTCGACTCCGAAGAATGGACCGGGTATGGGAAGATCGATGTCAGACTTTGCACCAGGACAGTTGGTGAGAAGACTGAGTGGCCAGCAGCGAAGACCTTCAGCAAGAGGTCGTGGTCCGCCTCTGTCTTATCGCAATAATCCTGCATATGCTGCTGCCGATGAGGAGCAAATTGGCCACCATCAACCACAGTCGTCATTCTCGCCTGATCGATCCGAGCCAGAGAGGCCCGCTCGTTCACGACGCAACTCTTTGACATCACTCTTCCGTCGCCGTGCATCAGTCGATGCCGCCCGTCCTGACACGTCCGAGAGTGCGACACCTCCCCTAAGTCGACACAGTTTGTCGCAGGATAGACCATCCAACTTTCACCGCCGTCCGAGCGTACTCACTAAGAAGAGTGCGCAACACCACGGTCAATTCATCAATCTTGAGGGCGGTCTTGACATCTGTCTCAATGTCGAAGTATCACAGCACGACCCAGCGGGTATTACAACACCATATCGACTGCTAGTACCAGCCCTTACCTATGTCGAACCTGAGGATGGCGTTGTCGAGAAAGGAAGAACCAAGTCCCGTGGTTTCTTTGGCGCCTTCGGTGGCAAGCGCAAGGCCACGATTGGCGACGACGGAAACTCCATTTCGGGCAGCGAAAGCGGAAGCGAACTTGGGGAAATCTCGAGCGAAGATGAGGAAGAACGCCCAGAACAGAAGTACAAAGTCGGACCCCGGATAATCATGCCGGGCTTTGGGTCTGGCAAAAGGCGTAACTCTGAGTCTGCTACCACCGCTGCCGTCGTCTCCACTGGCCCTGCTGTTCCTGCTGCCCGTGAGAACCTTCTTAGTTCAGGTTTTCATGCTAACACAGCTGCAAACATAGCTCCAACCCAGACGAATGGAACACCTCGCAACCTCGCCCCAGAAAACTATGGACGGCGAAGCATGGATGCAGCTGCAGGTACTTCATCTAGAGCCTCTGCGTGGGAGAACATTGCCGCAAAACGGCACGTCAGTCAACCGGCACCTCCCTCCGCTACCCAGACGACGACCCAAACGACAGTGGTGCCATCCCGCTCCGCCTCCACACGCAAGCAGCCTACCTATAACTCGTCTCACAAGTCACAAATGCCTGCGCCTTCTCCAGAGGCAACGCCAAAGGTGCAGAGAAGATCTATGGGCGGTATTTTGAATCAACATTCACACGACAAGAAATGGGAGCATGATGCTCACGTCCTTGCTCATACACCATCACAAAAGAAAGCGAAGCGCGAATCATACCCGCCACATCCAGCGATCGTCGGCGCCGGTCCGAACTCGCCTTACTCACGAGATGGAGGAGGCCTCCAAGCCAGACAAGACACAGCAGGTGGTGACTACTTCACCAGTGGTGGCCGGGACGGAAAGACTCATCCTGCCATAGCGCCCAGGCATGTCGTAGATCCGGAGTACACCGAGAAACCAGTCCAACGTGCCGACTATGCTGCACAACCACAACGAAGTGGTTACGACCGTACCTCTTCCTACCCTGCCTATCCACAACGCAACGGCAGTGCTGGTGTTGGGGCAAAGTACCTTGGCGGAGGCAGATACGATGACGAAGAAGACAGCTTCGATAGCGCCGATGAGGATGAGGAAAGCCAAAGTGGGCAAGAGCAGGAGATGAGTCAGGAAAGTTTCGTTGTACCGAAGCGCAAGAAGAAGTGGCAGATTTGGAGGTAAAGGGCATCAGGTTTGCTTTGGCTGGTTTTAATGCAATTGGCGTCTGGCTAGACGCGAATTGGTAATGATATTATGAATGGGTACATGACTGGTTGGGCTGCGGCTCAGGGTACATAATGACGGCGTAGCGTATACCATGGTGTGTTTAGCAGGTTTGGCATAGCGAGTTTGGTTGCTTCGAAATATTCTAATATATCGTTCTGGTATTCTCTTACCTATTTCCCCTTGCCAGCACAACACTTCAGTCGCACAAGACGCTTTCGAATGCAATGAACGACATAGTGCCGGCTCTGGACCTGTTGTCCATCCTAAACCCGGAAATAGGTTCCTACAGACTATAGAGCTGAAGCCTACGCAGGAGATGTTGGATGCGATGAAGACGTGGCTCTTTGCGATCTCGTAGCTCGATACCCAGTCCTTTGCCACATGCAGCCGAGACACTCATTCGTTTTGAGATAATACAAATTCAGCTCTGTTTTCGGCTCATTCTTCTACACCTTCTCGCGAAAATGAACAGAGAGAGCAACAGCTTGTACAGTAGTAATGTTGACCTAGGACGAGATGTGTGGAATCGTAGCAGGTGGGTAGATAGGTAAAAAGAAACATCACTGTGCAAGGACAACCCCGCCTACAAAAAGACAGCTTCTTCGCAAGTGAGCGATGCGTGAACATTCACCATGTCGCACAAAAGAGCAAAAAATGAGATGAGTCTCTAGTCCTGGTGGGGCTGGGAGAACTGTTAGTAAAGAAACTCGAATCACTCTATCATGGAAATCACGTACTTCGAACCCACGGCATCCGCATAACCTTAGATGAGGTCATAAGAGTCTGACGAATCTTATAAGAACGGCGCGCTACCACTGCGCCACAGGACTTTTTTTGTCCCTGGACTTGTTTTTGGATTTCTCGAGAAATAATAACAATATAACGTGATACGTACGCGACAAAACGTCGAGCTTTGCTTTGACCAAGTCATCGCAATCGTTCGACATCGCACAGATAGCAAGGGCGGGGCAATGCAAACGTCGGTGAGTGATGACACAAAGAACGCCGCTAGCCGGTGGGGTGGCTGGCGTGAGGGGGTCGGCCAACCACATCCGCTTAGATCCATCTCGCGACATCTACCACGGTGCTCTCTCTTGCAACCATTACTCCACATCTTATACAACCACCTGCCAGACGCGTAGAGCTGTCGTCAAGTCTCCCAAAGAATTTATCATTTGGTAAGCCGCTATTCAAGCCTCTCTTATCAACCCGTAGACTTCCTTCTTCATGCGTGGCGGGCGTCCTAGGTCGTTGCTTCTTTGGGAGTATGGAGCTTGACAGCAAGATACATTCAGCCATGAACAAAAGCTATTCGCAGTCGTCAATCAGTTATCTGCTTGACGATGCGATGAATCCGGTCATGCTCCACATCGAGTCTGGATATATGCTCGTCATCCTCGGAGTTGGGTCTACACCGCTTCTGAAGCTTTACCAGCACCAAAAGACCCTGTAGCTGCATACCTAGGTAGTGAGATCAACAGAATGGCTCAGGATCTGGAAATAGGTATCTTCTTATCCCAAGAGTGGAACTGACATCTCACAGAGGTACCTTCTTCTAAGGCCTGTTCCAGTATGACGATCAGAGCTAGCAGATTCACACCTGAAGTGCTCTTGGAAGCACCCCGCCGTTCGGAGGGCGTTCCAAATTCCAATGCATCAAGAGTTTTATACTCCGTCTCGACATACAGCTTCTCTGAGCATTCGAAGAAATCTGAGATCCGTGTTCTGGATTCAGCAAGCCAACAAACCAGTCTCGTCACAGATGATGCATCCTTCAGCGAACCTTCGTGGCTAGATGATGAAACCATATTACTATTGAAGTCCAATGACGATGGGGCTACAAACATAGTCGTTGGATCTCCAGACAACTTCGAGAAGAGGTATGTTCGGTGCTATCATCCCGAGTGTACGCCAGCTAATAATGCTCTAGCAAACACACTGCTGGCACGATACAAGGACCAGTAAGCGACTCCAAGATCTATGCTCTTGGTGGCGGCGTCTTTGGTCTCGCTGTCGTTGGCAAAGCCAAGCCAGATGGCACACTTTTCAACCCAGAGAAGGCCGAGAAACCTCACTCATCAGGCAAGCTGTACAAGTCTGGGTTCGTTCGCCACTGGGATCATTACGTGACAGAGAATCGGAACACGATATGGCTTGGCAAGCTTCAGCAGAAGAAATTGGAAAAGTCTCATGTCTTCGAGCTTGGACATCCTCTAACGAATGCGCTGAAAGGGACGAAGCTGGAGTCACCAATCGAACCCTTTGGTGGGAAAGACCACTTCGACATATCGAAATACGGTCTCGTGTTCACATCGAAGGATCCTGATCTTAATCCCGCGACGCACACGAAAACCAACATTTATGTTTCCGCATCTGACAGCTTCTGGGATGATCTCCACTCAAAAGACATGCCGGAAATCCAAAAGGCTACCATCGAAGGCTTTGAAGGTGCCAGCACGTCTCCAGTCTGGTCAAACTCGCGCGGTATGATCGCGTTCCTTTCCATGAAAACTGATGGGTACGAGTCAGACAAGAACCAACCGTTCATTATCCACGATTATAAGAAACCGTCGCAAGTCACTCTGCTCTACGGTTCTGAGGATGGTAAAGGAAAGTGGGACCGAAGCCCACAGTCCATATCGTGGAGCCCCGACGACTGGCGCCTCTACTTTACCGCAGAGTCACATGGTCGTGGAAACCTGTACAGCGCCGGGCCTCCTAAACCAAGCGGAGAGAAGGAGCCTCTGCCATCGCTTCTTGTAAAGGGGGGAACGATCGGCTCTGCAAAGGTGCTCAAAAATGGCGACGTTTTCGTGACTTCGACTAGCTTGATTGAGAACTCACTATACTCCCTTGTCCCTCTAAGCGCTCAAAGCAGCGATACGACTGTCTACGATCTTCCTATTGATGATAGACCGTATGATGCGGATCCTGATCATCTGACAACCAAATACATCTCTTCGAACACGCGTTCTGGGTCTATGTTTGGTCTGTCACGCCATCAGATCGATGAGATCCATTGGGACGGTGCCGCATCCGGCACCAAGGTTCATGCTTGGGTTGTAAAGCCCAGCAATTTCTCGTCCAAGAAAATTTATCCGCTCGCCTTTCTCGTTCATGGCGGACCGCAAGGTGCATGGACTGATGGATGGAGTACGCGGTGGAATCCTGCCGTATTCGCAGAGCAAGGCTACGTTGTCATTTGCCCGAACCCTACTGGAAGTATGTGGATCCAAGGTATATACTCTACGAAGACAAACACTGACATGATATCTTAGGCACATCTTACGGCCAAGCCTTCACAGATGCCATCCAGGGCCAGTGGGGTGGTCTGCCGTACGAAGACCTTGTGTTGGGCTTCGACTACATCAAGCAGAACGTCAATTACGTTGACACAAAACGCGCCGTTGCCCTCGGTGCCTCCTATGGCGGGTATATGATGAACTGGATTCAAGGACACCCTCTCGGCCGCGAATTCAAAGCCTTGGTAACCCACGATGGTGTCTTTAGCATGTCCGGCCAGATGGCATCTGAAGAGTTGTACTTCCCTTTCCATGATATCAAAGGCACACTCTGGAATAACCCGGAAAACTGGGCCAAGGTAAGTCATGACTGGATGAGATGCAAGTGGGACGTGTGCTGACTTCGTATCTTCACTTCTACAGTGGGACCCGTCCAGGTTCACGGAAAACTGGGCCACACCGCAGCTCGTAATTCACAGCGAATTGGATTACAGGCTAACGATCAGTGAGGGTTTGGCGGCATTCAACGTGCTGCAGTGTAAAGGAGTAGAGAGCCAGTTCTTGACGTTCCCAGATGAGAACCATTGGGTGCTGAAGCCCGAGAATGGGCTCGTTTGGCATAAAGTTGTTTTGGACTGGATCAACGAGCATGTCGGATTGGAGAAGTACACGGAGGCCCAGAAGGTGATCAAGAAGGAGTAGCGTTTTATTAGCCACCTCTTACGATATGATATGTTTCATGTTCCGTGCGGACACATGACGTGCCTCGTTGTCGTATATGCGTTCTCGTCGTTACAATATGATGTGAACGTTCGTGATGAGAAGAAGCTTGCATGTATATAGATTCGCCTGTTTGATCATGCTTTCAAGGTACTCGCTATTTTTTGTGTCAATGTTTGATGAGACGAAATCCTGTAGTCGTGGTTGAAATGTTAGTGTCATTGTTCCCGTACACGCTGCGCTTGGAGGTAGCGCGTTGGTGCTATCGATAAGAGATCCCTGGATTATTTTCTCGGGCGGCTCGTCGCGACCAGAACTTTTCCTCACTACGCAGCCCATTACCCACCACAACAAGGGCCACACGAGTCGCCGCCCGTCAAGTTACCCGATACTGTTTCGCGACCCAAACACTATCGAGAGATCGCTTGCGCCACCCTAGACCCGCTCGTTATCGAAGAAGAGGCGGCAACGCCTGCGGAGCTCTCAAGATGCCGAAGAAAGCTATCGACTCCCGTATACCGGCCCTCATTCGCAATGGCGCCCAGGAAAAGAAGCGCAGCTTCTTCGTAGTAGTTGGCGATCGCCAGAAAGATGTCATTGTCAATCTCTACCACATCCTTCTGAACGTGGATGTCAAGTTGAACAAGTCGGTGCTGTGGGCGTACAAGAACAAGCTACTAGGATTCTCAAGTCACCGCAAGAAGCGCGAGAAGAAGATCAAGAACGAGATCAAGCGTGGGATCCGCGATGTCGACACCGAAGACCCGTTCGAACTATTCGTCTCGACACAGAATATCCGATACGTCTACTACAAGGAAACCGAGAAGATTCTGGGTAACACATACGGCATGTGTATCCTGCAAGACTTCGAAGCGCTTACGCCGAACCTACTAGCAAGGACGATAGAGACGGTCGAAGGCGGAGGACTGGTCATATTGCTGCTAAAGGGCATGAGCAGCTTGAAGCAGCTATACACAATGTCCATGGACATTCATTCAAGATATCGGACCGAGGCTCACAGCGACGTGGTAGCGCGTTTCAATGAGCGCTTCTTGTTGTCACTCGGAAAGTGCGATAGTTGCTTGGTTGTCGATGACGAGCTGAACGTGCTCCCCATCTCAGGCGGAAAGCATGTTAAGCAGCTACCGCCACCAGACCAAGAGTTGGAGGGCAAGACACCGAAGGCGAAAGAGTTGGCCGAGATCAAGGAGTCGCTAGCAGACTCGCCTCCAACTGGAGACTTAGTCAAGCTCGCAAAGACTGTAGACCAAGCGAAGGCGTTGCTGACATTCGTGGAGGCTATTGTCGAAAAGACGCTTCGAAGCACCGTGACCCTGACCGCGGCCCGTGGACGTGGAAAGTCAGCAGCTTTGGGTGTTGCAGTGGCAGCGGCAGTAGCGCATGGATACAGCAACATCTACATCACATCACCTAGCCCGGAGAACTTGAAGACGCTTTTCGAATTTATTCTCAAGGGATTCGATTCCCTAAACTATGCAGACCATCAAGACTACACCATCATGCAGTCTACACAACCGGATCAGAACAAAGCTATCGTAAGAATCGAGTTACACCGCCAACACCGACAAGTCATCCAATACATCAGACCCGAAGACTCGCATGTCCTAGGACAAGCAGAACTCTTGGTTATTGATGAGGCTGCAGCAATCCCTCTCCCACTCGTACGGAAACTCATGGGGCCATACCTGGTTTTTATGGCCTCGACCATCAACGGATACGAGGGAACTGGTCGTTCGCTCTCTTTGAAGCTCATACAGCAACTTCGCGAGCAGTCGCGAGGCAAAGGTAGCAATGGCTCGACTTCCGTGGTAGACCGTTCGACTGGAAAGGAAACAAAGGACGCTACAGAGACATCTATGACCGGCCGATCTCTCCGGGAAATTACACTGTCAGAACCTATTCGATATGCCCAAGGTGATTCTGTCGAACGATGGATGAACGATCTTCTATGTCTTGATGCAACACTACCCCGAAGGTCGATCACCCAAGGATGCCCTCATCCGGACAAATGCCAGCTCCTTCATGTCAACCGCGATACCCTCTTCTCCTACAACCCTGCTGCCGAGAAATTCCTTCAGAAGATGATGGCGTTGTATGTAGCTAGTCACTACAAGAACACGCCCAACGACCTCCAGCTCATGTCAGATGCACCTGCACATCAGCTCTTCGTACTCACTGGACCTACGGAGGAGAACAAGCTCCCTGAGCCTCTCTGTGTCATCCAAGTAGCCCTTGAAGGCCAAATCAGCAGGGAGAGCGTGTTGAACAGCCTGAGCAGAGGACAGCGTGCGGGCGGTGATCTCATCCCTTGGATCGTTTCACAGCAATTTCAAGACGAAAACTTCGCCAGTCTTTCAGGAGCTCGTATTGTGCGAATAGCAACTAACCCAGAGTATGTCAACATGGGATACGGATCAAAGGCGCTACAACTTCTTGTTGACTTCTACGATGGCAAGCTTGCTAGCTTGTCGGAAACCGAGCCCCAGGAGGTGGAACAGATGCGAAGAGTGACAGAGGAAGATTTGGAGAATGAGTCGCTCCTCAAAGACAATGTCAAGATTCGGGAAGCTAACGAGATGCCGCCGCTGTTTGCCCGGCTACAAGAGCTGAGGTCGCCAAAGCTCGACTATGTTGGTGTTTCGTATGGCCTTACATCTCAACTTCACAAGTTCTGGAAACGCGCGTCCTTCGTCCCGGTTTACCTCAGGCAAACACCGAATGATCTCACCGGAGAACATACGTGCATTATGCTGCGTTCGCTCGAAACCACTTCGTCAGACGGAAGCTGGGTTGCTGCTTTCGCTAAGGACTTCCAGAAGCGCTTCCTCTCCCTTCTGTCATACCAATTCCGGTCATTCCCCTCAATCACCTCTCTTTCAATAGAAGAGTCCGCATCAGCGGGATCTAAACTAGACGCCGACCTCGCCGCGAAACCCATTAGCAAAGCCGAATTGGACGCTCTCTTTACGCCTTTCGACCTCAAGCGTTTAGACTCTTACGCGAATAACATGCTTGACTACCACGTCATTCTAGACATGTTGCCTCCCATCGCCACTCTCTTCTTTACTGGTCGTCTCAAGGGCCAAGTCAAACTTAGCGGTGTTCAGACTGCACTACTTCTTGCTATTGGGCTGCAACGCAAAGAGTTCTCCGATGTGGAAAAGGAACTCAACCTCAACTCTAGTCAGCTGATGGCCATGTTCGTCAAGATTGTACGAAAGGCCGCCACAGCATTCCGCGGTATAGTAGAGGGCGCCGTTGAGGAGACTATGCCCGACGCTATGGAGGTAGAAGAGAATGGCGCTGATGGCGAGGCCGCCAATGACGCCCACCGCTTCATGCCCCTTGAGAAGGATTTACAGGAGGAGCTTAGGGAAGGCGGGGATGAGTTCCTGGCCGAAGACAAGGAAAGACAAAGGAGCATGATTGATGCTTTGCCTCTGCACAAGTAAGTCCATCACAAACGACCTTACGTCCACTTATACGCATTGCTGACCTTGCTACCCAACAGATACGAAATTGGTACAGGAGCTGCTGACTGGGAAGAAGCCGAACGCGCTATCCAAAACGCGGCCAAGAAAGGCGGTGCAGGTAGCATGACTGTCGCTGTCAAGACAGGCGAGAAGAAGAGGAAAGTCGGCGAGGCGGTTGAGGAGGCGTACAAGGAGGCTGAGAAGTTCAAGGAAGGTGCTGCCAAGAAGAGTAAGAAGCACAAGTCTGGTAAGAAGGCTTGATTGGAGACGCGCTGTGCATGCATAATCAGGGAGTTTCTCAGGCGTATTGTTTATCTATGGGAAAATCGGTGCTGTCTGTGTATAAGTACTCAATTAACTAGTCCATGATTGATATCTCACCACAAAGGAGCCTCTTGTTTCGTAAATTCTAATCATCTTTAAATATGTGCCCTAGAGGAATGCGTTGTTAGTGTCCTATCAATGTTGTAACCCAGAACTCCATATATACTTCCAGGGAGCGCTTTGTCCAGATGGTGATTCACAAATACAACTCAAGTAACACGAGCTTCTTTGTGTAGATTCATCAAAGCCCTGATGCCCGATCAAATGAAGCAGAAGATTATGATATTATATATGCATATAAGATAGTTTAGAGGAGAGCCCATGTCGCTACCATCAATACGTTTGCTAACGAGAAACAGATTCGAAATGATTCAATCATGGGGATATCATACGCATAATCACGAACAATGTGGAAATGGAGACCGACATATGCACTCTCCCTCCCCAGTCCTTCCCCTTCTCCACCTTCAAGTCAAAGTCCGACTAGGGACGGACACTCCATGACACCGTGTCCCCTGATCTTACACAGTGGACACCAGTCATCCACGTTTGTAATATCTGCACCTTCGTTCTAGAAGGCGTCTTCATTTGGGCAGGCCGTAACATCGTGTCCCTCACTCTCGCACAATGCGCACCACTTATCTGGGTCAGCGATAGCTGCACCCTTGGGTGGCACGAGATCGGAGTTTGACGCGTTGAACGAAGGAGTGGGGAGAGGAGCTGTGGGCGCGCTGCCGGGTGGTTTCGATGGGCTAAGAGCAGGGGGCCGGGCGCGATCAGAGGAGACGGACAGGCCGCGGAGGCCTTCGATGACAACGTCTTTGCCGTTGCGTAGACCGTCTTCCTTGGGGTACGAACTATCTCCGCCCATAGCGGAGCAGTTCAGAATGTCGTGGCCGCCTGTTTCGCAAATTTCGCACCAGAGGAGGCTGCTGTTAGCGGAGGAGCGGCCGTCAGATTCCGGCATTGCGGAGAGCGCAGGAGGCGCATCGCGACGAGGGTGCTGAGACGGTTCTCTCCAGTTAACAACAGTATCTTTAGAATCTCGCTCTGACGGCTTTTCTGGTATGGCGGTGTGCTCTGACATGCCGTTGCTGATTACGCTTTCCCGTTGCTCTGCAAGGCCAAGTTGAGCTTTCAGCTTCTCCAGCTCACGTTCTAGCTCTTCTTCCCGGTAGGCTTTGCGTTCTACAAGACCGCGGAGTTCCTCTTTTTCGCGCTCCAGACGTTCTGCGTTTGCTTTCGCGGTTTGGAGCTCCTCGGCATCAACAGACGAGTTTTGCCGCGACAAAGGTGAGCGCCGGTCATCTCCTCCACCAGAGCTCAATGAATGTATGATGGCCTTTAGACCACGAATCTCATCGTCGCGTTGCTCGACTTCCCTTTGTCCTGGCGTGTGAGGCGCCTCGACCATTGCGCCAGCCCCCTTAAGAGCAGCAGCAGCCTTTTCGCGCTCGCGACGGAGTTCGGATCTCCCTCTCTCGACTTCTCCACGCAGGAACTCGACTTCGCCTCTGGCCTCTGCTTCGCCCCTACGCGCGTCTTCCAGGCCTTCTTCCAGCTCTTGTACAAGTTCTTCCAGTTGCTTCAACTGCATTGCTACAGTCTCGACATCTTCGCTACGAGACGCATACTCACGCAACTCTTCTTGTAGCTCCTCTACCTTCTTCTCGTAAACGCGCTCAGTTTCAGTGCTCGCTAGCTCTAGGGTATCGATTGTGCTTCGGAAGTCGGATCGATGTGCGTCGAACTCAGATGTGAGCATAGCGATCTTATCGTTCTTCTCTCTGAGAAGTGCTCGTAGTTGCGCTACATCAGTCGGCTCACTGCTGCCATGCGCCGATCCCATATCCATTCCGTCCTCAGGTATCAGGCTCTGAATTTCCGTCAAACTCGCTTCCATCTCGCTCAGCGACGCTGCTTGCTCCTGAAGCTGCTTCTCCTTTTGTTCCAACTGCGCCTGGAGGCGCTGCACCTCTTCATTCGGAGACGAGCCTAGCCGAGAGCCCGGCCTACGATGCTTGTAGCTGGCCATGGAATCATTGCTGGTTCGCGCTGCACCAACTGGCGTCGTCTCGTTGTCCTCCTCAATAGTATCCTGATGACCAAGACGAGAACTGCTTCGCGAGTAGGGTCGTTGGGGACCAGGTGTCCGTGGCTTTGGTGGAGGAGCAGCCCTGGGCGCAGGACTGGCGTAACGAGGAGGTGCGGGACTTGCGAATCTTGGTGGCGCACCGATTGCGCTCTTGGAGAAGCCAGAGGGTGTCAGTCCGCCGCTCCTGGCAGGGGTTGCACTGGGCTTCTGGCGATAGGGAGATTCTGGTCTGAATGAGGGTCGTACTGCTGAGGGTACCCTCTTGGGACTGGTGGTACGGGTGCCGGGGCCGACCGACTGGGAGAACTTGGGCAGTGGCATTGACGGGGTATCCGGACTGAAGCTGGGCTTCTCCGTGGTCGAGAGGCTAAAGTTGTTGTGGTACGAGGGCGTGGTAGGCTCAGGTGCGAAGTCAGACGAGTCGGCCGAGATGCGCTTCTGTGCGCGGTGTACGGGCAGGAAGATGCCAGAGCCAGGGACAGAGGTATCGAAGTATTGTGTACTGGAGAGACATCAGTATGCGCGCATACGTCGAGCGTTGTGTATGCGTACCCATCGACTGCGCCGTCGTTCTTGCCCCGCGCTGCATACTCGCGGTTCAGTTCTACTCCCGCGAAGACGCCCTGTTTACCCCGAATGCTGCCAACAAACTTGACGACACCGATCATGCCGCCTGGCACGTCGACCGTGTCGCCGACGTCTATGTCCTTTCCGTCTGCGCCCATCCTGTTTGATGGCGAGCCTCCAGCGCCTACTAATGCTGATAGCGATGCTTGCCGTGCGATGTTTCTGCTGGCGTTTAACGAAAGGTTGGGCGACGAGGCAGTGGGGTGGAGAGCAGGGCGCGCTCCAAGACGCCTAGGAGTGTGCGGGTACGCCATACCGGACGGCTCGTTTGACAGGGTCGACCTGTTTGGAGTGTCACAGGGCAGGCAGGACGGTGTTTGTTTTGATGAGATGGTATGGCAGGGGTTGGACTGCCAACGTAGCGGCGACTGAGGAGCATGACTTAATTAACCGATCGTTGCCCAATCCATCGCACCCCTCGCATCAGGGGAAACGTCTCTCCTTTCCCTCCGCAACCCATCCTTCCACCACACTCTCGTGTCTTCTCGTCGTCTCGTATTTTCTGAAGCATCGTCAAAACTGTCATGAACGGTCGTACTAGACATGGTACACGACAGTAGCGTGCAGATCATCCAAGTATGGGAACGGTCAAAAAGCAAGACGGTTCAATACCAATGACACCATAGTAACGGCCTTGTACATCGACACGATGAGATTGTCATCTGCATACTAGACAATGCTACTGGCTGTCTGAAGCGTACGAGGTTTCGTAAAGTGAATTGACTTTCACATTTCAGCCACCTCATTCAACCATCCCAGCATTATATCAATGTTATTAGGATGCAAGCCATGTGTCTTCCCGCTCGAAGCCACAAAAGCATAACAATCAAATACGCGTAGTTAGTCTCCGACGCAAACCATGTCCTTGCTCGCGGACGCAAGGACGCCGAACCTTGCGCATTGAACGCGTGGGCACGTGAGGACGAGCAGGAGCGGGGGAGACAGTCAGAACTTCCGGCAGCCGCGTAATCGGGCATGATATGTGCTGAAGTCTGGACAGATGAAAATTATCAAAACAAATGTAATAGGCCATAGTTTGATTTTTAGCTGCGAACGTAACAGCGCGATCGAACGACAATAAATTTGATCATCACAAAGGCAAAAGTCACGAAGGTTGCAAAATGAAGAAGATAACAGTCCCCCAAGACCGTTATTCTGATACCTTCTCTCGCAATAGCAAAAAAACGTTAAACCATGGAAAAGTCCCTACAGCATCGATTCAGATAACCGCGGAGTCGCAGGCATTCCCGACTCGCCGACCGAGCGCATTTCCCCATGTTCCACAATTGCCTCGGCTCACGCTTCGGTGATGGTCAACCGCGCCAACTACATCACCGCTCGCGCGCCCACACCATGTTTACTCAACAGACGCTTTCAACATGGCTGGCAGCGTACGACAACCAATCGACATCGCCTCGTTGGAGCGCTATGTCACCGCAAATGTACCCGAGATTAAAGTCCCGCTGGATGTGAAGCAGGTACGGCTGTTCCGGAAGAACTGGGGACGTTGTTTGGAAACGAGAGCTGATTGATCATGTAGTTTGGTTATGGACAGTCAAATCCAACGTATCAGTTGACCGATAAAGATGGAAAGAAATACGTTCTGAGGAAGAAACCCCCGGGTCAACTCTTGTCAAAGGTATGACGAGGCTTTCCATTCGAGAAGCCCATCACCGTAAGCTGACTTGAAGCTATGTAGACAGCGCACAAAGTCGACCGCGAGTACAGAATCATTCACGCACTGGAGAACACAGATGTCCCTGTTCCACGTGCACTATGTCTCTGTCAAGACCAAGCCGTCATCGGCACCGACTTTTACATTATGGACTTTCTCGATGGGCGCATCTTTGAGGATCCTGCGATTCCAGGCGTAACAGCCGAGGAGCGAACGAAGATGTATGAAGTCCTCATAACCATGTAGAAACAAATCACCGTGCTAACAAGTACTCTTAGGTGGCACTCCGCAATCACTACGCTCGCGAAATTCCACCGCGTATCTCCATCTTCTGTAAACCTTTCGTCATATGGCAAGAACTCTGGTTTCTACGACCGCCAGATCGTAACCTTCAACACAATCTCCCAGTCGCAAGCTTCCGCCAAAGACAAGGAGACTGGGGAACCGGTAGGAAAGATACCACACCAGGACGACATGGTGGCCTTCTTCAAGGACCCAAAGACACAGCCAAAAGACCGCGCGACCTTTGTACATGGCGACTACAAGATTGACAATGTTGTCTTTCACAAGACAGAACCCAGGGTAATTGGCATTCTGGACTGGGAAATGAGCACCATTGGGCACCCGCTATCTGATCTGAACAACGTCCTTGCGCCCTACGTGACAGCATCGAATGAAATCGCCATGTCTATCGGGCGCGCGCATAAGGGTTTCCAGCCTGGAGCTACACCCGGGTTGCCTACGCGCGAGCAACTCATCGCATGGTACTCGGAGGTAGCCGGCTGGGACCCGAGACCTGATTTCACTTGGGGCGACGCGTTTAGCACATATAGGAGTGCTATCATCATGCAAGGAATTGCGGCACGGTATGCATTGAGACAAGCGAGTAGCGAGCAGGCGCAGACGTATGCGGCCATGATGAAGCCCTATTCGGAGATTGCATGGGGCCTTGTGCAAAAGTTCAAGAGCGGGCATGAGGAGAGAGCGAAACTGTAGTCCCTTGATCTGTGTAAGCTATGCTATGTATTAGCGAATTCATCTCAAATATGCTGGAATCGTCTGAGAATAGCGTCGTCTGGGAGCTGTAAAGGTGGTCTGTTGATTCTCTGACTCTGAAGATAGAAATGGCCGGGCTCCTTTGCACTTTTCTCTACCAGATTCTTTTATCGAGATCCAAGCCTATCTTTGCCCCAGAAAATTGCCCAAAGCTGGTATCATATGGGTACAGTATCGTCCTGTAAATTTGAAAATGTCAACACATGTTCCACAAGATGTCCTCATGATCGTGGTGCTCTGAGTGGCCAGGCGTCGAAAGGGGCCCGATGAGGCATACCCGTAAGTGTTCGCGCCTCAAACGCCCATGCGCCTTGTAATGCCCTGATTCTGCCATCTGCCATCTGCCTTGCTCTTGCCGTCGTTCGATGTACCACAGATGCCGTGTTACTCGTCGCTTGCGCGTGTAGTCTTCTATCGTCCGATCTTGGGTACGTCCTGGTTGATGCGGTCAAGCGCCTGCGATTTGATTAGCTTTTACTTCTATCCTTTCTGGACTTGGGACTGCATACTTCAAGCATGACCACGGCGTTTCCTCGAATGACAACCATGCCGATGCGCACCTTCTCACCGCCAGCCTTCTCTTCTAGCGCCTCGTCGAGTACAATGTTTAAGTAGACCTACTCAGTGTCAGCTAAGTCTACAAGCGGTGTGGAATGGAGAAACATACATCGTATCCACGGAGGATACCCATGACCTTGCGACTGCCATTGAGCTGGACAAGGACGCGCTTCTCGAGGTACTTTTGGAGGTTAGGATCTGGAGGTATGGGTCGGCGTTGTGAACTCACCTTCTTGAGCTCCGGCTGTGCTTGGGGCATCTTGGCGGGTTTAATTTGTTTTGAGCTTGGGTGCGGCGGTACAAGTTCCTGGTGACGGCTTCAAGTTGGTTTGCTCGTGTTGGTCGTTGGTGAGCTAAAGACGCGCGTGATGTTAGCAAGAGCAGCGTTGCGCATGGTGGTGGGATAGCTCCATGGGATTTTGCGGAGGGCCCGTGCGTAGGCGGCAGCCACGACATGTGCGCGCGAACGCATCTCTTCCACACCATACCCACGGTTTCCATATGACGGAGAGACTTTCCGCATAACAATCCTCATGATGAAGCGATCCGGTTCTACACGCGTCGCGCGCAAGATTGGTAGCTACGATGACGACGAATCCACCGCCGAGAGCGCCAACAACTCGCAAAGCGAAGTACAGAAGCCTACAGGTCAGTCACCAATGATCGCAATTGCCAGCCTTTCTGACGTTGGGGAAACTCACAGCGAATCCCTCCAGGCCGACCTGAAAGCTGGCGACTCTGGTGGCTTTGTGCTAACTGGCCTTGTAGTCGTCAAGCGGCCAACGATTGGTAAAGCAAAGAAGCGCTCATCCATGCGGGTATCTTTCGGCCCAGGCGAAGACGCAAATGACGGCGACGACTCGAGCGACGCAGCCGTCGTGACCCCGAAGAAAGCGAACCTCAGTCGTATAGCCCTAGAGAAGAGTGCGCAACTGCGGGCGCGTTCACCCCTCGTACCAGAAGCCGCTCGACCAACTGAATATAGCAAGGATTACATTGCAGAGCTGCGAAATTCGACGCCATCAACACCTCAGGACTTGAACACGTCCGCCGACGACCAAGAAGAGACGCAAGCCCTCGATATCGCATCGAAATTTGGCCCTGTCGCTTCGCTCGAGGCGTCATCCGCAATCCCCACAGAAGCTGAGATTCGAGAGAAGAAGGCGCGAAGAAGACGTTTAGCCCTTGAGGAGAACGCCATAGACGATGAGGACCGCGCATGGGCATCTGACGATCAAGGAGAGGACGAGTTCAGGCAACACAGGAATGAAATCTCTCTACGGCCGAAGGACAAGTATGCAGAGACGCGTCTGATACATGACGATGAGGATATAGCCGAGGGCTTTGACGATTTTGTTGAAGATGGCAAGATCTCGCTCGGTCGCAAGTCAGAAAGGGAAGCGCAACGGAGACGGCGTGCGGAAATGGCAGAACTTATCAATGACGCCGAGGGTGGCTCAGGAGATGACGGGACAGAGGACTCGGACGAAGAGAGAAACACCGCTTTCGCAGCAGCTCAAGCACGCGCAGGGCGATACGGCCAGAAGATCGAAGACGAAGACGACGGTACGAAGACACCTCCGCGCATCACGCCCCTGCCAGACTTGGACGAGGTCCTCGAGGGTCTCACAATCGATATACAGACAAAGCAGCAGAAGAAGAACTTGATCTTGCAGAAGCTGCAAGATCTAAAAGACGACAGGGTTAGGATTGAGGAGCGGAAGAAGTATCTCCAAGAGCAACTGCAGAAAACAGGCGACGAGTATGAAAAGTTACGCCAGGAGTCAGGTCTTCCTGCGCTACCGGCAAACAGTGCTGAGGGAGGCCGCTTGATCACAGAGAGGGGGTTGGACAGTTTGGGTACTACTCCTTTGGCCGGCACTACACCAATAGCTGGTAGATCTGGCGATGAGTCTGATGTTGAGTAGCGTTTGTTTGAACTGGACTTTCTAGCTCTAGCAGGGAGATGCTGGGCTACCTGTGCAGTAATATTAAGAACATCATTCATGAAAGCGCCTGAATGCTCCTGTAACGCCTGATGACTGCCATGATATAATACAAAAGCCTGAAAGCTCTCTGACGATCGTGTCCGTAAACTCCCATCCATATGCAATTCCTCTTCGCAGTGTGATCTGCACACGCGCCTAGTGCCTCTATCGCACGTCTTTCTTCCCTCTCATGCTCATTTGTTCTCGTCCAACTCCTTCCACACCTTCTGTATTCTCTCCCTCTTCTCCTTAGCCGCCTCGCGATTCGCCTTTGTCTTCTCAAGTCGCAGCCCGCGCAGGCACATGTTGACTTTGTATTTCGCGTCAGTGCAATTGCCCGTCACTTTCCAGAGGAAGCCTTGGTTGTGGCATTCTTCTAGCGCTGCGACGACATCTGCGCAGTCTTGGGGGTAGGTGTTAGAAAGGCCGAGTAGGATTGGCAGAGGGGAGGGGTGGCGCACTCTTTTGAACTTCTTCGGTGTGTAGATGAGGATGCATCGTGGATGTGCGCGGGCTTTTTCGTTTGCAACGATGTCTGGTACGAATGCTGGAGAGTACTTTATGAAGCTGTGCTGGTGGGCCGAGTCGGGACGGGATCTTGAAGACCTCGAAGTTGCCGACGAATCGTTGAAGATCTGGTGAACTACGTCCGAGCGCGCGCGCCTTCACGCGGAAGCCACTTCATATCAAAACCCTCAAGATTCGCGTGGATTTTCTACTCTACTCGTGTCACGTTCTTTTACCCTTCGCTGGACGTCACGAGTATCTTTCCTCTTTAGGCGTGCGTACCACGCCTTGAGTCAAGAATCTTCTTTCTCCTCCGAGTTCCCCGCAACGACCGTCGACGCTGCTCCTCCCAGGATACACATCAAAAAGTTACGTCGTCAATATGGCGTCTCAACAACAGTTGAAGAAGCAGCAAGGTATATGGTGGCGATAATTGATTCTGTCGAACTCGCTGACCCGTGAACAGAGCTCCAAACCACATATCAAAACTACAAGGTCAGGAAAGATGGTACCCACGTAGGATATGCAAACTGATTATATGCCAAGAACACACTTCAAACGATTGCCTCAAAGATTGGCGATATCGAACAAGAGACTGAAGAGCACAAGTAAGTTTGGACTATATCACAACTATGAAGCCACGATACGCCATCTTTCGCAAACCTTCTTACACCGCTTCTCCCTTGCGCCAGCCTTGCATCGCTCCATGACTTAGGATTCCTAGTGCTATTACACTGCTCTCTATCCCCATTACGACACAGGAAATACTGACAAACACCAGACTCGTCTTGGAGACGCTGCAACCACTGCCAGGAGACCGGAAATGCTTCCGCATGATCAACGGTGTCTTGACTGAGCGAACGGTCAAGGACGTTGTACCGATCCTACAGACCAATTCAGACGGTCTGAAGCAGGCACTAGAAGAGCTAGTCAAGCAGTACAAGTTGAAACAAGATGAAATGGAGAAGTGGAAGGTACGTCCGCAGTGCGCTGGAATCTTGCACAGCTTTGAGCCAGGCTTCTGTTTCGAGACTACAAGACTAACTCTGCCGCTATAGAAGAAGAACAATGTTCAAGTCGTCCAACAGCCAGGGCAATAGAAAAATACCAGTCATGCAATGACCCTTTGACAGGACGGGCACACTGCATACGCTGGGAACCACATAAGATGATGCAGACGAGTACAGCAGCAATGTCTCCAGTAACTGGAACTGGTATGGATGCAGAGGGACCCTGTCAGGGTTTTGTGTGTTTCATGGCGGAGTATACGGCCGCAATTGGGTATCTCTGTGTTCTGATTTTGCACAGCATACCACAGCAGAATAACATAGCCTCTTGACGACAAGTGAAGGCTTGCCGGTGAACAGCGTCTATATCAATCGTGTAGTATACCTCACACAATCATACGGGAGACCAAATTCCATGGTTGAACCAGCCACAACAGATCCGAATAGCTGGACATTCAGCTACTGTTCTTCCAATCAGATTCACATGCAACTTGAATGGCCCCACAAGCTCCCAACTACGTAAGTGCTTACCAGAGTGAAGGATCTAGGACTCCACCGTTGTCTCAGCACGTGCTCCTAAACCCAGGGGTCTCTGCAAGATGCGTTGTCCAGTCGGCTCCTACTCAAACCGACGCACTGATCTGCACCATCTCACCCATGAAATCGGACACGTAGCTTATAGGCTACCGGCAAAGTCTTCACAGAGAATGACGAACGGTCCGGGGGTCGAGTCGTTAGTGGCTGACCTGACCGTCATCTTGTGTGTTGGCTTAGTGAAGCTGGAGCAAGGCTGTATGCAACATGTGCAAGAGCCCAACGAACAGCGATGATTACTGACGTCGGTGAAGGCTGGGATCATGCCAGGAGGAGCTCCAACAAGACATGTTCTTGCTGAATGTCATCTGTGGCTGCAGTGGTGACGACGCGGCAGAGATATAGGACGTGGGGTGGTGTTGGTAGGGCTGCCGAATGATAGCTGCTGATGCGACTCGCATACAGGATCGCCAGCTAGCCTGAGGGGTCTGCAGTAGGCAAGGTTCCAGACAGACGGTATGCCGGTGATGCGACCGGTCCGAGTCTTGGAAAAACATGTCCTGCAAAAGGGTTGGAATGCTACAGGGACGAAGTCGAGGTTTGATGTTGCTGCTGTGCTAGGAAAGGAATGCTCAAGAAAGTCAACCATGTTTCGGTCGGCACGGGCCGGGATTGGTGCGGGCGGCCGAGTTTCTCCTCGTCCCCTACATTCCATTCGCTCGTAGTCGTGAAAGCCAAATCCACCGTCTCTCCACGCACCAACGCTATCGCCCGTCCAAGCTCCATCCTCCCCCATCTTCTCCTTGCGCTCCTATTGGTAGGCGCGTCATTCATCGCTCCAACGTCGCGACGTCAAGTCGCCATTGCCAACACTCACGCCTAACTGCGCCCGAATAACGCCCTTGGTTCAACCCGGACCACGGCCTGCTAGCTGCCACTCTCACCTGCATATCGTCCCACCGCTACTCTCACGACACGGTCAGTGAATCGCCAGTGTCGCACACGAGATCGTGCCGCCGACGGTAATACACCAACGTCACTCTGTGTCGCAACTGCCCCGGTCGCGGTCGCGTCTGCTACTGTCGCAAGCCGCTCCTGCCACTTGCAGCGCACGTGTAACGCCAGCATCGCGAATAGCCCCAGGCGTCACCACGAGTAGTAGTTCACACGACGCTCCCTTGCGCCGTGCTCTCCGTTGTCGCCGCTCCCCACGTACGTTAGCTGCATCCCATGCTGCCTGCTGCATGCCACTAACCGCTTCTCTCGCCAGGCATCTCATTACACCACTGACCGCAGGTTGCATACTCGGCCGCCAAGTTGTGCCGTCGTCTCTCCCAGTGACGTGGTCGCCAACGGAACAGTCGCCAGCGCATACGCTTCCGAGCAGGCAACCGATAATATGTCGGCCTCTCCCCCAAAACAGGAGGGCGTGGAACCAGTCCAGTCGCCTGACGAAGAACAGCCCATGGACAGGAACACAGAGGAGAACACAGCTCAGATAGGTTACGAATTCGAGGTCAAGGAGCAAGACCGATGGCTTCCAATCGCCAATGGTACGTCTATTTCCCTTGCTGCTTCCCGCCAGTTTGATTTGCGCACTGTTTCGCTCCAGCCTGCACGTCGACAGATTGCTCCAACGGGCGTCTCTGGATGCCGACAGTTCCTCCACTCGCGCGTCTCTACGTCGAATCACGGAAAGCTGTACCTGCCGCAAGCCACTCAGATTCTCTGTGTGCCTGGAAAACGGCCGGCGTGCAGCCTACGGAATGTCGTCCTCTTCTCCCCACTCGTCCATTTCCCCACCGTTGTCTACGCCAAAGAGCACAAACGCGAACAGCAGTACCGCATCCGATGCTAACATACGTAACTTTGCTCCAGTCGCGCGAATCATGAAAATGGCGCTCCCCGACAACGCCAAGATAGCCAAAGAGGCCAAAGAATGCATGCAGGAGTGCGTGAGCGAGTTCATCTCATTCATCACCAGCGAGGGTATGTCTTACTCCGAGTCTTTCTGATACAACCACTGAATGTTTCGCCAGCGTCCGAAAAATGCCAGCAGGAAAAGCGCAAGACCGTCAATGGCGAGGACATTCTGTTTGCCATGACTTCACTCGGCTTCGAGAACTACTCAGAGGCCCTCAAAATCTACCTATCCAGGTATCGCGAAGTAAGCTGCCAACTTTTCTTACCCCCCTTCTGTCCTTCTTTTGTTGCCTACTATTTGGCCGAAACGTTTATCTGAACTATTGGTATTGATTGGTGGTACGAGACCCTCCTCGCAAATCAGAACAAGCCACCCACTGGGCAGTTCGGTTCATCCGGGTCCGGCGGGCCCGCAGGCCCAGAGGGTCAACAGCATGTACTGAGTGGCGACTCCGAAATGGCCGAAGACGGCACCGCCTTTGGATACACGGTCCACAACGGAAACGGGAACGAGTACTAGTCGATTCGGGCTCCGATGGTCAACACGGAACGAGAAGAATAGAGCAGAGATTGCTTAGAGCATCTGTACTGCACCTTGACCATTGGAAAGGAAGAAGATCTCGAATGAACGAAGAAGAGACGGGGATTTTGATACCATTGTTATGGTCAGATTGTCATAAACGCGCCACTGTCGCTTACAGTCGGAGGATCATGTTTAAGGTTATGAGGCGTGGAACGGATGTACACAAATCTATTGCTGGATCTCACCCGAGGATCTTGTTACGAAAAGGGCTACGATTGGCTGGAGTAGGACAGGACACACATGGGCAACCACGATACCTTTTCGATTCTTGCTCTTCACTGGGTTACTGGTCTAGATCTTTCTTCTTGCTCACACGAGCTTCACAACATTCATTACATTCTTGGGCACAATGCCATTCTTTTCGCAACGCATTGCTGTGAACATCCTCTCATAGGAATGATGTTGAGGTCATATGTTCGCCCTTTCAGTGACTGTCTGCGGCTGCGGCTGCGGCTTGTCTTCGAGCGATAAGTTCGCTCAATGGCAGGTCATCGTCTTGCTCGTCGTAGAACTCTACATCTTCATCCACCCCGAAGTCCTTCAATCGCTCGCCCTCTGAATTTCGCCACGCTGCCTCGCCTTCTCTCCCTTTGCCACCCTTTGTCCTCTCAAGCTCTTCTTCTTCTTCTTCGTATCCAACTTCGTCGCTCGCATCATCCCCGTACGTAAAGTCCTCTTCATTTCTACCCAATTCAGCATCGTCCTCTTCTCTATCCGTCGCTCCAGCATACGGCCTCCTTCTCCTCACTGCATCCTCCGCTTGTCTCGCCTTGAACGCAGCCACAGTGTCCTCTGCGTTCAGCTCTGATTCCGCATACCGGAATGCATCAGCATTAACCGCTGTCGCATTCCTCCTGTACGCACGATCTGGGTCTGGAGGCGGCCAAACCGTGCCCTCATCCTCAAAGCCGTTCGTCTCGAAACTCAGACCACTACTCAAACTGGGTGTAGCAGCAAAAGGGTTGAACCAGTTTATTGGATTCCTTGAGTTCATACCCTGGACCATGTTCGACCAGATTCCGATATCGTACGGGAATTCTTGTTTCCGGATCCGCATCTTGTTGCCTTCTGGGGTGGTGAGGTAGCCGCCGTATTGGCGAGCACGGCGTAGGAGGGTCTTGTGGCGTTCGATCTCCCATCCTTCGATTGTTGTCTGATTGATAGAAAGGCACCAGAGGTTTCGTAGGAGGAGGACACCCAGGACGAAGAGGGTGATTGAGTTTGTGATTAGGACAGCAAACATGTGGCCTAGTTGGAAGGGTGAGGGACCGAGGTAGGAGGGCATGTCCAGATTGGACCAGAGGTGAGAGAGGCGGGTGAAGAGGAATGATTGGAGGAGGGAGAGTCCTAGGGTAGTATATAGGAGGAAACGCACGAAGTGAGGAAAGGTCGTGTGGCTAACGCAGTTGTTTGTCCAGGGGCAATGGTGGTCCATCTTGGGAATACATCTGGTAGTTGTCAGCCTGGCTCGCTGATATTTCGGGCCAGTCAATTGGCGTCGAGGTGACGATCGTGACGATTGTAATGCCAATACGTGGTTGACCGGACCCATTCGAAATGCAACACATCATCAACCCCAGAACGAGATATAAGATGGATATCTACCTTTTGCATTCCTTACAGTGATGGGCTCTAGGTGGTTTTGCAGCATCGCACTTTCGACACCATTTCCGGCTCTTTCCTATGCCGTCTACCCCGGTCTCTTTACCTGACAGATCAGCATTTCCCTTCCCTTTCTCCCCGTCCAACTCTTGCTTCCCAGCCCAATCTTTCGGTATCGTTCCCGCATCAACTAAGACACTCTTCGTGTACGTGATTAGAATCAGTACCAAGAGGACATTCGACACAATGAGCTCGTTTTTTGTGAGCGGAGCGGGCTCCAGATGCATCAGTAGCCATTGTGAGGGATAACCGAGAAAGAAAATGAGAACGTAAACAGCGGGAACCGCACATTGGGAGATTTCCATTATTCTGGTAGCATTTGGGTGGAATGATGGGAGGTGGTAAGGGGCGGGATGATGCGGAGGTCGCGTCGTGTAGGTTCGCAAGTGGATCGCGAAGACACGTGATTGGACGACCACCTAAAAGCAACAGCTTACACTATTCGTCCATCGCATCTCTCAACCACAACTTTCCATCACCCCCATCTCCTGCCCGCAGAGCTTCCGATGCTCTGTAAGCTTCACGAATGCCATGTCTTTCCTAACATGGCCGTTCTTCCTCCTCATACCGGCTTTCGTTCTATTACACCTGTTCGTTTCGCCGTACACGAAAGTTGAGGAATCATTCAATATCCAGGCTATTCATGATATCTTGGTACATGGAATACCTACAGAGAACTCTGATCAGTTCTTGACATCGAACTACGATCATGTCAGTTTTCCTGGGAGCGTGCCAAGGACTTTTGCAGGCGCTCTGGTCTTGAGTGGGTTGAGCAGGCCGTTTGTTGGGCTGTTAGGGGATATGGCCCAGGCACAACTGCTCAGTGAGTAAACACAGAAATTTTGCATGAAAGAATTTCGGGACTGATTACATGTGTGTAGTCAGGGCAGTACTTGGGCTACTCAATGCGGCCTCGCTCATTGCATTCGGAAGGAGCGTGCAGAAAGCTTTTGGTACTAGTGCTGGTGTTTGGTATGCTTTGTTCCAAGCAAGCCAATTCCATGCCATCTACTATGCTTCGAGGACGCTGCCCAATATGTTTGCTTTCGTGTTCAGTAAGTCCATATGATGTGTCCCATGCACTTCTTGGCTGATGTCGATGTAGGTAACTTGGCGTTACGAAGCTTGTTGCTCGCATACACCGTACCATGGAGCACTTCAAATATCTCAGGGTACTACCGACTGACCTTGTATCTACTCACGGTCGCGGGTGTGGTCTTCCGCTCGGAGCTAGCAATCTTAGTGGGAACAATCACCATCTATCTGTTCATCACACGAAGGATCTCGATCACAAATGTCATCATCCCAGCTGGAATTGGTGGCCTCATCATTGGGCTCCTCTGCACCGTGCCTTTGGATTCCTTCTTCTGGCAGTCTTTCCCGCTTTGGCCCGAATGGACGGGCTTCTATTACAACACCATCCAAGGACATTCGGCTGATTGGGGCGTATCACCATGGCATTATTACTTTGCAAATGCACTGCCACGACTACTACTGAACCCAGCGACGTTTTTGCTTTGCATTCCAGTTGCAATCATGAACACATCGACGTCCAGGCGAAGCTTGGATCTGCTCGTTCCACTACTTAGTTTTGTGGCACTTTACAGCTTCCTTCCGCACAAAGAATGGCGCTTTATTCTCTACGTAATACCGGGTCTAACTGCAGTGGCTGCAGACGGAGCAGCTTGGATCTGGACCCGCAGATCAAAATCCTTTGTATACGCCACTCTGAGCTTGGCCTTGCTAGGATCAGTTTTGGTATCATTCGCTGCATCTACTGCGATATTGGGTATCTCCAGCCTCAACTATCCCGGAGGCGAAGCTCTTCATACCCTACACAAAGAGACGGGACATCCGGACAGAAACCACTTTAGCGTGTACTTCGATAATCTAGCTTGCCAAACAGGCGTCACACGTTTTCTAGAGAGCCACAGAGGACCCCAGACGGTACTTGATGTTCTTGAAGCACGGGATACACTGAATAGCAGAACATGGACATACGACAAGACCGAAGACCCAGACGCACTTCTAGACCCAATGTTCTGGACCAAGTTTGACTATGTTCTTGCTGAGAGACCAGAGAAGGTGATTGGTAGTTGGGAGGTAGTTCATACTGTGTATGGATTTGGCGGAGTCAGACTTCTGAAGCCAGGAGAAGAGAGCGGCTTGCTGGTCGAGTATTCGGATACAACAGAAGAAAAGGTCACATCGCAAGACAAGTGGGCTTCCAAGGTTGCAGCGACATGGCATGGATTGGAAAAGCTATTAAGGAATGGCCTATTGCGAGGATACTGGGCTGAGATTCGGATGGAGCCAAAGATCCATATCTTGCAGAACCAGTTGAAATAGTCGCTCTATTACGTAGTCATGGGTAATCACAAGTTCAAGTACGCAAGTCTGAGATTTGGGCATTCGGTGAAAGTGTCAGTCGCGTTGAAGGACCCCTGCCTTGCGTCGCATACCCCGCCACGCTTTCCTGCCCCACCAAGCTCTCTCTTTCGCGTCTACACCAGTCTCATCACTCAACTCAGCTGTTGTCAACTATCGATAGTACTTGATAACTTGAATCACACTACTTTTGCACAATATGTCAGCCGACGCGTTACCGAAACCGGTCGTCTACTGCGGAGGCGAGTATTTCCACGATATACTCTACGACAACGGCTAACAAGAAATAGTGTGCAGTCTACCACCTGAAGTAGGTATGACGCCGAGACATGTTTGGAGAGAGCGAGTAACTAACCACATTGTTCCATAGTACTGCGAGTTTGGTGGCACGACCAAGAAGTGTGAGGAATGGCTGGCAGAGGCGCATCCAGATCTGCACGCGAAGCTGTATTCAGCAGGTACGTCTAGCACACCATATCAAGAAACCTATAACGCGCAATGGCTCTGAGGACAAACTTGGATGCTAACGTCCTTCTAGAAGCGCTACAGCAGAACATGGCCTCGCTCTCCGTCGACGCCCAAAAACGCGCCGAGAAAGACGCACAGAAGAAAGCGGCCAAAGCCGCAACCGCCGAAGCACGAGCAGCTGAGACACGCGCCTCCTCCAAGATCCTCATCAAACGCATAGAACGTAACAAGCGCAAATACGTCACCGCCGTACAGGGTTTGGAAGCCTTCGGTCTCGACATTAAGAAGGTTGCCAAGGACTTTGGCAAGAAGTTCGCTACGGGATCAAGTGTGACCAAAATCCCGGGTGGGGGCGAGGAAATCACTGTGCAAGGTGATCTCAGCGACGATATCTTGGAGTTCATGGTGGAGAAGTACGAGGTACCTGAGGATAACTGCGAGTTGGTAGAGGACAAGAAGAAGAAGAAGGCCGAGGGAGGTTGAACGGCTTGAAGGAGCGTAGCAGGTGTGAAGAGACGCGATATCAAAACATTGCGAAAGCCTATGGAGCGTGAGGTGTGTATCAGTATAAGCGTAGGAGTTGTTTGCGACCAGTGCGCGAGCTGAAGATGAAGGAGCATTCGACGCGTCTCTCTTCTAGGATGCGCAGAGCCTCGTGTTTCCCCATTTTATAGAAAGCCTCATTAGTGCACAACGAGTCCATGATGTTGAAATACACGAGATTGAAGATTCGGACCTACCAAAACAATACCAACATGCTTTTCAAGAAAGACGGGCTACCTGTCCTATATGTGAGCACGAAGGGTCATGGTAATGTGATGGTGGCACGTGCGTGCTAGCTGCCTGTCGGAAGCTCCCAGGGCCATCATTTTTCTCGGACCGTTGCCTCTCACTTACATCCAACCTTAGGGCGCGTCCACAGCCCGACTTGTATCAATCGCACGGCCATTTTCTTTTCTTCGCTCTAAAGGACACGGCGACACGACAGCTCGCTGTACAAAAGTCCTATAATTTGTACGTCGCCTACTGGAGAAGGCGAAACTAGAAGCGCAAGCCGCGCCAGATCACGATACCCACCGCCACCATGTCGAAGGACCAGAGCAATCTCGGGCAGTACAAGTATGCGGCCATGTCGAATTTGGTCCTGCAGGCCGACAGGCGCCTCATATCGCGTCGGCCAGATGAGCATACTGGCGATCCTGAATCGCTCGCAGGTCGCATCAACATTAGAGACATGGGCGGGCGCACAGCGCGCGACAGCGCGAATGCGCAAGCAAAGAAGCTCAAGGGGCCTGGCGTTGAGCGAGGAAATCTGAATGAGGGTGGCGATGTTCTCGAGAGAGAGCAGCGCAAGAGGAAACGGGACGATGGCACCAGTGGTTTTGGAGCGATCGCGACGGCCGACCTCAACATCGAAGGCCTCACATACAAGCCGCGGACTCCTGCGACGCGCCAGACTTTCGACCTCATCACAACCATTGTGAGCAGATCCCTTGGCGACGTTGATCCTGCGACTACACGAAGTGCAGCCGATGCGGTCCTCGAATACCTCAAGGATGATACCATGAAGGACTTTGACAAGAAGAAAGAGGTGGACGATCTTCTTGGTACCTCGATGGGCGCAAAGGAGTTTAATGAGTTGGTGAACCTTGGCAAGAAGATTACCGATTACGATGCACAAGACGACGAGGAAGGTGGTGATGAGGAGATGGCAGACGGCGATGGCGCTGACGCCGGCGACAACCAGGGTGTAGCTGTCGTTTTCGACGACGAAGAGGAGGACGAAGACGGGCCTCAAACATTCGAAGTGCGAGATGCCGATACATCAGACGAGGAAGATGAAGCAGAGGCTCCCGTAGAGCAGATCGGAGAAGACCAGGACCAAAAAGGTGGAGGCTTTGCGGAAACAGAGGAGACGATAATACAGGGCGACACCGTTACCTCAGACCGCAAGAACGGCGCAGACCAACTTATACCCGCACACGAAATCGATGCGTACTGGTTGCAACGGCAGATCGGACAAATATACGAAGATGCGCATATTCAGCAAGAAAAGACACAGGATGCGCTCAAGTTCCTTGCAGGAGTCTCGGAAGATGGCGAGGAGAAGGAGCTCCGTGAGATCGAGAACGATCTGATGGACCTCTTCGATTACGAACATCACGAGCTTGTTGCGAAACTCGTTCTCAACCGCGATAGGGTCGTTTGGGTAACAAGGTGGCGGAGGGCTGCCGAGGACAACGATGAGCGAACAGCCGTCGAACGGGAGATGAAGGCTGCAGGTCAGCAACGGATCCTACAAGAGCTTCGCGCAAGAGAGACCGGTATCAAGGCTGAGGATGGGTCTGAAACTGGCACTGGCAAGATGAAGTTCAACCTCAAGGACATCAGTCTTCCAGAGACCTCAAACGATGTGGAGATGGCTGATGCAAAACCAGAGGGCATTGTGGGTGGCCTGCAACCATCGAGCCGACTCGTGAATCTGGACAACATTGTTTTCGACCAGGGCAACCATCTCATGACAAACGCAAGTGTCAAGCTGCCCCAAGGATCTACGCGACGTCAATTCAAGGGTTACGAGGAGATCCACGTACCTGCACCAAAAGCGAAGCGTGACCCTAACGAGCCAGCTCTGATGCCTACCTCTGAGCTACCAGACTGGGCGCGACCAGGTTTTGGTAGCTCGAAGTCGCTCAACCGTATCCAAACAAAGTGCTTTCCCACAGCGTTTAACGACGATGGCAACATGTTAATTTGCGCTCCCACTGGTTCCGGAAAGACTAACGTTGCGATGTTGACAATGCTTCGCGAGATTGGCAAGCACCGAAACCCCACGACTGGGGAGATTGCTCTGGACGATTTCAAGATCATCTATATTGCCCCCCTCAAGGCTCTCGTCGCTGAACAAGTTGGTAACTTTGGCAAACGTTTGGAGCCATACGGCATCAAGGTTTCCGAACTTACTGGTGACCGCCAACTCACCAAGCAGCAGATCGCAGAGACCCAGATCATCGTCACTACCCCTGAGAAGTACGACGTCATTACCCGCAAAGCTACCGATACCAGCTACATAAATCTTGTTCGCCTGATTTGTATAGACGAAATTCATCTTCTGCATGATGACCGTGGTCCTGTCATTGAGAGTATCGTCAGCAGAACTCTACGACGTAGCGAACAGACTGGAGATCATGTTCGCATTGTCGGATTGAGTGCGACCCTTCCCAACTACCGCGATGTTGCGAGCTTCCTGCGCATTGACCCAGACAAGGGCCTGTTCCACTTCGACGCTACCTTCCGACCGTGTCCGTTAAAGCAAGAATTCATCGGTGTCACAGACAAGAAGGCCATCAAGCAACTGAAGACGATGAACGACGTCTGCTATACCAAGGTTCTGGAACAGGTTGGCGGAAAAGGTAATCAGATGCTTATCTTCGTGCACTCCCGAAAGGAAACCGCGAAGACTGCCAAGTACATCCGTGACAAGGCACTCGAAGAAGAATCTATAGGCAAGATTCTTCGGACAGATGCTGCCAGTCGGGAGATCTTGAGAGAAGAATCTGAGTCGGTTCAGAACACTGATCTGAAGGACGTGATGCCTTACGGTTTCGGTATCCATCATGCGGGTATGTCGCGAGCGGATCGTACTACAGTAGAAGATTTGTTTGCCGATGGTTCCATCCAAGTTCTCGTATGCACAGCGACATTGGCTTGGGGTGTCAACCTGCCCGCGCATACCGTCATCATCAAGGGAACGCAGATCTACTCCCCTGAAAAGGGAAGCTGGGTCGAACTCAGCCCTCAGGATGTCCTCCAAATGTTGGGTCGTGCCGGTCGACCTCAATACGATACTTATGGAGAGGGTATCATCATTACCACACAGTCTGAGATCCAATATTACCTATCGCTACTCAACCAACAACTGCCTATTGAGTCGCAGCTCATCAGCAAGCTCGCAGATAATCTCAACGCCGAGGTCGTTCTCGGTAACGTGCGCAGCAGAGACGAAGCGGTAGATTGGCTCGGCTACACATACCTTTTTGTCCGAATGCTTCGATCGCCGGCTCTGTATCGGGTTGGAGCAGAATACGAGAACGACACCGTACTGGAGCAAAGACGTGTGGATCTTGTTCACGCTGCCGCACACGTCTTGGAGAAGTGCAGTCTTATCAAGTATGACAGAAAGACTGGTGCGCTCAACCCGACCGAACTTGGAAGGATTGCCTCCCATTACTACATCACACACAACTCGATGGCGACATACAACATGCACATCCAACCGGGTATCAGCGCTATCGAGCTATTCCGAGTCTTCGCTCTCAGTGAGGAATTCAAGTACATTCCCGTACGTCAAGATGAGAAGCTCGAGCTTGCGAAGTTGCTGGGCAAAGTCCCTATTCCGGTCAAGGAGGGTGTCGAAGAAGCACAAGCGAAGATCAATGTTCTTCTCCAAGCTTATATTTCTCGCCTCAAGCTTGAAGGATTGGCACTAATGGCTGACTTGGTCTACGTCACGCAATCTGCTGGGCGTATTCTTCGTGCCATCTTTGAGATCTGCCTGAAGAAGGGTTGGTCACAAGTTGCAAAGCTCGCTCTAGACATGTGCAAGATGGCTGAAAAGCGTATGTGGCCCACCATGACGCCTCTTCGCCAATTCCCCACCTGCCCCAGAGATATTGTACAGAAGGCGGAGCGTATCGATGTTGGCTGGTCGAGTTACTTTGGCCTCGATCCACCTAGCATGGGCGAACTATTGGGTATGCCCAAGGCTGGTAAGCTTGTCTGTGGTTTAGTGGAGAAGTTCCCACGCCTCCAGATTGAAGCGACACCGCGACCAGTAACAAGGTCGCTACTACGCCTGGAGCTGACAATTCGACCTGACTTCGTTTGGGACACAGAGCTTCACGGCGCTTCTGAAGCATTTTGGATTCTGGTTGAGGACTGCGATGGCGAGCAAGTATTGTTCCACGACACCTTCATTCTCAGACGGGACTACTCAGATGGCGACGCCAACGAACATCTGATGGAGGTGACAGTGCCCATCGATGAGCCTATGCCTCCAAATTACTTCATCACCGTTCTCTCCGACCGATGGATGGCATCCGAGACCAAGCTTGCTGTCTCTTTCCAGAAGTTGATTCTGCCAGCAAAATTCCCTGCTCACACCCCTGTCCTTGATCTCCAGCCTTTGCCAGTTTCTGCTCTGAAGAGGAAGGAGTACATGGGGCTGTACGAGAACATTGGGCGCTTCAACAAGGTTCAGACACAAACTTTCAATACCCTGTATACAACCGATGACAACACCCTGATTGGTGCATCGGCAGGTATTGGCAAGACCATTTGCGCTGAATTCGCCATCTTGCGACACTGGGCTACCAACAACGAAGGGCGCATTGTCTACCTTGCACCATTCCAGGAGCTTGTAGACAACCAGTACAAGAACTGGAACGAACGGTTGACAAGTCTCAGTGGAGGCAAGGACATCGTCAAGCTCACTGGCGAAACCACAGCAGACCTCAGATTGCTTGAGAGGGGTGATCTTATTCTGGCCACACCTTCACAATGGGACTCACTCTCTCGTCAGTGGCAGCGCCGCAAGAACGTGCAGTCTGTAGCTCTGTTGATTGCTGATGAGTTGCACATGCTCGGTGGTACAAACGGTCATGTCTACGAGATCGTCGTCTCTCGCATGCAAGCGATGGCGACACAGCTAGAGTCTAAGCTGCGTATTGTCGGGTTGAGTGTGTCTTTGTCCAATGCACGAGACATCGGCGAATGGATCGGTGCGACTAAGCACACAATTTACAACTTCAGCCCCGCTATCCGAGCAGTACCGCTCGAGTTGAAGATCCAGTCTTTCACAATTCCCCATTTCCCATCCTTGATGATGGCTATGGCAAGACCGACCTACACTGCCATCACGCAGATGTCTCCGGACAAACCAGCCATGGTCTTCGTCCCGAATAGGAAGCAAGCCCGAAACTCCGCTGCTGATCTCTTCAACGCTTGTGTAGCCGACGAGGATGAGGACCGTTTCCTCAATGTCGAGGTTTCTGAGATTCAACCAATCCTTGAAAAGATCAATGAGCAAGCACTTGCTACGTCCTTGTCGCATGGTATCGGATACTTCCACGAAGCTCTCAACTCCTTCGACAAGAAGGCTGTGCAGCATCTGTTCAAGGTCGGCGCTATCCAGGTCCTCATTGTATCGCGTGACTCTTGCTGGGAGATCGACAGTAGTGCTCATCTTGTCGTTGTTCAAGGCACTCAGTTCTACGAAGGCCGCGAACATCGTTACGTTGACTATCCCATTAGTGACATCCTGCAGATGTTCGGCAAAGCTGGCAGAGTCGGACTGGACAAGTCAGCAAAGGGTGTGCTTATGCTACCTGCAGTGAAGCGTGAGTACTACAAGAAGTTCCTGAACGAGGCCCTGCCGATCGAGAGTTATCTTCCTGATTACCTCCACGACGCGCTTGTTGCCGAGATCAGTGCGAAGACCATCGAGTCGACACAAGAGGCCGTCGATTGGTCAACGTACACCTACTTCTACCGTCGCCTACTCGCCAATCCTAGCTACTACAATCTTCACGACACATCGCACGAGGGACTGAGCGCACATCTGTCCGATATGGTTGAGCAGACCTTGAAGGAGCTGACCGATGCCAACCTAATCGAGCATGATGAAGACGAAGATGCTATCACGTCGCTGAACCCGTGCATGATCGCAGCATACTACAACATCTCGTTCATCACCATGCAGACCTTGATGATGTCACTCAACGGCAGGACAAGCCTGAAGGGTGTACTGGAGATTATTACAGCCGCCACCGAGTTTGAAGATATCCAAATACGCAGGCATGAAGACCACATCCTCCAACGCATCTACGACCGCGTTCCCTTCAAGATGCAGGAGCCGAACTTTGAGACGCCACATTTCAAGGCTTTCGTACTTCTTCAGGCTCACTTTTCACGCATGCAGCTCCCTATCGATTTGGCCAAGGACCAAGAAACCGTCCTTCGAAAGGTTCTCAACATCCTCAGCGCAAGCGTGGACGTTCTTTCATCCGAGGCTCACCTCAATGCAATGTCCGCTATGGAGCTCTCTCAAATGGTTGTCCAAGCAATGTGGCAGAAGGACTCCCCCCTCAAGCAGATCCCCCACTTCGACGCCGACACCATCAAGGCAGCGCAAAAGTTCAGCATTAACGACGTCGACGACTTCATCAATGCCATGGACGAAGACGAGAACCCAGATTACAAGAAGCTCATCTCAGCCCTCAACGTCGACCAACGCCAACTCGCCGACATCGCAAACTTTACAAACAACTTCTACCCCAACATCGAGATCGAGCACGAACTCGTCGATCCTGAATCTATCGCTTCCAACTCGCCCGCCCAGCTCAAGGTGCGCATCACACGCAACATTGAGGAGGATGAGGAACCTAAGATGGAGGTTCACGCACCGTTCTATCCTGCCGACAAGACGGAGAGCTGGTGGCTGGTCGTTGGAGACCAGAAAGAACGCACGTTGCTTGCGATCAAAAAGGTGCCTATCCTTAGGAAGTTGGAGACTGTACTTGAATTCACGCTCGAGAAGCCGGGTCACCATGAGTTGACTTGCTTCCTGGTCAGTGATAGCTATCTTGGTGTGGACCAGGCGCCTAGCTTCGAGGTTGAGGCTGCAGAGGGTATGGAGGAGGACAGTGATGAAGAGGAGGAGGAGGAGTAGATAGCTTGTATGCTTGGATTGGCTGCTGCAACATTCTGGGTGCACAAAATCGGGTGGGGCGCAATTGGGCGTTCTAAAGTTGAGCTGTATGTAAAATATGTTCGTGCTAAAAACGATACTGTGTTCAGATTTCTTGTCTCACCATGCTCATGCATCGACAATGTGAGTTTGCTATGATGCTTGTGGGCTGGGCACATACTTCGTCATGAACAATTATGCGACACGACCTCTGTGTACAGTGTCACTGGCATCTGTCACTTATCAATCGCGATACTTCAGCATGCTCCCGTGTATGAGGATACACAGTTTATCTCTAAATGCCGTATATTAGAATTAGCAGCTTGTTTGACAGATTGTGAGAGGCTCGCGAATGTGTCCGGAATTAAAACCATTGCTGTTTTTAGCCAAACCCATCATCATAAAGGAAAACTGAACCTTGGGAGATAGCTGTTACATGCAATCGTGTATTCGTATAAGCTAAGTATTTTTTTTTGTATCACAACAAAGCTGGATAATGCAGTGGTGAATGGAGAGAGGCGATGCAGTAAGAGTTGATAGAGTGAGGATCTTCTTTGGCTTGACGAAATAGTGCATTTTTGATCCTTTATTAGCCAATGATAACCTAGGATTAGGGTAGACAAAAGTAAACTTGTTCTCCCAGTGTCGGAGAGAATGTGATCACATTGTGGTAAATTCAAATGTAGATAGTATACCTCTTCGATGAAAATTAAAATGCGTCGGCGATTTGAGGGAGTTTGAGTAATCACAGTACAGTATGGTATCTTGATACAGCGCGTAAGAAGCAGGCTGGTCTCTTAAGCACATAGCTCAGAAAGGCCGTTCTCTAGAATAGCGCACGGCTAGGCGAATACAGCATAATCTGAACCTGATAGCGATTCCTTCAAGAATGTTTGCATAGCTCGATTGACCCTTTCGGCGACAGGCAGGTTTAGGCCGAACATATCGCTTGCAGCAACTCGCTTCTGCAACCACTCACCGGCAGCTAGTAGCTTTGCCCCGTCAGAGTCCATCTCCCGGAATCTGGCAACATTGGTGCTACCTAACGAGGGGTCATAGAACGGACTATCGGGATCCGTCGAGTTGAGACTGTACGGGCTAGGTGGCGGTACGCAAACAGTACCCGGCGACGGTAGCTCACCCGTCTGGAAGTATGCTTTCACACGGCTCAAGCTACAGATATCGGGTGCGGAAATCGAACAATGACCAACATGATCGCTGATCAAAAGGCTACTGTCGGGAAAGAGGCTATGCATGTAGCGTCCGCTGCGAAGAGGCGTAACAGGGTCTGCTGTGTTGCTTATGAAGAGGATAGGGTGCGATGTGTTGCCACCATAAGGGCCTTCGAACTTGTAGCTGGCTTTGATTTTCCATGCTGCACAACTCATCAAAAGCATGGACCAGTAGGAGCCAAAGTTCGGCGAAAGGGTGTCCATGATATTCCAGTATGCTTCGAATTCGTCTCTAGTAAGATGAGTTTGATCAATGCCGTCGCCGCATAAGATAGCCGTAGTTGCCACGTCGGGCACTGGCGTATCAGATGCTTCGGTGCCGTTGGCAGGGCAAAAAAGAACGTGGTTGTAGTGGAACATACTAGCGAGCTGGTCGGTCGCTGAGCCCCCTCCCTGTTCAATGGTGGCTAAAATGTCTGCAACGAATGGGAACATCAAGCGTGGTTGGTAGGTAGCGCCGAAGATCAATAGTTTGAGATCAGACCAAGTAAGATAGTCTGGACCATCAGACGAGACGATGGGAAGCGGATTATGGTACAGCGATGCGATGATGTCTTGCGTGCGATCTTCTATATCCGAGACACTTGAGTTCGTAGTTGCCAAGGGACATTCAGCAGGACCCAGATTATGGCAAAAGGTATAGAAGGAGGTCATGGCCTTTTCGGCATCTGTAAGGCTTCCGTTGCCAAGGGAATTTTGGTAGTCGTATGAGCTGACAACACCATCGAGAATGAGACGCCCAACACGATCGGGAAACATGGATCCAAAGGTGGATCCAAGTAGTGTCCCGTATGAGAAGCCCCAGTATTGCAGCTTGCTTTCCCCTGGAACATACGTGGGACTGTAGTATCCGGGACGCTTACCGGCCTTCTGCGCAGCCTTCCGAGTTACCTCGTTTGCGACATACTCGGCGTGTTTCTCAGTGATCTCCAACATGTCTCTAGCGACGAATGCCGTCGCCATATACTGCTTGATATCCGGTCCCTCTTGGTCCTCCTCAGCTAATTTGCAGGATGCGCCAAAGGCATGTTTCATAGACCAAAGTCTACCGAGAGCTGCATCTGAGCTTCCGATAAGTCCTTCCGTCTCCTCTCTCAATTTCCAGGACCACGAAGCAGGCTGATCTGGCATGCATCGAGCAACCGGTTCCGTCCAGCCGATTCCGCGGGGGTCAAATCCGATGACATCAAAGTATCTTGCATCGGTGGAGGGTGTGGAAGTCTCAACACTGGAGTCCACGATCTGCTGTAGCGCGTGTCCTAACACAATTGCAACTGCAGCACCTGGGCCACCCGGACCGCCGGGGTTGAACAAGATCGGACCTCCATAACGAGCATCATCCACGGGTACTCTGGCAGGTATCTTGGTGATAGCGATACTGACGGTATGATTGGGGTAGGTGCCGTTGAAGTAGTCCCATGGTAGGCTTAGTTTTGCGCATTCAAATCTGCCGAAGCATTTGTGGAATTCTAGATGCTCACTCGGAGCGATCTGAAGCTTAATTAGTCTTCTTCCCACCAGTCATACTACAGGGTGCTGAAATAGTGTTGATAAGCTAGTTGGTAGAAAGCTGTAACTCGCTGGAATTGACAAGGTGTTTGAACATAGGTCATGAGTGTTTGTTGATGAAAGCCAGAGTGCAGTATGGTCGGGCCACCAATCACGATCAGAATCCTCCATTGAGCCCTATGAGACAGCAGTTGCCTGCGGTGCTCTGGCATGTGTCTAGGACATATCTGGGAATTAAAGTAGTCATCTGCTGTGCAACTCGAGTGGGCGATATTATTTGACCTGATAAGTTGCCGGCCAAAGCGGCTGCAGAACCACGTGTGCGGTGCGACGCTCAAGGAACGCTCTCTCAACATACCTTGGACCACTCAAAAGCGGCATGATGCAACGCAGGCTCTTCGTCCAGAGACAAGGACAGATCCCAGTTCTTTAATTCAGGAAAGATGGTATCCACTGCTGCGAGACAGACGAGTGTGACGAAGGTCGCAGACAGTGCACGCCACCGCGTCGGGGTCCGTCGAGGCTTGACCGGCGCCGTCGCATCCTCCAACCCATTCCAACTCTTCATGATGTACTTGAAGTAGTTCCAACCGGCTGTAGAACAAGCAAAACAGATGCGGTGGAGTATTGGGTATCGGCGAGTCGCGATAGTGGAGGAGTGGTGAGGCGGGGTCGTCAGCGGGCCTCCTCACCCCAAGATATTCGGTCGCATCCTGGCGGCCTGACGGGCCTGGATGAAGATCATCTTAGGCAGCAGCAAAAGCATTCAAAGATGCGGAAGTGAGTGCGCGAGGACTATACAAAACGCAGCACGGAGTGCGCCTGACTCCCAGCAGGCAGCCCAGCCAGCACTTGCAGAAACTTGCAGAAACTTGCCTTTCTACTATGCGTTGGTACTGCAGCTGCAACAGGAATTTCCGGCGGCTATGTATGCAGTATGCAGTATGCAGTATGCAGTAATGATCACAATGCGCTGTCTTGGCTGCTGCATTTTCTTAATGTGCTGACATTGTGCTCTAGTGCATACGATTGAGTAATGGATTAGCTGCCGTCGAAAGTGCCCCATCAAGTGGGTGGTGAGAGGAGATAGCGTTGTCGCAAACTGACGTCTTGTGGAGAAATCCGTTAGAGACCGCAGAGCCTCATCATAGCGATAGTGACGTGATACGGACATCTCAGGAAGATACGCATATTCCACTGTGTCGCACGGTTGCGACGCGAATACGAGTGAGGGTCCTTGCTAGGGTTGGACTATTATTTGCTTTTTAGTAACCACTTTACTGGATAGATTGAAATGACTCGTTCAAATGACACAGCTTTTGGATCGATGACAAGCCATCAAGACTACGAAGAGGTCGTGAGAGAGTGTGCAAAAGAACCGAAACCTTATCGCGCGACAAGTACAGAGTAGCAGCACCTCCTGATTCAATGGGTATCTCATCTCTCAGTACCAACCACCTCTACTGCCATTAAACATAATAAGAAACGTCCATGAGAATGATGATGCTCATTCGAAGGAGGAGCAGTGTCGGCTAACGTCCAAACGATTTCCTTGGTGTAAAGCCAGTTCAAGCACAGGAGCACTCTTGCCCTTAACCAGCAAGTCTGTACCCTTGGTTATTCTGAGAGCACAAGACTGTAGGACGAAGGTTCGCCGAGGTGTTTACCATTGCTGGCCACCACCTTGACCACCCTCTTGTCCTCCATAGCCGCCCTGACCACCGCCTTGGCCGCCACCGTAGCCACCGCGAGACTGGTATCCGCCACCGCCGCCGCCCTGGGAAGGTCCCCAAGAGCCGCCGCCGCCGCCGCCGTAACCTTCTTTCCTAGTTAGTCTTCACTGTGCATAGATGAGCGAGATGTGCTTACCACGGCCACCGCCACCATAGCCTGGGGACATAGTCAGTACAGTTTCAGAACGGATACGGGGCAGAAAGCTTACCTCCTTGTTGGCCGCCGTAACCTCCACGGTATCCACCACCACCGCCGCCGTAGCCGCCGCCACGGGGAGCGCCGCCGCCAGCGCGGTCAGAAGCCTTGTCGACGCGGATCCTACGTCCATCGAATCTAACAGAGTCAGCGAATTTGTTTAAGCATCCCAGCGACTGGGGAAGTGTCTGAGAGAAGTGTGTACGTACTCCTCGTTGTTCATGGCCTGCATAGCGGCATCGGCCTCGGTGTCCTGCGCATAGCGGACGAAGCCAAAGCCTCGGCTACGACCAGTATCGCGGTCCTTAACCACGACCTGAGATGATGTGAGCCTCTGCCTAACCTTGACGAGAAGAGTGGTAGAGTAACGTGTCACTTACGGCTTCTTCGACTGCACCGAACTCCTCGAACTTTTGACGGAGAGCTTGGTCGTCGGTATGCCATGCGAGGCCTCTGTTCAGGGTCAGTCGCATGAGCGCTGGGAGAAGAAGGCGCACTTACCCAATGAAGAGCTTAGACATGGTGAATGATGTCTGGGTCGAACACTGAACGGTCTCAATACTAGCTCTCGCAACTCGAAACAAAGCGCGCGATACAAAAAGGCTCAAGACAGGTAGTGACAGGAGTTGTAGAGCGAAGGAAAGGTGCAGGAAGGCGAGGAATCCATCGCAGCTTCCCAGGCAGGCAGTATGTAGCAACGTGACGGAACGAACATTTGATCTTGTAGCACCAGGCTGTATTGGTATGGATGGCGCAAGCGATTGCTCTGAAGAGTTAGAGGGGGAGGAAGTTGGCTGCAAGCTGTCGCAATAATGTGATGGCACAGGGTGAGGAGCAGAGATAGTGAAGCGTCTAGGTTGGCGGGGCAAGCGACGATATGAGTACCCCTCCACCAGGTGAAAGAGCGCTAGGCTGTATGCAAGTCAAAGGTTGGCGCACGGACTGGATAGCTGAGGGCCCGGTTTATAAAGCGACGTGGATGGCCACGAGCAACGGGATGCAATGTGCCTCTCCAGCCAGTCGAAGCAGAGTGTCTCGTAGTTCGGACATGGCCTGCAGCACAGCAAACGGAACTGGCCCCTCGCAGCTAGCTTGTCCCAATGCCTTGCCTGGGAGCCTGCACCTGACGATGGACAGGGTGCAGATACTGGTTCTGCCATACATACATGTCGGCAAGCTGGCTCTTTAGTGTGTTCCCGTGTCTGTCTGTTCATGCTGGGTATATGCAGCCCACGTTAGGCTAAGACTAGGTGTATCCAATTACAAGGCCGCTGGCGAGCCAGAGAAAACGATTTTTCTGATAGGTGCCCCGATCTATCGTCCCTGTTCAGAGTGCCGGCATGAGTGCGGAGGCGTCATTGGGTCGCTGCGAAATACGTGCATGGACAAGCCTGCGGATAGAACAGATTGCGTGCTCCAGACAGCAGCGATCTGCGCCCGTCGCTACAACAAAACTATCGGGCTGTGACGAAAGGTCAACGGCGGGCAGGCATTGGACAGAAGGTGGTGGTTCAAAGAAGCTTATCAAGTCGCCATCCCTAGTCTGACGGTGTGGGGATCGGGCCTAAACTAGACTTCCAGGCCCTCTGCGTCCCAGGTTGGCTCGTGCGCGCGACGTCAACATGTAGAAAGCTGGAAGGGCACTATCGTAAGACTGGCGGCAGATATATGACCAGATCTTGCTGTGCCAGGACGTGTCGTACCGCCTCGTTGACCCTATGTAGCACGTTCCTATCATCGGTAATGGAAAGCGGGCACGGTGGCAGCGTTTACCGAGATATACCGAGGCTGCGCAAACTGGACAAATTGTCCTGTACCATGAATACGTGCATCTCCAGAAAATCCGACAAAGAGAACGTTCGCATTCGTCCCGTTGCGATAGCGGCTTGACGCATGTGGCAGTACGATGCCAAGATGATGCTTTCGCGGAGCCCGGTTCCAGGGCAGGATAAGTCATCCAATGATGCCGGAAACTACCAGTTGAAATAGAAGTTAAAGGGAGCTTTTGATTGTTCCACATTCCAGTGGTAGAACGTACTGAGATACCGACATGGAAGACTCACTCGCGTCCTCCATTGGTCGTGCCTTCTTTCAGCAGTGCAGTGGCACTGGCGATGACGGAAGCGTCAAAATCATAGCACCCACTGGCACCTTCCATGATATTGAATTTAGGCGACTACACAGAGTCTGACGGACATTCAATATGTCCTAGACTGTGAGAACGCCTCTCAGTCGGCACCCTTTCCAAAGTGACCAACCATCGCACAAGTTGCCGATCCACCACCACGACCTCCCGCTCATCTGCGCCACGTCGTAGCACCACATCAACCTTCGAGCTTCACAGATTAATCGAATCAAAGACACAATCAGACTCCGTCATCCAAAAGGTTCATCTAGAATGCAGGATACCATGGACATTCGAAAGTGGCTAGACGAGATAGTCCAACCGGAAACACAGCGCGAGCCGGTTAGACATCAACGGCCTGTAGAGTCCACTAAACGGAAACGTCGATGCAAATCAGATAGCTCAATCCTAGATCCCCGTCCGCCTGCATCTCCTCCGCACGAGTCAGTGGATGATAGTGCAGGCAAGGCCTTCCGGGCGATGTGCAGTGACAGCTCTAGCAGCAGCCGGTATGCGCGCAAACCTCGAAGAAAAACGCGCCCTGAGCGATATGAGCCAGCCCCCCATGCACGTCGCAACCCCAAGGACGAATCAAAGACGACGAGGCGCAAGCCTCGACGTAAGAAGGGCGAGAAGCTACCTGCTGTCATCCGGACCCTCGAGGCCAAAAATGTGTCCAAAGATCGGCTGACTGTAAGACATCCATGCGGTTATCCGAACGTACTGCACGGGGTTGACTATTGAACCAGTTGAAGCCGCGAGAGCAGCTAGGACTCTTCAACAAGGGACGGACGTCTACCGCTTTCAAGGGTCGCGGGTGTGAGTGACCCGTCTTCGCTCCTGTGGCATGGCTGATACGGTATCTTGGAACCCTTTCCCGCATTCTCCGGCTGATATATCGCAGTGCCCGATCTAGTCTTCTCTGAGATGAAGTTCTTGCAGAAAGAAAGGGACGAACCAGAGGTTATGGCACGTCCTAATCTGGCCAAAAAGAAGCGAAAAAAAGACCAGAAACAAACGAAGGAGGGGGAGATTTCCGCTTTCTTTACCTCAATGCGCCCGGTATTGGTCGAGAAGGACAGCAACAGGCTCCCAGAACATGCTGCTTCGAGGAACGAGCGGTGTCGCCGTGATCACCCCCCTGTGTATGAGACTGCTACATCCACTGTTGTGGTAGCGCGCCCAACGTCTTACCTGGGCTTCGGAAGTAGAGGCCCTCAACATGACAGTACTAGCTACGTATCTTGGCCAGAGTCGATTCGAGCGCCTAGCACGAAACCAGCGCAGCCCTGCAGCCTTCCCACCCGTCACAGTCCGCATAATGTAGATTCCTATAGTGAATCTGACACTAGGAAAGGAAAAGAGCATGATGCCTTCAGGCTACCAACTCGTCCACTAGCAGCGACAAAAGGAAGAACCGATAGCATGCCAGGCGCTCGCTTCAAGATACCTTCGTCCGCTCCATTACAAGATAGAGCTTCAAGGTCGCAGTCCTTGCCTCAACGCAGCTCGTCTCTACGGAGGCCGAATTTTGTCCAACAATCTGCGAGGCTACAAGAGGCCGACACTGCTGGCTCACCACCATCAATGCCACCCCTTGAGTCTGCACCTGTCATAGACGTCTGCCATGCTCGAACACGTAGCAACTCGAAAGGCACCGAGTCAGGTCCTGCCCCAGCCTCAGCTCCCGTTCTTGCTGTGCATCGACACCACAACCAGCCTAAGGATGGTAGCGTCGTTGAACAGAGTCGAATACCGACGTCTTCAGATTTAGGGCTCGCTTTGCAACAATGCAATGATGCGTTATATCGAAGGCGTCATGCTGCTGAGCCGCGTAGGAGACCTACCGAAGAAATCCACCGAGTGAACACAAGGTCGGACCTCCGACAAGACTCAATAGAGTTCTGCAGTGCGACTCAGCAGGCTCCTGCTGTACGCTTCGTGGATCAGATCTACCATGAATCGATACTACCAAACTTTGCTGGCCCGAGCATCTATGAGCAACAAGCACTACACCAGCAGCTTCCTCTGCACTTGGGAGCCAATGAAGGTCATCTGGAAACGCCCTATACCGACCAAGATTATCTGGAGCAGAATGATCCAATAGGGTACGATGACCATGTTTGGGAAGGGCTGCCGGAAGAGCCAACGTCGCATAGTTTTGAGAGCGGTGTGGATACCTATGAGAATCGTGAAGATCGCGTCGAAATGATGGAAAACCCTGTTCAGGATTTGAGACAAGTCAACGACACCGTGGCTCCTGGGTTTTGGCGGCCGAATAAGCTGTACTGATGTTGTGATGGCTGCTGCATGGCGCGTTAGCTCATGTTTGTTTTTGAAGTCAAACACCCTCTCTAATCGCGAGCTGTCGACAAGCCATGTTGAGAAGCGACCCAGGTCTCCTGACGATGTGTGATTGCGCTCTGTGATGTCGAAAATTCGAAGAAGAATTCGCAAAGGACAGAAGCCGACTTGAGCAGCCTCGGTGTCCGTGCACAAAAAGTTGGAGCTTCCGGGTCCCGCTCCCGTACCTCATGGTCGCATTTTGATCCTCGGTCTGGGCTTCGCGTGAGAGGAGAATCGGCTGCACTTCCATCTAGTAGTCTACTAAACGAGTGCCGTCTGTATGCCCATCTATCAATCGCTGCTGCGGCTCAGTCCCGCCCAGAAATTGATCTCCCGGTCGAAGCTCCCCTTCCCTATTGCGACGGCTGTCTCATGCAGACAGTCGGCGGTGACGTTCGTCACAGTGGCGCCTTCCCAACAGAGCTCCCCGCCTGCCAGCCCCACTAGTAGACCCCTCAACGACAAAATCAACTCTAGGGCTCGTCTACTTGCAGGCCATCTAAACTCCACAGCTTCTTCTTCCACAGCCATTCGTACAGCTGCCACGAAGAGCCCATCCACCATGTCTTACACCACACGCAAGATTGGCGCTGCCAACACGCTCGAGCACCGCATCTTCATCGAGAAGGACGGCCAGCTCGTTTCGCCATGGCACGACATCCCGCTCTACGCCAACGAGCAGCAAACCATCCTCAACATGGTTGTTGAGGTGCCCCGCTGGACCAACGCGAAGATGGAGGTGCGTTGACCCCAATTGGCTGCGCCGTGGCCTATTCACGGTCCCGCGCAAAGACACAGGCTAACCATCGCAACAGATCTCCAAGGAGGAGCAGCTCAACCCCATCAAGCAGGACATCAAGAAGGGCAAGCTCCGCTACGTGAGGAACTGCTTCCCCCACAAGGGCTACCTCTGGAACTACGGTGCCTTCCCCCAGGTACGATGACGCGACCCCGATATCGGACAATCACACAGGTGCTGATGTTGTACAGACTTGGGAGGACCCCAACGTTGTTCACCAGGAGACCAAGGCCAAGGGTGACAACGACCCATTGGATGTCTGCGAGATTGGTGAGCTTGTCGCCAAGCCTGGTGAGGTCATCCAGGTCAAGGTTCTCGGTGTCATGGCTCTGCTCGACGAGGGCGAGACTGACTGGAAGATCATGGTTATCAACGTGAACGACCCATTGGCCCCCAAGCTCAACGACGTCGAGGACGTTGAGCGCCACCTGCCCGGTCTTCTCCGTGCCACAAACGAGTGGTTCCGTATCTACAAGATCCCAGACGGCAAGCCCGAGAACCAGTTCGCCTTCTCCGGCGAGTGCAAGAACAAGAAGTACGCCATGGACATTGTCCGCGAGTGTGCTGAGGCCTGGGAGAAGCTTGCCACTGGCAAGACCCCCAAGGATGAGATCAGCCTGTACGTAGTGGATTGCCTACTGCTAAATGACATCCTACTGACAAATTTGTAGCACCAACACCACTGTCTCGCACTCTCCCGACCGCACCGACGCTAGCTCGCTCAACGTCCCCCAGGGCGAGAACAAGGCGCCCGCTCCTATCGACCCCAGCATCGACAAGTGGTTCTACATCTCCGGTGCCCCATCCAACTAGTTCTAATGGGAGCCATGGTTACGAAAAAAGTGTAAACATCATTGGAGTGAGAACATGAGGGTAGATGGTAGATAAATGTGCATGAATAACGCCGACCAACGACGGTATATAGAGTCATGAGACAAATGATCAATACCTCATTTCAGCCCAACCCAGAATATTGCCGTGACGCCGACCGATGCTGTGGTTTAATACTTATGTACAATCATGTCTTTATGCTGAAGCCTCAGTTGCCTGCCAGTTCGTCTTTCCGTGCCAACGACCGCGAGTGTCTGTCGACTTCCTCGACGACTTGTGTTATGCGCATGTTGCTGAGATCGAGCTTCATCTCCTTGCCGTCCTCTATGCGACCATGTTAGCGTTTGCTCCAGATGCACGATTCGAATGAGCGGAACGTGTACGTACTGAACTTGACAGCTAGGCTCGCAGGCTCCTTGCTCTCTCGTGGCAGCATCTTGGACTCAATCTTCATGCCATCTTGGCGTGCATTCGGTGGGATCAAGGAGAGGAAGAGGCGGGCGGGTTTTGAGCGCGGGGAGAAGGGATTGAATGCTACGCGGACGTCGGTCAGGAATCTGGTAATCATTGCGGCGACTGTAGAGCGGCGGGTCGGCGATGCAGACTGTGTTCTGTTAGCTTGTATAGAAGATAGATAGATGCGACAGCGTACCGATGGCTGATGGGTCAAAATTGCACTGCAGTCGACGTCTTCTACGCTCGTCGCAACCTCTTCGCGATATGTCCGTGCTCAGGATTCTGTGCGGGCCACGCTACAGCTAGCCGTCCAGACACGTTACGCCCTTTCACCCCGCCAAACGTCCCACCGTAGCCATCTCCGTCATAGGGCAGTCGCATACATCGACCAGACCCTCTCCGCAGCCCGAGCCACAATGGCACCCCTCCCCTCCACCACGCAATCCCTCACCACCCGCCTAAGCGCCCTCTCCGAAGCGAACAAAGGTGTTGGCCAGCTCATCCAACGCTTAGCCAAGTTAGACTTCCAGCCAGGCTCGCAACCACTCGACAATTCCGAAGAAGGCGACGTTCGGTTGGAACTTAGTGCCGAGATACATGAGACTTTGAAGGGGATTGAAGAGGAACTTGAACTTCTGAGGCAAGAGGTCGAGGACGTTACGTCACAAGGTGGCATTACTGGGCGAAGGAGGGATAGTAGCAAGGACAGCGAGAGAAGCAGACTTGCTGTACTACTGGCGAGGTTGACAGAGGATTTGAGGTCGTACGTGACTACGTCTCCCCCTTACTGCATCCTCTGGTGTGGCATGCTAACCAGTCTTCATGTAGATCGCGATCGCAATACCGGAAAGCACAACTTACAGCCAAGCACAACGCCGACCGCGCAAAGCTCAAGGAACGCGAACTCCTCTTCTCCAACCTGCAATCAGGCTCCTCGACTCCATCCTCTACGTACCGCCAACGAAAGCAACAGCAGGGGCTATCAGAAGGCGAAGTCGTCGCTCAGGCATCTTCAGACGTCACATCTGCTCTGCGCCGAACAGCGCAGTTGATGAAAGACGAGCTATCGCGCTCTCGATTCGCACAAGAAACGCTCGAACAGACCAACGCTGCCCTACAGGATCTTGGGGAGCAGTACTCGGATCTAAACACATTACTAGCCAACAGCAAGAACTTGGTTTCGACACTACTCAAGAGCACAAAAAGTGACACGTGGTATCTTGAGACTACCTTCTACATCCTCCTAACCACAATCATCTGGCTCGTCTTCCGTCGCTGGTTATACGGCCCACTCACCTGGTTCCTCATCTGGCCGGTCAAGCTTACCTTTCGCATCCTTTCCGCTGTCCTGCCTTTCGGCGCCGCATCTTCAGCCGCATCATCGAGTGTCGCAGTTTCCTCGTCCTCCAGATCTCTTATTGTCCAACCTAGCGCAACAGGTGGAATACCCCGACGCGATTCCAACGCCCAACCACACTACATCCCTGTCGGTCGTGGAGGCGGAGTAAACAGGCAAGGTCAGGATCCTAGTCCGCAAGGCTCTTACTCGCAACAAGTAGGCCAGATGGCGGAACAAAATCGGCAGCAGCAGCAGCAGGAAGAGGTGCCTGATCACCCACAGTTCAGGCAACAGAAGAAGGATGAAGATGAGGGACCCGTCACACTGGGCGACGGAACTGTACTGAAGGAGAGCGATAAGCCGAGGAATCCCAAGAAGAAGATGTGGGAAGAGGATGTGGAGAGCGCGAAGCGCCATGAGGCGCAGACTCAGGAGACACAAGCGCAGCAAGAAGGAAGTGGACAGAGAAGAAAGAGAGACGAGCTGTAAGTCGCGAGTCGTACAAATACACGAGATGGTACGTATGTAAGGAGATATCCTATGGTCATCGTCATTATCATGATAATCATTCTATCACCACAACCATCATCATTCTTCCATGCCCTTGCCTTTGTCTCCTCATTCGATACCCAAAATTTATGCTCTCTAAAACACAAAGTCAAAGTTTTGATATTGTTGTCTCCCAACCCGAAGTAATGGATGTGTCTCCACCCTTCAACGATGTGAAGATTGTGGTGTGTCAGCTTTGTCCTACATCTTTTCACAATGTTATGGGCTGAATCTTATCCCCAGAGATCATCAACACTGATTGTCTAATGTTCTGGGGTGCGAAATTGGTACAAGAGGCATATACACGTGGAATCCTTCTATGCGGTTGCTGCATATGGACACACGCTGTAGTCTGCTATGCTGATGATGGATTATTTCAAGTCATCTTCCTAGTGTATGTCACTGGCGGCCAACTTCCATGTCCTCGTCTCAAAAGAAAAGACAGCATACACTGCGGTAGCTTTTACGGTTAGTGATGTGCCCTGGCGCTATGTTCGTCGCTCATATATAGAACAGTTTGGTGCGTTCCAGAGCATGCCGTCTCAATGTGCAACGACATTGGCGGTACCATGAACGAAGTTGGTATCCACTCTGTACGTGACTCACAATAGGCTCAGTCGTACCGTATTATGTATTGTGTACCGTTGCCAACGCTGGTTGCGATTGCAAGAATCAACTCACTTTACCTCTATTGGCGAGCTCGCCCTCACCCACGGCAGGCGTTTGCCCTCACCCACGGTAAGCGTTTGCCTTCCCCGCACCGTCGTGGTCATTTCTACATACAAAAACCAAGAGATACTTTCCTTTTCTATTTATCTTCTTCTTCCATACACTCTACCCTTCCATTTACTCGACTCCGCTATCTATCTGTTCAGCGACAACCACCACAATGACATCGCCGACCATCCTCCCCGTCGACACCATCATGCGCGTTAAGAATCGAAACACCTCCCTTATACAGCCGGAGGAGAACGGAACAAGAAAGATTTCTCTAGGCTTGTTAAGCCCACCCACTTCGATCTCGTCTAGGAGCATCTCGTCCACAAGCAGTTCCAGTCAATCTTCGACATCAACCACCACGCGATTCATCTCGACACCAACACACTTCAACTCTCCACAGACGAACGAATTTCTTGGTCTTACTCAAGGCAAAGCCTTGGAGCTCTTTAAGAGCAGGCGCGACAAAGAGAAAGAGATTGGAGCACCCATCTCTATAGAAAGATGGGTGATCGACTATGTCGTCGCAATCTGTGAAGATGCACAAGATTCCGCCGATAACTGGGTGAAGTTCATGGAAGAGGCTGGGATTAAGAAGGAAGTACAGCTTGCCATCATGAGAGAAGAGCATGCAATCATACGCGGGATTCAGTCACTGTCTTGCTGGCTCGCAGATATTATCGAGACGAACTATCTTGCCCTCGTGGACATGAACGCCCGCATACTAGAAGAGTTGGCTCCCTCATCGGGAGTACATCTGAGAGGGGGAGCAGGAGATGAATACATGGTCCCTCAAATGCCTGGTGGTCATCTCGCTCTGTACAAGAGCGTCGAGTTCCGAAGATGCAAAGGTGTCATCTCTGAAGATGGATCAGTCAATTTGGCACGTCTGGAATCTACCGGACCAACCGATTTCGCGAGACGAGGTGGTCTGTATTTCACGAACCAGCTATGGGTGGCTAAACATTACGCGACTCTGATTACAGATGCCTGTCCAGTCGCAGACCGACGGACTGTGGAGCTGCACGTCCCGCTATCTCACCTAGAGAAGATGAAGGTGTGGAATTTGCGATTCGAGGACGAAGCCTTCAAGCAACTTTTATTCTTCTCGAGACGCGATGAAAAGTACCCTAAACAAATATCGCAGTTACGTGCAGCGCATGGGATAATCTCAGGACCTATTGGTCATGTCCACAATCTGGCTTTCGGAAAGATGTCGAGTTGGAACCTGATCACAGAAAAGCATCAGCTACAGGAGAAGGAAAAGGTTGAGGACAACAAAGGAAACCAGACAGAGGTCACCAAATACGGAAAGCAGTGGGTTTGGATTAAAGAAGAGTCAGTGGCACAACTTGAAGCAGACTGTAAAGACAAAGTATATCTGAGACTACCCCACCAGAATCTCAAGCTTGTCGTTGAGCCATGGGACGACAAATCTGTAAAGGACAAGCGGGTATAGAAAGTTGAAGCTTGATCAAGCCCGGAAGGCTTCGTCTAAACAATACAGGTCTTAGTCATCAATCAATCCCAACACGGAAGGTACATAACTACAAGCATTACGTCGTGACTCAAGAGCTTCCATAACTACCTAATCTTGATTTTGAAAAAGCTGGCTGGTTGATCATTACATGTGCTTGTATTCTTAGCCCTTCAGTATCAAGGCCAAAAATGAAAGCCCACGCCCACCCTGCCTCGTCACCAAACCTACAGCGCGCCCTGAGATCCGCTCTACCATACAGCGTCAATCTCATCTACAGAATCCAACACCCCAACCGAACTGAGCACGCCCACATCATCGCCACATTCCCTCCGTCAGCCTCTGAAATCCCAGAATGTTGGGCAGCTGCATACCTGGATCGCTCCATGCGTCCGGAGGTAAGTTATGACTGTAAGAAATGCATGTGAGACATACACTGACTTCGCATCTCCACATCTGTAGACCGAGCTGTGGATCTTCAGTAGCGCAGAACAGCCTCTTCGCTCAAACTTGACACCAAAATTTCGACAGGAGGATAAGAAGGCGGTGATGGCATTATTGGACTACATGGCTACACTCCCCACCCCACCGATGCGCTCCGATAATCTGCCTGCTCTGGAGTTGGCAAAACAGCACGAAGAAGAACATCCAACCCCACCAGCTGATGGCACATACAAACTGTCACCAGGAACATATATGCGACATCTCCTTATGCCGAAGGTCGTTACGTTAGGTGCGGTTCATTGCGATGTAGTCAAAATCCTTCGCGAAGCAGGAGTTCTACGAGATGAGCTTCCGGGCCCCGATGCCGAGTTGAACAAGTTCTTGTTCAAGCTCTCTGATTTACCAGAAACGCGAGAGCTGCCACAGGGCTTGCGATGGGGGGATATGCGCGAGCAAGACATCGACCTTGTCAAGGCCCGAACAACTATTCCACGTACAACGAAGACACTGATGTCACTAAAAAGTGTTGGCGTGTTTGAAGAAGAAACAGATACTGCTGTAGCGTGGACATTTCTCGGATTAGATGGATCTCTTGTTACCTTACATACAGAAGAGGCATATCGAGGCAAGGGAATAGCGAAGGCTGTTGCGGCAAAGTTGTTCCGACAGCATGCTCCAGGATTAGCAGTAGACCACGACGGAAACGCATGGTCGCACGCGGATGTGTACACGGGCAATGTACAAAGCGAGAGCGTGTGCAAAAGCTTGGGAGGCAAGGCATTGTGGAAGTGCTTCTGGGTGCGTATAGACCTAGAAAAGGCGGGATGTCTGGCGAAGACTGGGTGAGCTACAGTTAAATTGATGCGTCAACGGTTGCGGGACACCGAGATGTGGGAGCATAGAGTAGATCTGTTGTAGAGTCAGTTTCGAGTCTTGTTATTTGTAGAGAACGAGTGACTGGAACAAGGGTTGCTCATTAAAAAATTAGAGTGTTGTTGTTGTTTTTGATCCTCATAGTGAATCAGGGTTAAAAAGCGATAATAATCATAGCAGCGCGACGGTGGAAGGAGGGTGGGCTTACCAGGTATATGTCCTGACGCAGACGCTTTGTGAGCATCACGAGCATTACATTTGTTCGAGTTCATCTGATCGTATTGTCGTTGACTGTCTATATCATGAAGACGTGCTTCGACAGACCGTAGTCATGCCGATATCTCTCAAGAAATGTCATCGCAAACGTGAGTAGCTTAGTCGAAGAGACCGAAGCCCATGTCCTCATCCTCAGACTCCTCCTTCTCCTCTTCCTTGGCCTCCTCCTTGGCGGCAGGGGCGTCACCACCGGAAGCAGCAGTCGTGGCAGGGCCAGCGGAAGCGTACTTGTCGGGGTTGGCGATGCGGTCCTTGAGCTCGGCGATCTCCTCCCACTCGTAGTCGGTCTCAATGGCAACAGAGAGAACCTTCTTGTAGGAGTTGACAACGGAGTGCATGACGGAAGGCAGAGTGGGGAAGCCGGTGGCCAAGGAGATACTGGCAATGGTGGCGATGGCAGAGGAGAAAGCCTTGAGCAGCTGGGACTCCTCGATGTCCAAGACGGAGGCATCGAAGGTCTGGCCGTTGTCGTAGATCTGGAAGATACCCATACCGTAGGTGAAGGGAGAGATGTTCAACAAGTTGAGCAGGGTAGCCTCGGAGGCACCGACCTTGTTACCGGCCTCGATGAGCTTCAAGTCGGAGGTAATTTCGATGGTACCACGGGCAATCTTGGTGGGGACACCGAGAGCCTGGAAGAAAGAGGTCTTTCCGGGTTCCATACCACTGCCATATGTCAATTGTCTGCTGCATGATTTGCACAAGGTATGTTCTTACGTGTTTCCGGCGGGAATGTAGACATCGCCGGGGGCGACGGCACCGGCACGAGCGGGGGCAGCGACACGGTTGGAGAGAATCTTCTCACGGGTGTCCTTGAGGTCGGCGTTGGTGAAGACGAAACCGACGTTGCCTATAGTTTTGTCAATGCCGTGCGCGGCGGTCGCGTGGATCGGAAGACGTACCCTTGACGTGGGGAAGGAGACGCTCGTACTCGGGGTAGTCGTTGATAAGACCCTTCAGAGCACGGCGGACCATGGTGTTCTTTCCCATGAGGACGACACCCTCGCCGCGGAGCGACTGACGGATCTCGTGCATCTGCTGCGACGAGACATTGTCAACGGTGACGATGAAGATGCTCTTGTACTCCTTGAGGAGAGCCTCGAGCTTCTCGAAGTAAGCGGCCTTGGATTCTTTCTTGCCCCCCATTGTGTTCGGTGACGCAAAGGGATGTTTAAGGTCTTAGTTTGGGTGTTGTTGATGGTTTAAGGAAGAGAAAGTTCGACCGAGCGAAAATCAAAGTCGTCCGCTGTGGGTGGCCCCTGCTCGCGTAACGCGCTAGCGCATTCTGAGCCTCATAGAAAAGTAGTATCAACTCCACCAGGCAGTGTCCGACGCAAACATCATGTCTGTTCCCTACCAGTGCATTGTAGCGCACAGCTCAGAATCTGCGGGAGAGTGGGTGATATTCGGTGCGAGCGGCTCCAAGATCGTAGCTCATTCCAGTCGTGGGGCAACGACGACATGGCCACCGCAAGACAATCAGATTGAAGTGAGTGATGACGTGATAAACATCATGTGTCAATGTTGTGGCATTCGACTTGGTAGAAGAAGTGGTTGCGCATCGCTAACATGAGCAGGATCAGCAGGAGGGCGATTCCGAAGAGCGACCAGGAAAACGCATCAAATTGGAACAACCGAAGGAGCAGAAGTCGAATTTTTCCAGTCTCATTCTTTCAAGCGATGGACAATACTTGGTTGGCATAACTGGTGAAGACAAATGCATTCGCGTCTTCCAGATCGATTCACAGAACCGACTGCAGCAACTTAGCGAAAGGTAAGAAGCAAAAGACGCAAGGCCAATTCAAAGATTGACCTGGAGAAGGTGCATGTCGAGACGACCTTCTTCGATCATTCTTACATCCGATAACACGACTATCTTGTGTGCAGACAAGTTTGGCGATGTGTATGCACTTCCACTTCTCCCATCACCTGACGACGATAAAGTAGAAGAGCCATCTGAAACACCAGCGACTGCACAGCCGGACCAGAAAGAATGGATGCCTTCCGCCACTACCCTGACCGTTCATTCTGGTAGAAATAGGAAGACTCTCGAAGAGCAGCTTAAGCAGAAAGCGAAGGGACCAGCGAAATCCAAAGAGCCTATGCGATTCAAGCACGAGTTGCTCCTTGGTCACGTTTCTATGCTCACGGATGTCGTTTATACAAAGGTAGAGGGCCGAAGCTACATCATCACAGCAGATCGAGACGAGCATATCAGAATCTCAAGAGGCCCGCCGCAAGCACATATTATTGAGGGCTTCTGCTTCGGCCACGAGGCGTTCGTAAGCAGACTTTGCTTCACACAGTCTGGTCAACTTGTATCTGGTGGTGGTGACGATCACTTGTTTGTCTGGGACTGGCAAAATGGTCTTTTGAGAGAGAAGCTGGCCATCCGAGATCTCGCCTTTGCCCATCTCCAGGAGCGTGGCTTGGTTCTGGCAGGTGTAGAGTCTGCGACTTTCAAAGTTGCGGTTACGGGCATTTGGAGTTTACCAACTAGAGACGGGGTAAGTGCCACTGAGCCTCAGTCCTTCTAGTTTCGTTCTGATTTTCGGTAGGCTGAAACTATCCTCGTGGCGTGCGAGGGTGTACCCGCGCTATTCGGCTTCACACTAGGTGTATCCACCTTGGGAAATTCCATCCCATTGAGCGGTAACGCACTTGGTGTTGCCATTATACACACCTCTACAGGGTCGCTGAAACTCGCCGTCTCGATCGACAGCGTCCAAAAGCCAGGCTCAACGACTGAAGTTCGGGAAGACAAAGTACGTAACCAAGCTCAGAAGTACTTCGCAGCCGACAACTAACATGTATACAAGGTGCCAAGATTGCGATGCCTCGCCAGACAGCAAGCTGGCGGATGGCACGAAGATCCTGAGCTGGCAAACATGCTGAAGATCTTCGAGCAGGGTGGTGACAAGCTGCTTGCAGATGACAAAGCAGTGCGAGACATGCTCTACAATGTGGAGAATCTCAGAAAGCGTCCAGGCGCAGAAGATTAGATAGCAGCGTTGCAAGACCACAACGGACTTGAGATGCTCCTTCCAAGCGCGGGGCCGATATACGAAGATAGAAAGTGAAGCGTGACGTGTGCGGCTCCAGAACATGCACGAACTGTAATCATTCAAATACTCGCCTCTCCAGACCACGGTCATGACCGGACGAAACTGTGACAATCCGGCCAGTACTCCTGAACAAGTCTGCCGAGGTCCCTGATTCGGGAGCCGCATCGTGTCGCGCATAAGCGTGTCAGCATCGGACATTTGAGGGCGAGATGTCCAAGATGCGTGGACTGCGTGGAACGTGGGTCTAGTACAGGTCGATTTCTAAGAATGAGACCCCGGCCGCCGATGGCGTAGATCGAAAGCAAGCAGCCGACTTTTTTCTTTGCAAGCAGAAATCTCCCTTCTTCTGACATGTGCTATACTTGCAAATAAGGTGTGTTCTACTCTCGAATTCTTCTTTCTCTATCGCGCTGTCTTCTTTTTTATACTGAAGTGCTTGTGTATTGACTGCAACTCAGAATTGAGCCCGATCTGCATCTTGAAAACCCCCACCACGCCTCGGCTCGCCGTCATCCACCAATATCGCGGACCCTCCGAAGCTAGAAAGACAACGCCCACTAATTGCGAACCGGCTGCGGCAACATCAAAACCGTTTTTCCAGCTCCTTCTCTGCCACTTGATCCCTCTCTCATAAGGCACCTTCTTTCGCATCCCACTATCCCGCACACGACCCGCACGCCCGCAGCCACATCTTGCACGCGACACGCGAACTTTCGCACACGCCGCCAAAGTGTTCGCATCAATCTTTCGAAGGGCCTCTTCCCCCCGCAATCTATCCTTATTCTCCGTACCCATCGCTGCTGCGGCATCGCATAATCAGCGCGTATCACCAGTAGCGGGGCTCTCGACTGCATCGACCTTTTCAAAAGTACAGTCGCGAAACATGCATTCAAAACTAGTCAGTGAGTTGTGCTCAAGTATCTTGTGACTGGAAGAGTGCTAACAGTTTGCAGTCATTGGGTAAGCTTTGCAATCAGCGGCGCAAACAGGAGAAGAATGCTAACGTGCACAGCTCGGGGCCAGCAGGCCATACCGCAGCTATCTATGCCGCACGAGCCGATCTGAACCGTAAGACGCTGTCTCTTGACTATTTCCAGCAGTATGCTAACAATGCGCAGCCGTCATGTACGAGGGATTCATGGCTCTCGGTATTGCCGCAGGTGGTCAATTGACCACAACAGACGAAGTCGAGAACTTCCCCGGTTTCACCAAGATTGGAGGCGGAAAGCTCATGGTCAGTAACATTACGCGATAGCCACGCGCAAACTAGTACTAAAAGCCTGTAGGAGCAAATGCGCGAACAATCTGAAGCCTGTGGCACCGAAATCATCTCCCAGACCGTCGCGAAGGTCGACCTAAAAGCGCGCCCCTTCAAGTACTGGTTACACCCCATGGGTGACGAGGAGGAGATCGAGGAGGAGGAACACACCGCTGATGCTCTGATCATCGCGACCGGCGCAAAGGCTAGGAGGTTAGATCTTAAGGGCGAGGACAAGTACTGGGGTAACGGTGTATCCGCATGCGCCGTATGCGATGGTTCCCTCCCCATGTTCCGCGAGCAGCCACTGGTCGTTATCGGAGGTGGTGACTCGGCAGTCGAGGAGGCCTTGTACCTCACCAAGAAGGCGAGCAAGGTTACTGTGCTCGTACGAAGGGACCAGCTACGTGCCAGCCGAACAAACGCCCGCCGGTTGACAACGCACCCCAAGATCGAGATCCTGTACAACACCAGCGCGAGCGAGATCAAGGGCGAGGAGAAGAAGAACGGTCTGATGACACAACTAGTGGTCAAGAACAATGTCACAAAGGAGGAGCAGACCCTTGAGGCAAAGGGTCTGTTCTACGCGGTCGGACACGACCCCGCCACAGAGCTGTTTAAGGGACAGCTTGATATGGACGAGGACGGTTACTTGATCACCAAGCCCGGAGAAGGTCTTACAAGTGTCGAGGGTGTCTTCGCGGCTGGTGACGTTCAGGACAAGCGGTATCGTCAGGCTATCACCAGTGCAGGATCTGGCTGCATTGCCGCTCTCGAGGCGGAGAAATGGCTTGCCGAGCAAGATGACAGCGTCGGCAACGAACTCGAGACGGAGAACCAGGCTGAGAAGTCGCAAACAAACGGCGTCGTGCCCGAGTACCGCTCCAACCCTCTTCTATAGACGAAATACTCGCCACATCATCACCATCACAAGCTTGGACCACGTTTGGACCATTTCTGGTATACCTCGCATGAAAAGGGCATGGGCATCTCATTGTTTAGCGCATCTACGGAGGGCATGGGGACCATGTATAGACCTTGGCAAAAGGCGGTGCATTTCGAATAGAATCTTGAGCGGCTGATTTAGGGTTTTAGATAGAGCAGACACCTGGCAATGAATGTCTTTCAAATGATTTATCGGACGGGTATCGTGTGTCGCGACTGAATCTCTCCAACATGGTCGTTCTCGGTATTGGGAAAGATGGTTACATTATAGAGCAACGCATTGGATGCATCGTTGATGAAGCATACGTTGGGGGGCTAGACGAAGGCAGCAGTGACATTACGATGTCGGAGCGTGGAAGGCGCTGTAAGACTGCTGGTTGCGGTGGATGATGAGCAAGATAGATGACGCCTAGGTTGATGAGCATCAACGACCAATGCCGTTGGCTTTGAGGAGGTTGAGCGCACTCTCGAAGGCTTTGACCACGCTGATGTCTGCTACATGTTAGCTGTGCAGAGGTGACGAAAGGACATCCAATGAATCGTACAGTGATTTCGCTTCTTCTCTAACTCTTCTTCAGCGTTCTGAACATAAGCCATGCGTGTACGAAGCCTGATGCAAATGGTCAGTAGGCTACACGACTTTGCAGAAGGTATGTTTACCTTGAGTAGGTCCGACCAGTCTCATGCTCAAGTCCTGAATTTGCCCAGATACGGAAGTACTGGAAAGGCCGTTAGTACTAGAAATAGGAATCAGATAGGGATAGTAGTACAGCCATAAGACTTTCCCATTCCTGCATCAGTTCCGACTCTTCGTTGTGGCAACCATTCATAGCCTCGTGGTACCGAACGTGGAGATCTTCCCAGTCAAAATCCTCGATCCTTCCTGCAGGGTCACTATCTTCATCCTCTGTTTGCTCTCCAGCGTTCGCATCAGCCTGGCCATCGACCTCATCTTGCGTACGCTGGGCTGAAGGTGGACGCTCTGTGTCGTCTGAGTTCACACGTCTTCTCGCTGGCCGCATTGGTTGGGCATCCTGAGTGAAGGACGGCTCTGACTTGCAAGCCGGGTCTGCATCCATCTTGATAATTTTTGGTAGCTGGGTCAGTATTGGAGGCGAGGAAGGGAATATTGGCAAAGCGCGAGACGGAAGAGATGATTCAGGTTCGTCGTCGGAAGTTCTGGTCATTGACGATGCCTTTGGCGGCGGTCAGTGCTGTGGGTAAGTGGAGTGATCGCGACCGCGTCTTATTATCATCATCAAGAGGATATTCGACGCGTGAAGTCAGCTTTATGAGACTAAAGATTGCAGCAGTAAAGGGTGATGGATGCTTGCCCAGGTATGCCATTTGCACGTGCACTAGCGCGGTTCGTTTTGGTCAGTCGCGGCATGACGTTGGAAGGAGCGTCTGACTCGCGACTCGCGCCTCTGCCTAAGTACCGTCTCGGTCACACAGCCTTTTCACTCACCTTGGTCTGACTGCTTGATCTATGCCTTACTTCAAACAAGGGCTGCAACATTCACGAAGCATATATATTCACTGGACACCCTACTGGCCGATCCCCATGGATACATAGGCACTCGCCAACCCCCTCGACGAATCACTCCAACCATGGTCTCGCTGTACCTTCCAGACCTACCATCCTACGACTTTTCTGGAGGCGAAATCACATAGCATCATTCTCACTCAACCATGGAGTGCGATATTTGTGGGAGAGAAGGCAGCCTGAGCCAGCCGCTCCACTGCATGACCTGCGCCCGCTCGTACCTCGAACAGCCCCGCATCCAACTCGCAAAGACGCTGATAGACCGCGATGCCGTCGAGAAACACGTCAAGGCCATCGTAAATGGTTCGGAAGATAAGGCGATCCAGCATGTTTCCCTCACCGACTCGAAAGGAGGCCTCTTGGTTGACCGGCAGGAATGTACGAACAATCTAAACTGGCAGCGGACGAAAGCAGAAACGGTGGAAATTCAAGAGCGATTAGGAATGATATCAAAGCACGCTGATCAGCTTCGACAGCAGATGGAGGCCACAAGGAAGCAGCTTGAGGCGAAGCGTGCGGCGAACGCGCAGAGGAAGTCGGACCTCTCATCCGCCACTTACGGCATCGAGTCGCGGCGGGCGAATGAACTGGATAAGGTGCAACAGAGAGTCAAGAGGTCCGACTACAATGCGGACAAGATGCATCACGATACCATAGACCTGCGCATGCAGCTATGCACGACTGCTGCGAAACTCGCAGGACTTAAGATGCAGCGACGAAAGACTAGAGACGGTAGCATTAAAGAGGTCTTTAATATAGGGCCTGGCACGCGCCTGCGGATTCATGATCTACGAGACCTGAACGGTAAGTTTCTGTCACACCTACTGAGACAGTATGCTAATAATCGGAAAGATGTCGCACCTGACGGCCTATCCGCCTCTCTGGCTGCCGTAGCCCAACTCCTCGTTCGAGTCGCTGCCTATCTGGGTATCCGCCTCCCAGCCGAAATCACATTGCCCCATAGTGACTATCCTCAACCAACCATCTTTAGTCCAGCATCTTCATACCAGGGTAAAAAAGTACCTTTCCCTGGCTCAACACCGTCGCATTCATCGAGCGCTAGTCCAGAAGCCTCGCGCACACTCGATATGCGTGTACATCTTCCGAAGCCACGCGCACTGTTCGTCGATCGCCCATTGAGTCATCTCTCTGCAGAAGATCCTCCTGCATACTCGTCCTTCATCGAAGGCGTATCCCTGCTTGCGTACAATGTTGCCTGGCTATGCCGAACACAGGGCATGAAGGAAAGCTTCAAACAGTGGGAAGATACCTGTTCGATAGGTCGCAATCTGTATCGGTTACTGATCGCACAAGAGTCATACAATCCCCAGCGTCTTGAGAACCCATTCGACAAAGACATTACCGCTTCAAAGTCTTCTAGATCGATTCTTCGCAAGTCGCCTGTAGGCTTCGGACAACTTTCGCATGCCACTTCACATTCCTTTCTCGGCATTGCCGAGAACGCCCAATACATCAGCGGATGGGGCTTGTCTCCGACGAAGATCGTTGACGAGCTGAAAGGGTTCTTACTTGCTGAGCAACAAGCACAAGAATGGGACGTGCTTAACCAGAAGGAATGGGAAGATATGGAGAACCTGATCGCTGAAGACCCGGTTGTAGTTGGCGAGAAAAGGCGTGGTAATACAGGTTTAGATGATGGACGCAGCTACCTCACGTCTACTACGACAAACGGAAGGCCTTTGCTATCACGGAAAGGGGATGCTTCTGAGAGCGAGCAGACAGCGCGAAAGAAAGGCATAAGTGGATACGTGAAACTCAAGAGCAGACCAGAGGAGGATACATACTAAGCATCACCATGATACCCCGAGATACCCATAGACATTCGCGCACTCATAGACACATTGATAACTCCACACTTGAATCACATTACGATGCGAATCATATGTCTCTAGCTTGTATTGATGAAACGTGCTTACGTATTCTAAATCGTATACAGCATCTCGCCCGAACAACCTTCTGTCCTTGGTGGCGGCCGCAGCGCGATGTGTAATCTGCTGCTGCCAAGGCCGTCACAAGGCGGGTCGGAGAATACTATGACACCATCGCCGCTTGCTCACGAAACCAACGCGCGCTGGGCCGAGCTGTACATGCCACGGTTGGAGAGCCAACGCCGTCTGATTAATCTGTTGCTGAGAAATACCAGACATTGGACGGGGCCTGTTGGGTATAAGAAGCTGGGAGTCACGAAGAATCATCCCCCTTGCTTTCATCTCCACTTTGAAAGGAAATTCTGCCAGAAAGAATTATTCTCTTTCGCGCCATCACGGTCGACGGCACCACCGATAGAAAGCGCGCTAGGATTCGTCGCTAGAACAATAAATCATCCATAGACGTCAACACCTCGGAGGTCTGAACTTTGTTCTGAATTATTCTGCTCTCACTACATTTTTGAATTCAAGTTCTTTTATACCACCAAGTCGACTCGGCTGTCCAGAGAGCATTCACCAGAGCAAGATGACGGTCCCCGAGCACCCCATTGACACCCCGCCACGCGCGCCATCACCAGTCCACAGATTCGGTACGCTCGCCGTACACGCCGGAAGTCCTCACGACCCTGTCACGGGAGCTGTAATTGAACCTGTACGTACTGCCGACTTATTGTCTGAAGGGTGCGTAGCTGACCGAGGCAGATCTCGCTGTCGACAACATTTGCGCAAACCGCCGTTGGGAAGCCAATAGGCGAGTACGAGTACTCGCGATCCTCGAACCCCAACCGGTATGTGTCTGCGATCACTTTCTACACTTTCATTACTAACGCGCTTCCAGAGACAACTTTGAGAAAGCTGTCGCCGCCCTCGAACATGCCCGCTATGCGCTTGCATTCTCCTCAGGTTCTGCTACCACGGCCAATATCCTCCAATCGCTCGCGGCTGGCTCCCACGTTGTTTCCGTCTCAGACGTCTACGGAGGAACCCACCGCTACTTTACCAAGGTAGCCCTGACCCACGATGTCAAGGTTACATTCAGCCCGAGCATCGAGATTGACATCGCTGAGCTCATTCGCCCCAACACAAAGCTCATCTGGATCGAGTCGCCGTCTAACCCTACCCTGACGCTGGTGGATATCCGCAAGATCTCGACGATTGCGCATCAGCACGGCATCATGGTGGTTGTGGACAACACCTTCATGAGCCCGTACGTTCAGAATCCCTTGGACCATGGCGCCGATATCGTGGTACATTCAGTCACCAAGTACATCAACGGACACTCCGATGTTGTCATGGGCGCTGCGGCCTTCAACTCGGATGAGCTATATGAGCGTCTGTCTTTCCTACAGAACGCCATTGGTGCTGTTCCCTCGGCATTCGACTGCTGGCTCGCACACCGCGGTCTCAAGACCCTGCATCTCCGTGCTCGGGAAGCTACCAAAAACGCTACAGGTGTTGCGAAGGCCCTCGAAGCCTCACCACACGTCGTATCCGTCAACTACCCTGGTCTGCCTTCTCACCCACAACACCACATTGCATTGAAGCAGCACCGCGATGGAATGGGTGGCGGTATGCTGTCATTCCGTATCCAGGGCGGCCACGCAGCTGCAGAGCGCTTCTGCCAAGCAACCAAGATCTTCACGCTGGCTGAGTCGCTTGGTGGCGTTGAATCTTTGGTCGAGGTACCCAGTGCCATGACACACGGCGGTATTCCTAAGGAGCAGCGTGAAGCCGCTGGTGTCTTTGACGACCTCGTCCGCATTAGTTGCGGTGTTGAGGATGAGGCGGATCTTGTTGCCGATGTAAAGCGAGCACTTGAGGAGGCCGTCGTTGGTCCTAAGATCACCAACGGAAAGACTTCGAACAATGCTGCTCCCGCCGCACAGTAATTTTTCTGCTAGAAGTTCTGGAGTCGTTAAGAGCGATAAAAAACATGCTTTGATGAGCACATATGGATAGATGGCGTTTTTGGGGTATGGGATTACGACCCTTATGATGGATATGATATCAGCGATACTCGCAGTTCAAAAGCATAGTGTTGTACCACAATACGAATTTACTCAGGGTGTTCGCCGCAATGTACTCGTGGTTTTCGTTGTCTATACACTAGGCTCCAGCCTGACGCCGGTATATTCTGGAGCTCAGAGAAGAGCCTCCCTGTACGTTACTGACTACAGTATTACGCACCAGTCGACTCTCATGGGATGTTTTCCTGCTGTACGTATTAAATCACATATTTTCGTGTACCTTGGGGAACCAATCCACAGAAGCGCGCACGCAGTGACTGTATAGGTCCAAAACGAGTATCCAACTCGATTGATGCGCGTCTGCCTTGATCACACAACAAAAAGTTTCCAGTCAGGCCAAGTGATCGTAAACAAACAACCAGTACTCAGGAGGCTGCACAATTGTAGGACAGATGCTGCATAGACGCTATTTGTACCGCACAACGTTACTACGAGACTACTAGATCTGGGCCTTGAGGGAAATCAATGTTCAAAGAATGATGGACACAAGGAAGTGCCAGAGTGTAAGACTGTGAAGTAAGTAAAGTAGAGAGAAAAAGAAAGTGAACGTGAATGGTTTTGGAAATCGGCGGATGACTTCCTTGTTAAGGTCTCTAGATGTCATTAGTCATCTAAACGCGAGTGATCCTTGGCACATGCTTTCGTCTTTTGTTTATCATATTGAGTAAGTAGATACGTGTATCGAACTTTTTCGAACCATCGAAACACCAATGCAAACGGTAGTCTCTGGCCACATGCTTTGGCAGTTTGAACCGTCTTCATTGTTTCACTTCACAACGTCGGCAAGAGTGATCTTGTTGCAGCTGATGATCTGCTGACAAGTAGCTACATAGTAAAGTCTGTTGCAGTTCGTGACCATGCCTAGCTAGGTAGGTTGGGGAGTTTGAACGCCTATTCATCAACGTGTGACATCATTACCCAGTTCTTCTTCTTCCAGAATTGTATGATCGCATCTACAACACCAAAGCGGCCCACCCAAGAATACCAGCAACGACGACCGGCGCTCTAAGCGAATCAGCAGCATCAGTAGATGCCGGTAGATCTGAAGACATAGATGAGGTGGCAACATCATTACTAGCCGTGGTCGTGGTTGAAGCATTCGTGCTTGCAGAGGAGTTGATAGTCGTGGAAGGGGTGGAGGTAGTGGTTGCCGAAGTGGTCATTGTAGACGTCGCGGTAGCCATGGAAGTGGTAGTTGTATTTAGATCGTCAGTGTTGGTGCCGACCACGCAGTACAGACCGTCATAGTCTAGATCGGGACAATTGATGCCGGGATTCAATCGCTCGAGCTCGTCGACGGACAGGCGCCAGCTAGCTGCAAAGCTCCCACAAGTCGTACCAGCATCAGCTATAGCCTTAACATGGGTGTGCGAAGTCAGTGTATGTCTCATATGCAGTTTGTACAGAGAGGTTTACAACGGAGAATTCACAATCAACAGCTCGACGAAGGTGAGCGGGCCATGCTGAGGCCGATGCTACAAGAAAGCCAGCGGCGAAGAAGTGTGTCAACTGCATCTTGGGGGGTTTGAAAGTTCGCAATATTGCAAAGAAGGAAATTTGTCGAAATGAGTGTAGGGTAATATAAGTCCGGTGTTTTGATAACGAGATGCATACTCAACTACGCTCTAAACCATAGCTCTTATACTCTTCGCCGAAGTCTGTCGGTCGCTTACTTGTGTTATCCTGCTATAGCGTTTGAAAAGCTAGGTGCTAGGCCATTGCCCCTGACCGCAGCCAGCATAGATAATTGTGGGAAAGGCTGACCCGAGCGCGTCAAGGTAACTCACTAGCTGGTAGTGGAGCCACAATCATGCCGTCCGCGGAACAATAGCTTGCTTGTCCCTGCATCTGGGGCAATAGTCACAACGCTTGGGAACGGTGCGTGAGTGGAGATGTCAGGAACAAGAAGGTCGGCTCGGCTCTGGTGGAAGTGGCACGGATGCTAAGCGGGCGCGGTTCAGCCGCAAGCGCTGTTGCAGCGTAGCTCTATTGGCCATCAGCCGCTATCAAGCAAGGTACCTTGCAAGAGTACTAATCATTATGTTGATCCTTCACGTGGAGTTTGAATCCTTCCTCTCATGTTTTTCCGCCCTGACATTTCTCTACAACCTTCCTAATATCAAAATACTCCTCGCTTCATCTCGCTACCTGTCTTTTCCGTCCCTGTCAGCAGGCTGGCCGCCTGGCATCTCATCGCTTGCGCAGGGGCTGCCGAGCGTGACGGATGTAGACCTCGTTCTCACTTGTAACGACCTCGGGAGATTTACGCTTCCACGCAAATCCTTTCAGATATTATCGCTACCACGAATTTTGAGCTAACTCTATATATGCACTCTTCGCTGGATGTCAACCTCACCACCTTGGACGCATAGATTCTGTGATGTGGGAACTTTTCCGGCAACGGCCCTTGTCAGAAACTCAGGACTTTCTAGAACCTCGTCGATGAGGGTAAGGTTTAGCTTCAATACTAGGTGGGCTGGGACATCTACTTCAAAAACTCCCTCGATTCGTCGAAAGCGGCATCACCCCAATGCGACGACGCATGCCACATCCTTCACTGTCAAGAACTCTGCACAACAAGTGGATCCTGTCACTCCTACATTGATCGGAATTGCACGGAAGATGAACGTGGTTGCTATCAGTATTGACGGCCCACTTCATGATCATATTACTCGAGAGGATCATGGAAGATGAACTTGTGCGCCTATGGCGTCCATAACGCTATCTCCGACTCCTTCCGAGCTCAAGATCGATTCAGCCGCTGCTCCAAGCTTTCCCCCATCTTATGACTTCCCTTCATTGTGAGGCGACTCGAATACTCGGGTCCTCTTGTCCAATCGATGACAAGAGTGCTACTCAAGGGAGATGCGCGGTTACGTGCCCTTGACAAGCTAATTCCAATATCATAAAGCGCTCAAACTGCCCACCTACCCGCCCGCGATCCTCGCTCTCCACCACGCGGCTGAAACGGCATCAACCCCTGCTACATAGCTTACCCTTTTCGATCCTGCCTACAGGCTCTTGCCCCTTGGCGGCGACATCGACCATAGTTCAGACTACCTATCTTGCCCGTCTGTTTCTTTTAGTTCACGTTGAGCATCCTCCGCACTGTCCGTCCAGCCACAAGCCCTTCCAACACAGAGTCCGCTCCGCCAAACCAGTTTCTTCAGTCGCGTTGTGACTCCCCGAATTTTTCGATTTATCCAACCTCACTCCGCCATTACCTCCACAGCACCCTCTTCTTCGCGATCTTCCGGTCATAGCACGCTCCTACATGTACATTGTCTTTTGGATTTGCCGATTGTTTGTGACCTGTACATGAGCTATAGATGCGGCCGTCAGCGACTCCTCGGGCGTTATGAAGTAGACCTGGTTTTCCCGCGCAACGACACATATGCGCCAGCGCCATATGTACCTATCGTCTTTGGTTCTCACAATATCGACCTCGAGACCAACGGTAAGAAATTCGAGAAAAGAGGGCAATGGAGTAGCTTTCTGTTTATTCCTGGCACAGCTGGCGCCTCACGCGTGCCGACTTTGCTATCCATGCATTTTGACTTTGCATATATTACAGTCTGCATAATAACAGTCTGTTGTTACCGTACTTTGCATATTTCATAAGCGAATTCTGGTTGCATTGAAGATACTCCAGTATCACGAGCATGCGACCCACAGACCTTAAAGAGAACTAAACAGGTTGTGAATCAGATAGCTACGTCGGTCGTGGGGAAAGACGTCAAGCTCTTTTTTTTTGATCAGGCCACCTCGTGATTCATTCCAAGAGAGGCGCGTTGGTCTTGTTTGCTGACGATGCGAGCCCCACAGAGGCTGAGTTCACATTCAGCTACCTTCAGCTCTGCCTTCGATCACCGCCATTTCGTTTCTCACATCAATTTTCCGCCATCGATATTTCCAAGGGTTTTAATCTTTTGTAAGAAACTTCCATGCGTATATTCCACCAAATAAACCCAATAGGCGCTCTGAATAATCTCCACTGTGACCATAGCAGTCCTACCCTAAGACTGTGCCACACGCCAACCTTGACTAAGACAGATGCCCATCGAACCTCACATGATGTTTTGTGCGCGGAAATATGAGGTCCCAAGCCAATTTGGTGGTCACTTTGTGATGTAGCTGAGAAAAGGCGGTCGTCGAGCGGGCTACTCGCTGACGATGTATACGAATAGCTCAGCGGACGGTGTCACGACCGGCTCCTATTTGGGAAAACAGAGAGTCTGGAGACAACTTATGTAGGGTATAAAGCAGGACATCATCTCTTTCTAGTAGCCCTTCACCAACAGCATCATCACTCTACACCACAATCCAGACTTCTCTACAAACACCAACGTTCTTCAACAAGACACTGCAATATCATCAATCCGTCAACAAATCTATCAAAATGCAGCTCACCACTACCCTCGCCGCCACCCTTCTCGCCTTTACCACGGCGGTGACTGCGATCCCCTCTCCCATTCCTCAAATCACCCTCCGGATCTACAACGACCAAAGCGGCGCCAATGCAGAAGCCACCATACCCGCCGACGGCACCCCTTATTACATATCTTCTCTTTTCGCCGGCAAGGCTGTCGACAAGGGTGCCGGTAATATCGTCGGTACATCAGCCCAACTCACCAAGTTCCAAGACACGACCAAGTGCCAGCTTGTCAACCTTAACATCCCTGGCTGGATTTTTGACATCGACGGTCGTGCAAAAAACTTTGTCGATCTGGATGGCGACGTTACGAAGCCGATCGAGACTTGGCTGAGCGGTTTCACTTTCCATTGTGAGAAGGCTTACTAGAGGTCGAGATATTGATCCGACGCTAGAGGCATGGACGCGCTGAGATTGAGGGGTTGTCGAGGTTGTAATTGTTAGAGAGGGTTCTCCTTGAGTCACTCGTTTGCTTGTTTTCTTGGCTTGAGCGTTTCAGTAACGGAGCATAGCGTGGGATGAAGTTGAGTTTTGGCATGTTGCATAAGTTTTCACGTTCGTTACAATAGACAGTAGAGTATCAGATATAGAAGTAATTCGATTGATTTAGCTTCAGGCACTTTAGTATTTTACATCTGGTACTCGATGTGACACTTGCGATACTATCCATCATACTAACCTGATGCTCCGCAATCTCTGCGTAATCATCCTTGATTCGTCATAATGTTCGAGAGCGTTTCGCTATTTTGATGCAATGCCGACTCAATGCTGATGGGTGAATCAATCCAAGGTGAAAGAGAATTAGATAGTCGTTTCGTCTTATTATAACACTGTAGTACATGGTATATGTATGATGTACAAAGAGAATGGCTATGCAGCACTTTGTGGAGTTCAATTCTACGCTGCAAATGGCTCTTTCTAATATGTATCCCTAAGCGTAGGTGATGAATCCTGATGAAGTCCGGAAATCACTCGAGATCTAGATACTAATACAGCACCCAATTCATATAGTGAAAATCCCTTCTGATCTCTTCAATTACTAAGGTTCCTTCACAATATACACCGTCACAAATCAAGATCTTAGTGCATATTGAGTATTACTATGGTAACAACTCAGCTCTCTTTCTATAAAATAACCTACTCCGTAGCCTAACAAGGTCTTACTGACACACGCACAAACAAAATGTCAACCAACTCACGCCTCGCAGCACTAGAGGCTCTCGCCCGCGAGAATGAGAAGAAGATTGAAGAATTAGGGCACACAAATTGGCTGCTCAACAATCACAATGCCCAAACGCAGAATGAAATCTCCAAGTTTGAGAAGGACTTCAGCAAGGAATACCCTAACTTTGACGTAAAACATGCCAGTTCCACTGTCTTACGGCCACATCCACCACCACCTCTTCGCGAATCACCCGTCGCAAGACACGTCCTTCTCGCTCGCCCGCAGTCGGACAAGCGTCCACAACCGCCAGGCCCATTTCCAACGCCATTCTACCTTGCTGCACGCGAGGCTCCACAGCTAAACTTGGATTTTGTGATACCAGGCTTTCAGGGTGAGACACTGGAAGTAGCTATAAACAATGTAGATATGGCGTTCGTTCTACAGCAGACGCTGCGACGCAGAGGGTGGAGCGAAGAGATGACGAAGAAAGGGGTCGAAGACTTCCTAGCACAACCTATGGTGAAGGTCGTGTGGAGAGGCAGGGAGGGTGAGTTTGGGAACCTATCATAGTGCTTTCACAAGGAACGAGTTGTAATGTAATTTTGATTCGGAAATGCAGTCTACAATGAAGCCGAATTTGGTATCTTGACGCCGGTCTATACATGCTAAAGTTGCCAAAAGGCTATTCAATCATCTTTGTGCTGTTCATCAAAAGCCAACATGAGCCCCATGGCCCGCTCGTATGTCCACATAGTAACGGCGCTGGCTGGCGCAGCCTTCAGTAGACTGACCGTCAAGCCGCGGTACATGCCTCGTCTACCTTCGTGCTTCCATATATGCGCTATAGTGCTGATGACACCGCTATAAGTTGGTATGTTCCGATGAACGTATCGGTCGCGCATGGGCCCTTGAACTTGTAGTCGCTTGCGTGTAGTGTCGAGCGGGTAGACGGCGGTTTTGGAAAGAACGCTCGCGATAACACCGGCGACGGCATCCGAGCTTCCGAGTGGTAAGGGTATGGGAGAGGAGGCGGTAACGGGCTTCAAGCTCTCGTAGCTGGCGAAGAAGAGGCCCATGTAGGGCACAATCTGGCTCACGCCTGCGCCGAGGCCGCGAAAGAAACCCCTAGGTCCTTCATGCTGTGCGATGTGCTTCACCGACGCTATGATGGAGGTATAGACGCGATCTTTTCCTTGGGCAGCAAAGCGCGTGCGCAGAAGATCGAGCGGGTAGGTGGCTGTTGTAGCAGCAGCACCCGCACTCGCACCACTGAGGAAGTTTGTGACAGAACTAGGAAGCGTATATGGTGCAGGTATAGTCTCCAGCCAGTGCGACACGTACGTATAGGCAGAGAACTGGGCGCTGCCGTACGTCAAGTACATCAACTCCGCAGGTATGTTGCCCTTCCATAGTCCTGTGACACCCTCCTCATGGAGGATCTGCTTGAGGGTGCCTATTGTTCCTTTGTAGACGGGTCCCTGGACATGTCGAACGCTGAGAGGGTCGGAGAGGGAGTGGATCTGGAGTTGCAGGCGGATCTTTATGACGTCGAGAGGAGCTATCACGAAGCTGTGGCTATGTCAGCACTATACATGAACAAGAGGGGGCCAACATACCGCGATACCAGGCCGGCAACCGCACCTGCGACGACAACCTGTCGCTGGGAGCCCTATCAACTACGTCAGCCTGCGCCTGCCTGCCTGCCACGTCGCGAAACAGTGAAGATAGACAAGCTCCTACCTCATGCTTCAGCTGTGCGACACCCTCAGACATGCGCCCAGCGCGTCAAGCGATACACGTGCTATTTTCGCGCGCGTTATTAGATGCCAACTGCCGATTATCGGTACGACGCCTTTAATTGCAAACGTGCCGGGCAAAGGGTGGGTAGAGACCTCGGTTTACGGGTTGATTGTTTCCACCAAGCTCCCTGATTCTGAAAAGCAAGCCACCCCGCCCAACTTCGTCACTGAAAACAGCTGCGTCCGACCATGTCTTCGACCGTTACCACCAAGTTACCGCTACGAAGTCTGAGATTGCAGGTTACGGCTTCCTCTCGCACGACTACATTCGCTGCTCAGAGACGGCGCTTCTTCTTCAATTCCTTTTGGCGATCACCTAAGCCGGCCGAGCATGCTGATTGGAGCCCCGCTACTCATGGTCCCTTCCGGCCAACCAAACGCCAGGAACAGCTACAGCAAGAACAAGACTCGAGACTGTCAAAAGAGCAAGAATCTCTCATTCAGAATGACCCGAGCATCGGTCAACTCGACGGTGGCCCAGCAAAGAAGATCGCTGTGAATATCGATGGAGATTCCAAGGTCTTCGACGCTGTATTTCTCCGTGACAGCTGCACATGTACACAATGCATGGACCCTGACAGCAAGAACAAGCGCTTCCAGACCTCAGATATTCCTGAACATCTCGAGGGCAGCTGCAAGACAGTCGTTGACGAGGACAAGGGGACATGTATCGAGCTCTCGTGGAAGACAGATGTCAAAGGCTTTGGTCCGGAGCATCGCACACGGCACTCTATCGACTGGCTACGGCGTGCGTTCAACACTGAAATCGAGTTGCGTGGTGGAGTACGACACGATGACAGAGTGTTCTGGGACAACAAAAGGATCGTAAAAGACAACAAATGGATTGACTATGACAGCTACATGTCCCAAGACGAAACACTCTTCGAAGCACTCACTCACCTCAACAGATACGGTCTTCTCTTCATTAAAAACGTGCCAGAATCCGAGGAATCCGTAGTCTCACTTGCCTCCCGTGTCGGTACACTCAAAGACACATTCTATGGCCGTACATGGGACGTTCGCTCAAAGCCCAAAGCCGAGAACATAGCTTACACTCCCGATTACCTCGGTCTCCACATGGATCTCCTCTATACATCCAACCCGCCTCACCTGCAATTCCTGCACTTCCTCCGAGCCCGCACACCAGGCGGTGAATCCTTCTTCTCCGACTCTTTCGCCGCAGCACACCAACTGCGCCAACAGTCCGAAGGCCACTTCAGAACCCTATGTACCTTCCCCGTGACATACCATTACCACCACCCAACGTACCACTACCACTTCACACGACCGGTGATTGAGACATTCTCCTACCCCAACTACAGTGATCCCACCAATCTCGCCATTCGCCGTATAAATTGGTCTCCACCTTTCCAGGCCCCATTCGAGGCACGTATCGGCAGCGGCAATTCTACATCGCTTCGCTCATTCATTGCTGCTTCGCATGCATACGAGAAACTACTCAGTGCTGAAGAGAATCTGTACGAGTACAGGTTGAATGAGGGTGAATGTGTTATCTTCGATAACAGGAGGGTGTTGCATGCTAGGAAGGCTTTCGATGCTTCAAAGGGTGAGCGGTGGCTCAAGGGCGCGTATGTTGATGACGATGTCTTCTTCAGCAAATTGAGGGTGCTCGAGGAGAAGTTTGAGGGCAAATGGGTCGCTGAGGGTGTAGTTCGACATGCTGTAAAATAGAGGACGGAAGTGTATGTCGCATACCATGGATATGACTTGGCTTCAGAACTCGACTTTACCATATACATAGGTAGCGGTCGATATCAGTGAGAACACCTGCTCTCAATGTAAATTTTCGGCGATGTCTATACAAAACTTTTGCATTATGATGCAGAGATGACTCTTGATATGTGAAAAGTCTCGGCTGGAACACAGATAATGAGAAATAGATACCTACTGTACATAGACCGTCTTTTCTCCCCGTTGAGTAGCAGAACCCACGATGGCGCAACCATGAACAAGCACATCCATTTAACTCCTCGTTGGTCCGACTTTGCTCACAACCAGTCATGAACCTCCCACACAAGGCCCGATCATCTATCTTCCTATGAGATATTCATGTCCACGCGCTCGTCCAGACCGCATCGCAGCCACTGGTCAATTTTCTGTCGTTCACCACGCGTGGCCTTAGGGTAACAGTTCACACTGTATCTAAGTACATCGACAGATTGCAGTCCCGGAAGTACGTCGGATAACGAGTACATCTGACGGATTTCAAAGTCTTCAATGTGGTCGATGCAGCATTGAGTCCAGATTTCTAGGTCTAGTGCACGAATGGCTTGACGTTGCTTTGTCGTAGTAAATTTAATGATGAACTTGTGGAAGACTTTGAAACTGCCGAAGTGGAATGTGTTAAGAGAGAATGGAAGTAGCCTTGTTTCGTTGTAAATCTCGCGGCAGACTCGGAGGAGAGCAAATCGCTCGTCACATTCGTAAGTGGGCGAAACAATACCATCCATGAAGTCGTAGACGCCTTCGTTAAGAACGTATTGATAGATCTCATTCCTGATTTCTCCAGGGAGATGTAGAAGCGGTGATATATCTGAGTTGCGTGGAGTACTAGGAGACGTGGTCAGCCAGAAAATGGGCAATCGTGGGGAGTTTAGTACATCTCGGAGATACGCCTGGGGTGTTCCGCCATTCCGACTTCAGGTTGTAGTCTCGAGATATATGGAGAGTAGTCGTAGGTATAGCTGTAGTAAGCGTCTTGCAGCGACGATAATGGTAGTGTTTAAAGATGCAGCCAGTGGATTGATTTTGACATGAACATAAACGGTGACCAGCGCTTTTGACCGTAAAGGTGAGATAGCAAATAAGAAAGGTTAGGTGAGAGAAGATCACCACGTTCTAGATCTTCTAACTTCACATCACAGGGTATGTGCGAGGCGGTGTATGAGCGGTTCCACAAATCGTGAGTATACTCTGGCGTCGCCTACGGACATACAGTATGTACTTACCTCTTATGCTAGAAGCCCATTATGACCGACTCCCACTTGTCTTCTCACAAAGCTAGATGAAAATCACTGTATCTTGAAGTCCACGTGGCTCTTGAGATCCTTCCACAGCCATCCTACTTGTGCCATACTCCAACAACGAGACAATACATCATGACCATCTTCACAGTCTAGATCAGCTGTGCCAAAACGAGACCTTCATGCCTCTACGTGTACATGTCGCATATGAAGCAGGAGCATCGAGAGCGAGACATAACCACACCCTTCAAAATTTCGCACAAGGACGATAGCCTGGTCCATCTCAGCTTCGTCTACACAAATCTTGGAGTAGTCTGGCATCTTGTAGAATTTAGAGCAAGACAGAAGGCGCAAAATTCCCATCAGGCGAACCTAACGGTGAGCGTTTGATGTGGCAACAAGGTAGTCTCCTGTTGTATCCAGCGACGCGATGCAAGGAGGACGAGATGGTTCTTGTGCTCCTTTATACTGTGGTGGCTTACAGGATAAGCCCCGATATACACTTTCCTTTCCATGGCAGAGGAGGCAACCGATTAAGCCTAGCGGCAGTTGCTCCCCTCATTGTAGGCCAGGCGTATATTGTGCGCCTTGGAGACTCCTGCCTTCGGATGTTCAGTCTCTTATGCAAGCTTTTTTACAGATTCATCTTTGATCTTTCACGCAGCAGCTTGTTGTTTCTTCTTCTTCGAATACAACACGGCTTTATGTCGCTTCTCCTCGAAGCCAGCAGACTCCCCTCGATGGCCTTCCATCCAACAGTTCTGGCAATATAAATCGTCGTCACAACCCAGGCACTTCAGAGTCGCGTCGTCCTGGCAGATGATACACCATGTATCAACCTCATCATCAATCTTCTTCTGTATATTCGCAGACACGGGGGGTTTGTTCCTGGGTGCAAATGATGGAGCAGAGGGGAGACCAAGAGGATCCGCCTGTGATGAAGAAGGGGCAGCTAGGGCGGCCAGGCGTGCGGTAAAAGCATCCTCGATGGCTTGACTGCGTGCGAAGTCGTCTTCGGGCAGGGTGCTCGGGGCGGAAGGAAGTGTAAAGCCGTCGTCCGTTGTGTTCTCTTCTGGTTTGCTTTTTTGGCCTCCGGAGTCCGACCTGTCATCTCCAGACGGAGGAGAAGGAGGATCGTACTTGTTGCTAATCTCTAGTTCCGCCATAACCCTCGCTATTACATCGTCCGCCTCATCGTCCTCGGTCCTCGTTTTCTTGTCTTCGTTGCCTTCTTCTTCTTCGTTTTCCATGTCTTCCTGAGCCCTACCAACCTCTCCACTTCCAACATTGATTTCGATGCTCTCCCAGTCTGTAAGTTCCTCCTTCGATGGTTGGTTGCGTTTCCCATTTCCGCCCGGCGAATCTTGTGCCCGGCTATTCACTACTTCTGGTAGTATCTTGCGCATGTCTTTCAGTAGCTTTCCGACATCTTGTTGCTCCTCTTTGGACACGTCCCATTCTTTTCGGTCACCTACAGCGCCCTTCAGCTCGCCAAGCAACTCCTCCAGACTCTTTTCGTCTTCCTCATTAAACTCTACATTCGAGTCTCCTATACCCTGGGCTATTCCTTGCAGGTAGCTCGGTGCCCCTGGCGCTACGACTGGTGCGCCTGCGTTGTTGGTGGACGTTGTACGTGACGGCTGTGGCGAGCCCGAGGGAGACGCGCTGCCAAGACGTGCGAAGCGGGCAGCGAGGTCATCAGTAGGTTTAGGGGGGTTCGTAGGCGTTGTTGACGCGCCGTAATTTGTGTCTAGGCTGACAGAGGACTTCTTGAGCGCGTTGAGGCGGGCGAGGAGGTCATCGTCTGTCGAGCTCGGATCGGACATTGCTGGGAAGCAGACGGTTACTAACAAGATGTGTGAGTAGAGACAGTGGATGCCTAGGTTGAAGCGTCCACTATAGGCTGCTTATGACGAGGTGCTGCATGGAGCTTGAAGCTCGGGAGTGAGCGGAGTTGGCGGTGGGGGAGGGGCGAGCTATCCTTGACCATAGTTCATCCCTCGCATATCCTACACTTTGTACCATACAAACGCTGTGGTAATTGGTTATGAGAACGCACAGGTACAATCTGAAATTGTATCGGTACAATACTGTATGAGCGGGCCGGCGTCCCTCGAGACGGGTGTCATGGACCCCATGTCTTCACATGCCAGATCCGGCCCCGCTTTCGTCATACACGAAGCACCGAGACCATGCATACATCTCGCCATTGCGTGCTCTCACCCCATCTTTAACTCACAATATAAGCATTGCTTTTGACTCGTAGTCTGTGCACCTACATAAGTTCTGCGGTCCCAACTTCAGGCAATAGACACATTGAAACTCTCAAACCCGCCTGTCCTAGAGCCACAGCAACAACAGCCATGGCCCTTGCACCCAAGTTCGCCGGCCAGAAGCTCGCTTCCAATGCCATCCAGCCAAAAGCCGTTCATACTCTCGAGCTCTGTACGTCTTCGACCCTCTTGTCTTTCCCTAAGCACATGATCCGCATTTCCCAATTCCTGTAAAGCACACCAAGCAAACTAACATCTACATCTAGACCTTGACTATGTCTGTCCCTTCTCCGCCAAGATGTTCAAAACAATCTACGGTACTTCGCTCCGTAAAACGCTCTTAGAGAAGTACTCCGACCGCGTCGTGACTATCTTCCGGCAGCAAATCCAACCTTGGCACCCCTCCTCTACACTCGTCCACGAAGCCGGCTATGCCGTCCAAAAGATTGACTCGTCCAAATTCTGGGATTTCTCCGAGAAGCTGTTCGACCAGCAAAAAGACTTCTTCGATGTCAGTCTGGTAAATGAAACGAGGAATGCTACGTATAAGAGGCTTGCTAAGATTGCTGGGTCCGTGGGTGTCGATGAGGGCAAGGTCTACGGATTGTTGGAGATTAGTGATAAGCCCGGTGAGGACGGAAGTTTGAACTCGGGCAACGGGGTCACGGATGATGTCAAGGTGCAAGTCAAGGCGAATCGACTGACCGGTGTGCATGTAACCCCCACGGTCGTGTTCGACGGTGTTGTGAACAACGAGATTAGTAGTTCTTGGACAGCCGAGCAGTGGGAGGAGTGGTTGGAGAAGAATGTCAAGTGACTGCATGAACATGGAGCTGCCAAGGGAAGATTGTAATGTAGAAGACGCAGCAAGATACGAGAAGACGAAAATGACATTCAATCCTAAAAACACAAGTGGATATAGATGAAGAGTCGAGTCGGGTTATCATCCTTGAAAACGCCGTCAGCGCCGTCTCGGAAGAAAACCATGTCGTGCTGTGCAAGGCACGCCGTTTGCTGCACTCCTCTGGACGCGCAACGCGAACATGTTGATATCAAAACGCAAGAAATCGTAGACACCAACCCTTCGTCGCACTGTGACATCAAAGTCCACACAACGCCAAAGATACAACGATGGGCGTCACCACCCAACCTTCTCTTCGCAAACCAAGTGACGAGGAAGTTAATCGAAACCGTCTGCGCCATCCATGTCCACATCCTCATTATCAGCCACCTTCCTAGGCTCCTCGAGATCCTTCTTGAAAGCGGCCTTCTTAGCATCTACATCGTCGCGGCTAAGATCCTTCATCCAGCTGTTGTTCCTGACAAGAATTTCCTGGACCCTCTCCCTCCGTTCATCGTTGAGCTTCTTGTACTCTTCAGTCGGCTTCGGTACAGCCTCACTCAGGCCCGCGCGTACGGCGTCTGGCTGCACAAAGTACTGAACGCCACCAGTGCCGAAGGGTTCGCTGTTGATGAAGCTCATGATGTAAGCAGAGGGGCTGATGGAGACTGTGATCTTGTCGCTGTGCTTGACGTGATCAAATCGTTCTTCCTCTGAGAGGTCCTCGGTTCTGGCCAGGCGCTTCTTAAGGTAAGGGTAGTGTACGCGAGACAGGTCGACTTCCTCAGTGGGTTCCACAGCCATGTAGGAGGCGACGTATGCTCGCCAGCGCTTCACACGGTCGAGCGTGTTGAACTCAAAGGTTGGGTCATCCTTCTTGAAGAGGCGTACGTGTGCTTCCATCTTGGTGGGGTTCTGGAAACGTGTTAATATGTAGTCGTTGATATGGGCGAGGCGTTGACTTACGTATGTGATACGGTAGGTGTCAGCATCCTTGGCAAATTTCTCGACCGCCTTTCTATAGCTAATCTCGTTCTTGTGAGTTGTAGTATCGTTGACGCGGTCCTTCCTGAAGAGGTTGTAGATATCAAGGCTCTTATCCTTGTTATCGTGACTCACTACAGCGAGCGCGAATCGGACAAGCGAGCTGAGCAGCCTGTCAAACGAGTATAGCTGCCATCCAATCTGAAGATAATACCTGCGTAGGGTCTCCTCGATGAAGTTCATGTCCACTTCGCCAGATATCTGTTCTGTGAACATGTCGAGCAGCTGTTGATAGTAGTTCGCTGATGACGATGTGTCCTTGAAGAAGTCTTCAGGCTGCTTGTCAAGCATCTTCAACTTCTGCGCTGCTTTGGGTTCTTTGGCCCGATTGATGACCTTTCGGACCTCCTCTTCACTCTCTTTGAGCTTCAACAACCTTTCGTAGAGCATGACGAACATACGGAAGAAGCAGTAGATGGAAGCATTCGAGTACATGTTGAACTCTACGCGTTGGTAGGGTTCTTCATGTTCGAACTCCTTATCGCCAAAAGCCGTGGGGGTAGTAACATATTCTATCCATTCACGTTTTGGTTGATCTGCACGAGGGTTGGAGTTCGAGCTGTCGCCAGCAGCCTCATCGTCCATGCCGGATGTATCTGGAGTACTGTCCCGACTCGCCGATGCAACACTGTCTTCCTTGTCCTTGCGTGGCTTGTTGTTGGGATCGAGAATGGTGCGGCGGAGATCGCCTTTCTTTCCTTTCTGCGAGCGTTGAGAGACATCGTCATCGGGAGAAGGTGTGTCCTCGCCAGAATCGTTTGGTGTATCGCGTCCCGATGTCTGTACCCGTTGCTCGAATTTGGCGGTATCTATGCCAAAGAATAGAGGAACGAACTCTTTGATAAAAGGCACAACCTTGGCAAAGTCGGCACTGTTGTTGTTATCGGCGAAAGTGAGCATCAATCGAGCTACGTCGAAGAGTACCTCCTCGTCTCTGAAGGAGAAGGCAAATTGGTAGTCCGGCTGCGATATCTCTTGAATCTGCTGAAGTCGCTTCTGTTCTTCGTATCGGACTTGGATCTCGTTTGTGAGTGACTTGGGCTGGAACTGTCGCTTGTCGGCCTGCTTGACTGTAATGCTCTGATGGTCCAGGGATTTCCAGAAAATCTTCTGCGTCTGATCGCGCCAGACCTTCTCCCACTCGCGCTGAGCGGCCTTCCAATCCTCAAGCTTAGTCTTCAGCCTGTGAAGAAGTACAGGAACAACGCTCCAGGGCATAGCGAAGAGCTCCTTAATCACGTCCTTTCCTCTGTCGCGGCCGTAGATCTTCATGATAACCCGCTTGTAGATTGTTTCGCTCTGTCCACCAAGTCCAGGCGGTAGCGTGAATCCATTCCTATCCTCCGGCTTCATCGTAAGAAGCTGATTGGCGATTGGTTCAAGCTGTTGAATCGTGCGGCTGCATGCCTCGATATTGAAGTCGTAGTCATGGCGCTCCTCTTCGATTCGGTGCAAGCCCTCTTCAAACGTGTTCTTGCGATGGGCGACGAAACCAGAATCTTCGGAAGCCCATGTCGGATGGGACGCCCACTCGTCGTTTAGGACCGATCGGCACAGTTCGTCGCGCCCGCTACATACACGCTCGCGCTCGCGCCTAGGGAGCAGACGATAGCTGGGACCGAGGCTGCGACAGTTCGATAGCGAGACACGAGAGTTTACAGTCTTTGGACGGGTCTTCTGTTGCTCTTCATCTTCGCCCATGAACTTCTTGAACCAGGCATACAATTCCTGGTTTCCTCCGATGAATGATGCCGCGCGGTAAATCAACAATTGCTTGTCGATCAGATCTTGCGAGTAAAGATTGCAAAGCTTCAAGAACTCATTCATCGTGTTCTTGTTTCCGATAAATTTCTTGACGCGATCAAAGAATGCAAGCTCATCTTGGTTGGGTGACGTAGTAGTCGTCGGTGGCATCGGCTCAGGCAGCGCAGGTGTCAGAGTAGGTGACACTGGTGGACCATCGGGAATTGCCTGCTTTGCGCCATGTCCGGTTTTCGCGCGCTTTGATATGTTAGCTGATGATCCCATTATGTTGTCTTCTACTTAATCCGAACAAAGCCAAATTTCAACTCAGTTTGAGATGAGCGTAAAATTTTGCCCCACCATTAAGCATAGTGATGGTGGTCTTGATGACAATGTTTGTGATGTGGTAGCGTTGGAATGGAAATAAGGTATAACCATGGAAATGGAAGGAAAAGGTAGAGTTTATGGGCAATGCACGTGCCGCATAGAGAAAAACAATGCCATGACCTAGCCCTGCCCGTAATAGTGGAAGATCTTTCACATACCTTGTTGACGCTTCCCTGGTTGTTGTAACCGCCGCGAACGTTCGAGGTCGGTAGTTCCTGTGGCATGGATGGGGGCATGGGCGCAGCCACAGGTCCCTGTCGGTCGCGCTTCCTCTTGTTGTCGCGGTTCGCGGTAGGTGTAGGCGCAAAGTTACCCATCGGTGGCAGGCGAGATGTATCCGCACGACCAGGAGTTTGTTGGTTCGCGGCCGCGCCATAACCTGATTCGCCTCGTACATTGCTGAGCATGACTGCGTCTTCGGCAGCATTCTTAGCAGCCTGCTGTTGCGCCCTGTGCTGAGCAGCCGATTCCGGAAGGAATTGCTTGAAGTCCTCAAGCAGATCGGGCGCGCCGCCGAACAGGTGGGTCACTTGGGCGT